GGAGATACAGCCAGCACAGGATTTAGGCAATGCAGGGTGGAGGCTGTCTGGTCCAGGGCGTTGAGAGGAGTTGACACAGGCGAGGGCTTCGTAGGTTTCACTTTGAAGAATGACTATGGAAGAGAGTGTGATTGCTGGTGTGGCCTTGATTGGCTGAGTTGTGGGTTGGGTGGGACAAAGGTTAGGTGCGGTAGGGTCAAGTAATGCTGCAGCTCGAGAAAAGTGGTAAGAGAAGAGCTCTGCTATGTCAAGATTAGAATAGGGCCTGCCGTGATGTGTGAAGACCGACGCGTGGAACATTTTTTTTTTATAGTGAAAACATGCCCAAGAGTTTGGGCTGGCAGGTTGCTTTTGCTCTTAGTTGGTAGGTAATTGTTATGGGAGATATGAATGAGATGCTTGACTTCGGTACGTGCCTGGTGGGCTTGGTTAAGATGAGTGGGATTTAGAGGCACTTTTTTGAATAGTCAGTGTTTACGTCTGATTAAGAGTGCAATCTCCTTTGTCATCCATGGAAGGCTGCCGTGCCTCCTGTTGATCCTTAGGGTGAACACATTTGTGCTGAATTGCTGATATGTTGAGTGAGAGGTTGTCGGCCTCGTCAGCCGATGGGTGATTAAACACGATGAACCAGGGACCGAGGTGGATGAGCTGATTGAGATGAGGGAAATCGTTTTTTTAGAACTGCTGGAACTTCTTGGCATGATGACCTCGCTTAGGACAATGGATATTGGTGAGGAGAGCACTGCGATCATTGCCTGGTAGGCTGGATTTCACTGTGCAGCGGTAGGATAAGGTGGGATTATTGGTACGGACGAGGTCGAGGAATGTAGCGTTGCTGTTTTGAGAAATGTAGAATGAGGCGTCATGAAGTTGGGTGAGGCCAGCAGTTTCCAATACGTCTTACAGCATGTCATCAAGTGGATCAGATGAACAGTGCAGAGAACTTGCTGGGGTCGACGCGCTGTAGGCTCTTTTGAAGGAGGGCGTACGATTGTTCACGGAGGGAGGGTGGGCAGTAGGTAGACACCAGAAGAGGCTTTTCATGTTTACAAAATACCTCGACAAAGATGGCTTCTAGACCCGGAGGGGCGAGGTGGTCGAGACGTTGGCAGGGCAGGTGTTATGGCATGGCGAGGACGGACTCCTTCGCCCCAAGGAGAGACAGTTTTGCTGGAATAAAGAGAATTGTGCGAGATTGATTAATCCCCATTAATTGCCCACCAAAGACAGGCGTCCAGCCATGTCTCGCACACAGCGAATATTGTATTCGGGAAAGATTACTTCAGCGCTTTAAAGTCAGGAAGGTTGTTTTTTAGGAAGCAAATGTTGGAAAACCAAACGGGATTGGAGTCTGTAGACTCCGATCGCGCACTTTTCACACGACAACTATGCCAAACGCGGAGTTGTCATGCGAACGGTGAATGCTGCCGATGTCGCTCGCCGGAGGCGGGTCGGAGAACTACTTGGTAGAGTTGGCGATGATGGTGGGGTACACAGGGGCTCCGTGCTGCTTAGGGGATAGAGAGAGGTCATCGGCCAGGGGTGGGAGCTGGCACACCACACAGAGCCACTCGGTTGATAATGAGGAGAGGCGTCTATACAAAGCGAGGGATACATCTTCACATTTCTGGTGGAATTACAAATCATAAATATCGCATTAGAGAGTGGCGACATTGTCGACAGACAGGAAACAGCAGGGGCAGGTGGGACGTGAGCCGGAGTTTGAAGATACACCCGTGAGCGATATGAAGGTGAACAGCCCTCTTCTTGTTTTTGACGCTCCTGCAAGTTTTGGAACAAGCTCTGTTCCAGAAGAGGGCTAGAACGCAAAGCTTAGACCCCAAGCCACATACTATTTGAGACGTTGAGAGTTAATATAGCTTTAGAGAGCCGTAAAACGGGCAAGAAGCCAGGTAAGGTGTTCACTTTCATATTGCCGGCGGGTGTGCTCCACCAGTGATCGGCAATAAAGAGATTAGGTGAGGTTGGCGAGGGAAATGAGTGAAGAATGCTGAGCCAGGAGGTTGCTTCCATGGACGACAATGTTCAATGGTGATGCTGCAGTCAGGAAGTGGCATTCTAGGTGCTTACGGTTTGTCGATGATAGGTGATATTTTTGTCGAAGGGCCAGTTGCCCCGTTAGGCAGATCAGGAGACGGGGAGTTGTAAAGGCGCGCTGTCATCGAACCTAACAGCTAAACATTGTGCTGAAAAAAGTGACTGGCTAGACAGATCTCATAGAAAAGTGACCAGGGAGGCAATGTTCGACAAATGTCTTGTTTCTCCTAAGAAGAAAGGGAAGTGATGGAAGTGACGATATTGCGTCTGATTAGTTAGAGGCTCAAATGACGAAAGCAGGAACTTTCATCATTTGAGCCTCTAACCAATCAGACGCAATATCTTCACTTCCATCACTTCCGTTTCTTTTTAGGAGAAACAAAACATTTGTCGTCGAACATAGCCCCCAGGTGTGTTGAACATTCATCTTGGGGGGGAAAGGACAGGCAGGTCAAATGCACCTCCAAGCACAGCTTTATTTTTACCAAATTAGCCTGTAGTTACCGTTAAAGCAACTGGTTTGTAATCGCACTCGTTATGTAAAACTGTCGCGTCTGTGCATTTTTTTTTTGTTTTTTTTTGCATGGTTTATGAATAGCTGTTTTGAAATACCTTTACCGCGACTTCTACGTGTTTAGACTATGTTTGTTGATCTTAGGTTTATCATTGTTTATGCACATAGCTTGAAGGCTAACATTCAAACTGTTTGTACTACCGTGTATGTTCGATAATACCCGTCAGCAACCGCATCATTGCATGTGCTGTTTGTAACATTTTCTTATAAATTGTACTATGTAGAGCGAAAATAAACATTTGCCTGCTTGAAATAACTCTTGTGTGAATAAATTACCTGTGATTGTCGTCCAGTGGAGCGCACGTCACAATAAAGCGAAAGCGCAACGCAAGCGGACGGAGAACCGGGTACACAAAATGCCATGGGGGCCGCCATCTTGAGAAGCAAAACAATAAAAACAAAGCATAAAATGTGGTTAGTTACCCCATCCATGGTGAGAGGGCGCTTTTACGAGTTTAAATAATTGTTTAAGGAACTTTCGCTCTTTTTGAATTATTAGGTTATCAATATAATTTATATTGTGTGAGTAATATGTAATGACTTTAGTTCTAAAATGTATTTTTATTAACACAAGGCCCTCGATCACGTGGTTTGCGATTACCACAAACTGTGGTCTCGACTTCCGGCAAGATCTGGCAACTACGCCAGGCTGGCCAGGCCGCGGTATTGTTTTGGTTTGACACGGTTTGCGAGCACATGTAGCGAAGACGTGACCGGAGAAGTGCCCCTGTGATGTTCCCGGAAGACGGAAAGTATCGTTCGTAATCGTCGTGCGCGCTTTGAAAGCGAAGGGAGTCACAGAATCCACGAGTGCGCAATTCCGTTTATTGAACAAGTTCAATACATTCGCTTGTTGAGGAAGCTTAACCTTAAGTATGCACGGCTCTGCCAAGGTTCACGACAGCGCTGTGTTGGTTTCGGCGATCTCGTTCTGTTTGGTGCAACACGGCGATGCGACAGAGCTGAAACGTTCGTGGTGTGTGTAATGCGGTGCTAACACGGAGCGCAAATTGGTTGTTGTGGGGTTGACGTTCAACCAGTTAAGTCCCATTGTCGTCAGCTGATCCAGCCAAACTGGTCCGGGAGGACGCTGGGAGCGTTTTTAAAAGTAAATCTGCCTCGTTCTGTTTCAAAATGTGGAAGATTCCTGACGCATACCGTGAGTAAAAAGCTGCGGGCGTTTTCAACAAAATTACGTCGTTTTAATTGAACAATGGACTCCGAATTGTTGTCCTAAATCTGCCGTTTTTATGCTTCGTGTTGGACTGCGTTTGCACAGCGACGTGTTGTATCATGCAGTGTGAATAAATTTGGGCACGATTTCGTACCTGCCTACAGATGCATGAACTGAGACCATTTTTACGTAGTGGACATAGTGCTTTTTTATTTTCTGTCTAGTCGCGGTCGTTAGGTGCACACGGGGCGAATCTCGACGGCCTCCAGAGCAATATGACGAGAACGTAACTAGACACGTTGGTCGCTACGCGAACGCCCGATTGCCTCCAGCCAAATAGCATTCCTTTCGGGGCGACATGGCTGCTGGAAGGCTCACTGTCGGGATCACGCATCTGACATCTCCGAAAAGTCAGCATTTGCACGCGCAAACAAACAAACAAAAAAAAAAGCATGCTAAGCAAGCAAAGAGGAAAACGAAAGAACCGCGCTATGAAAGCCAAAACCCCGCGTCGCCTCCTATCACTAACACCTGCGACAGCTGCTAAACACACACTACTTCACTTCAAGAAGTCTCACTCAAGCACCTGGGTCAGCACGAAACGACGAAACACTGATCACTTCGGCGAAACGATTAGTCGAGGTAGGCGAGACAGGCGGGAGCAGAGACTTCGGCGGCCATGAAAGAATGGCGAAGCTTTTGTTTGTGTGAATCCAAACGGAAGTGCCCGTCTTGTAAACCTTTTGTAAAGAATAATAACTCTCATCACATGGGTTATTCTTTAAACGTAAAAATATGCCGCTCAAAAGGAAATTGCAACATATAACAAAGGTTTAACAACCAAGATCTAAGCTGTCAATCAAACTCTTAGCCAATGAGAGCCTTTTGGGATTGACGTCACATAATCACAACTTCGTAGCGCACGATTTTAAACGGACGAAATAGCCGCAAACTAAAATGAGTCTCACGCAATAAATATTGCTGTAAAAAATGTTTTTTCTCGCGGAAAATTTTTTTTTGACATGCTTGTCCCAATTAGGTTATTTAAAAAAAAAACTTTTTTTTCTTTGCAGTGTCCCTTTAAGGTGCATACCATGAGCAACTCTAGTCGCAAATAGTATGACTGAAGAATGCACAACCCTAAGCAAAAGTCAGTCCCAAGTCAGGGTGTCTCCAGGGAGTGCCACTCACCCTGAGAGAGGCACTGGTTAAGAAGCGCCACCTGCCCCGACAGCAGGTACAGCTCCAGACGCCCCAGCACGCTGTTCAGGGACGGAATGGTGATGAAGCAGTACGCTGCACAGGCCTGAGACAGACAGCAGGGACACCATGAGCCGCAGCGACCACGTCACCTCTCCGCAACTGTCCAGAATATCGGTGCGCACCTTTACCGTACGGCTAACGCATGCCCTTGGTCGTATGTTCCGACTCCACTCTTCGCATATCTTGAGGTGAAAATTATGTTGTTGACTTTTTTGGTCTCTGACATTTTAGACCTCTTCGACGTGTATTGCCATGGCTCCTACACTTTTAGGGGCTTTTAGACTTACACACAATGCACTTTGCCTCTCTCAACCTTACGCGAAGAATCGAGTTAGGTTGCTAATTTTTCACATTAAATCGCAATGTCACGCGGAGCCATGGGACACGCATGTGCGACTGCCATGGCACGTGAAGTCATGCACCCTGAACATGTAACTCTGGTATATCACGTGACACCTTAGCGATCGCGTAACCTATAGCGATTATGTGAAGTTGCCAAACACTTTTGGCACTGCGGCGACTGAGCTTTCGTGAGAGAAAGGCGTTCTGCGTGAAAGGGCAACTCCGGCAACGTTGCAATAATCGGTGATTACTGAAATTGTGATAATCACTCACCCAAACTACACATAAATTTTTTTTTTGCAAAGTTGTGGAATTTTAACTTTGGTCCGAGAAGCTGAGAGGTGGCAACACTGAAAAGGTGACGTCAAACAAAGTCAGAGCCGCTTGTCCTTGACGGGTCACAAGAAGTCTGACTATGTGAAATGAACGCTGGGAAAGCTCACGCTAGCACAATGAGAAAAAACATGCAAAATATTGGGTTTTGTGGACTGCGTGCTCGACTTGCAAGTTATACAACATGTGAGGTCATCCCACTGGAGGGTGCGGGAACATTTGAATGCTGTTTTTGGTATAACCTTCATCTGCCATTTCCTCCATGTAGCTATTTTAAGTTTAAAAAATAATAAACAGCATGTCAAAAGAAAAAAAAAAAGCCTGGACATTTCATAAGTGTGTTTACCATGAAGTCTCTTAAGGCCACCCACACAAAATGAAGATAAGTGGTGAAAAAAATGAGGTAGCCTATTTTTGGGGATGACACAGCGAAACTTTATAAAAATTGATGATAAACACAGGGGCACCCGCTAGAGACCATGTGATGCGGAAACTCATACTGCAGATCGCAGATGCAACACATTCGCGTTTCACATTGCAATAAACATGCGGGAATCTGCTGCAAACTCTGTCAAGGGAAAGGATACCGTAGAATGCGGATGCAGCAGATTCATCTTTCACGGTGCGATAGACACATGGAAACCTGCTACAAACTTGCGTGCCAAGGGAATCCACGTCGCACATGCAGATCGCGGAGACAAGACACGGACACTCACTACGAACTGGCGTGTCACAGGAACTGATATTGCGTGTGTACATCGCAGAAAAAATAATGGGAACCCACTGCGAACTCGCTTGTCACACGTACCGGTATCGCAGATTGCGCGGCTGATGGGATTCCTGTCAGACATCATGTGATGTCCCCCCAATTCCCGGGGATGGGGGGGGGGGGGGGGGAGGGAGGTTCAGGGATGTTTCTGAATTTTTATGTTACGGATATTTACCCAGAAAAACAAGATGGGCAATCTCTCGGGGAGGATGCCCTTACGAGATTTTGCGGCAGTTTGCTCAGCTCAAAAAGCCACCGGATCTCCCCCTTAGAAGGACCATTCAAATGCCCCAGAACAGCCTTCAAGGGAATCGCGAAAAGGAAGCCTGTGGTGGGGACCATTCTTTTCTTTTACAACCTAGCCAGCATGTCACCAGGACCAGTACCCTAATGTGATGCGTTTAGATCCAAAGCAGATGTTGGCTATAGCATGCTGTTGGGTTTCTGTTTCACAGGCTTACATCCCCATTGTATTCCACATCTGGCAAGCCACACTCGGTAAATGATCCCTTGCCAAGAGATAGTTCTTTCGCCGCTTTTAACAAAAAATGCAATTTGTTTTTGATAAAAAAAAAGGGTAGTTGAAGAGGAAAGAAAATGCAAGTCTAATTAATTAATTAATTTTATATTGTCAGCCCACGAGGGCTATACAAAAGAGGAAATTGCTACATATAAAACAATATGTGGATGTTAACAAAAAAATAAACTAAATAATTGCACAATGAAAAATACCACCACCATAACATAAATAAACAAAGGATTAATAAAAAAAAGAAAGAAACTAAAACAAAAAAAAGTTTAACACATTTTTTCTTTCTATTTAGGCAAAAAGAAGTTCATTGTTAAGTTGCAACGTGTAGCAGGCTTTTAAGACAATATTTTCGACACATTTAAAAAAGTGACATACATGACACAGTTGTACAGGGTAAAACATCCCACCGATTAATTTTGACAACTAATTACATCAATTATTCGCAAGTGCTCGACAAACCTGAAGCTTTCGCACCGAGCACTGGTCGGCCAAAAGTAAAAAGGACAATGTTCCGTAATCCCTTTAATATGATGCTAGCCCAAAACAGCAATGCCACGTGCCATATCTGCGAGTCACTGCAACTATGCAAATAAAGAGAAGTTACCGAGGATCGACAAATCCGGCGAAAACAGGCCCGTTTGAGAAGCGAGCTTGTACGCATCAGCGGCTGTGCGGAAGGAAGGCGTCAACCACGTACCTTCACGAACGCGGCCGTCTTCCGAGTGTGATGGCCCTTCACCACCTGCCGCGTCCTCATTGCCAGCACGTTCACGTCCTGCACAGAAATGGGGGTGTCGCCCCCAAGAAGGTATTTATTTATTTACACTCAATCCCACTCTGCCCGTAAAGGCTCGTTCACACACTCACAACTGCTCACCGACTGAGTACATTAACAATATCTTGCGATCTCTTACGATGAGAAACCATCTGTCGGGTAGCCATAGAACACTCGCGATTTTCCTAAATTTCCTCTTTTAATGCGAAAGCATTAACTGTCCCATGGAGCGAGCCGACGTCATCAGTTTGAAGCGCGAAAATGGCACCTAGTTTCCCTGATCCCAAAGGTTCCATTGGCTGGTGCGTGGCGACGAGGCTCCCAATGGCCGCTGCGCGCGTCAGTTTCAACGACCGCCGCCAAATGACGCTGCGTGTCCGTGCCACCAGCGCACCGATAAAACTAACCGCCACAACCTCATGCCAATACGGGCTCTGCGCCAGTCAAAACGGACAGGTTAGCACGTGCTTGGAGGCTTCTGCTCGTCTCGCCGACAACGAACATGGCCCCGCCTCTAGCGTCCACATCGTCGCAGGGGCTTTTGCTCGTCTGGACACCCCATTGTTTCAGGACAGCCAACATGCGAACAAAGGAACTCTAGAAAATGACCGCATTTACTCGAATGTAATGCGACCACAATTGTAACGCGAGGGGTGACTTTTCACAGTGCCAAAAAGAAAGAAAAAAAGAACAAGAATGTAACGCGAGTAAAGTGAGGGGAAAAAGGTACCTCTAATTGTTGCACATAGTGGCCAACACCTGCAGTTTCTAGAAATAAAATGGGTTTACTCGTCGCTTTCGCCATCGGTGACGGCCACAACGAGGTCCTCGGAAGCCTTTTCGGCCGGGCTCACACTTGAAGAGCAATTCACGCTGGAGCCTCCACCCATGGATAGTCGATCCTGTCACATCTAGCCGTCAAGCTGTGGCAGAGTTTCCGATTTCCTCAGCCATCAGAATTTCACCTCTTTTAAAGCGGGCGTCGTACTGAGCTCGTTGCGTTGCCATTTGCTCGAGTCCAGTCACAGAAGCACAACGCAGCAGCCCGCAAAACTCGGGGACTAGGTCGTGCTCGGGCATATCGGTGCTAACCAACGTTACTAAACCACTCAGTTGGGAAACTGCTATAGAGACTGCTCTGAAAAAGTGACATTGACCCGCCCTCCAGAACTGAGCTAATGGTGATCACAATGACACCAATATACACGCAAGAACAACTCGCGCGTCTTACTTACAACTAAAAATCGATATTGCGCGCGCAGATCACGGACAAAAACATCGGAATCCGCTACGAATTTGGGAACGGATACCGCAAATCGCGAACGCAGCAGATTCGCATTTCTCGATGCACTATATACGCGGGAACAACTAGCGTGTTGCGCGAGCCGATATCACGCACAGATCGCAGACAAAAATGCGGGAACCCGCTATGAACTCGCTTCTCGGACACACTGGTACCGCCATTTGCGCCGTTGGTGCGCGATTCCCGTCGGACGTTGCTTGACGTCCAATGGGAATCGGACAGCGGTGATGTTTCGGCATTTTTATGGTACAGATATTTAGCCAGAAAAACGGGAGGGGCGATATCTCGGGGGAGGGCGCTTTAACGGGATATTATGGTACTCGCATCACAAAACTCCGCGGATCACTCCGCGGCGTTCCATTGGGCATTCATGCTTTCGCATTCACAACTCAGAAGAAGTGCTTAGGTGTCTTCCGACTTTTTTGCACGTCATTCTTTCGCTAGTGCTTTTAAAAACTTTGGACGATGTTATAAATGACCATTTCTCGGACCTTTGCTTTGGAGAAATGCATTTCCAGGGCCACCTGGTAGGTGGGGCCGGCGTCCCGGTGCGTTCTCTCGTCGTAAAAGATAGCGAGAGGTTGAAAGCACCCAGTCACAAGCAAAAAGCAAATATGTGAAACCAATGTTTAAGGCGGCGGTTCTCAAATCGGGGTCCGCAGGTCCCTCGACTATCGGTCCAGCTAAACAATACGCATACTAGGTTTTTTATTATTGATGCCGGTTGTTTCACAAAGCTAAATAGACCAAACCAGATGCGCCGCGGGAGTAAAGTAGATTATTCTCCATTTAAGAGTGTTTTTACACATTCCGTTATCTTAATCTACCTTTTTTGTCATCGTTAACCGTCCAATAACCCCCCCTTTCCAAGGATGGGGTCCCCTATCACTTCCACCGATCCAGAAGGGGTACACCAAAACATCAGTGGTTGCACTTTAGGGCATTATAAAAGCGAGAGGGTTACATATTTAAAGCTAAACAATAAATGTGGGGAATATGACGCACGAAAGAAATGAGGATGGCAGCACGCTCCAATCTCGCGCGGTATGGACAAAAAATGATGCGAGACAATGGGATGCACTTGGGAGAAATAGTGCAACATCCTCAGGCAGTTTTAATTCTCAAATACAGTCAAACCCATTTATAACGAATGCGATAGTTCCGCGAAAAGTGGTAGTTTTATCAGTAGTTCGTTATATCCGAAATTACTTTTAAAACACATTATAAATAAGGATAATGAAGCTGGTATTGGTAGTTTCACTCTGCCAGCTCTTTATTTAAAGGGGCCCTGCAATCATATTTAAGCGCCTACCTTTTTTGCGGTTTCCACACTTTTTGCAGTTCGGGCAAGCCAGCGGGCACAGAGAGAGTAACTAAATATCAGTGCGTCATATTTTAACCAGACGACGCGGAAACCTCTTCCACCAACGGAGGCGACCCGCGGTTCAGAAAGCGCGCGATATACGACGTCTTTGGTCCTGGCCTTTCTACTGGTCAGAGCCGCTAAAAGCTTCATTTTAGTCGAAATACAAAATATAAGTGGTGCGAACCGTTTCGCTTATTTATAAAAGTAGCTTTTGTTCAGTATTTTAGATCGGAAAAGAAACAAATGCAGTTTATAAAGTACGGAAACAAGAAATGACCCGTCGACATACCCGCCACCAAGCGGTGGAAAAGGTGGCGTACACTAGAAAGGAATAGTGGGATCAGGCGCCGACACGGAAAGGCCCGGACGTACGCGGCGATGCTGCGGTTGTAGGGACTGGAGGATTCGACCGGCATCGAGCGTTCCGAAGGCCTTCGGCGAGCGGCTTTGTCTGGCGGTTCGCCCGTTTTGTAGTATGGCAGTGCGAAGTGGCTCCCATTCTGAACTGATCTTTACCCCGTGTTTGCTGTCGTTTGTGGCCAATAAAGTGTCATGCCGAACTAGTGTTTAATCGCGCAGCAAATGCAATGCGAGCCGCCCTGGCTGCCAACTTCATACAGCCTAGCCAGAACATGCTTTAGTGGCGCCCTCTCGAGCCGTCGACACGGAGTGCGGCAACCGTGAGCGCTCGCTGAGCTCACTACCCCTCGTCTAGTTCATGGCCACTCAAGCAACCAAGGATGTCATGGAGGAAGTTATTTTTTGCTTGCTTTTGTATTTTTAACTTGCCTATAACTTCTAAAATAAAGCGAAATTCGAGAAAAGAAAAGTTTCATTAAGTTATTACGTTCAGTGCGCTCAGGTTCGGTGCAAATTAAAAATTAGTAAAAAAGTCATTGCACGGCCTCTTTAAAGGAACTGCTTGCACGATTCTAATGCGGCCCCAATTCTAACGCGCAGGCAGATTTAGCTTTCCGATAATCAAAAAGTAAATTGCTGCCGATTCTACTGTGCAAGTAAAATAATGAAGATTGACCACATACCTCACAAAACAGATTTTATGAGCCCCACGCAAACACAAAAATAAATGCCGTGCACTAGTCCGACAATGGTTCTCCGCTGTCCACAAAGGTAAAACTCTTGCTTTGGTCTAAAGCGTTTTAAGTGCTGTGCTTCTTGCGCATGTACGAGCACGCGGCCATCGCCTCTGGCAGGGTCGTCTTTCAAACACTTTGCGAGCCCGTCGGGTATGCTTGGGATTGCGAGGCCACGCAGTACTGTTTCACTGTTATCTTTTTCCGCCAGCGTGATGCCCTTTCGTTCAAATAAAGCCTCCTAGTAGATTTTTTTTCCCCATTTTAAAATGACAGACACGAGTCCGTACACGCGAGAGAATGTGCACGATACGGATACAAATGGCGAACGTGAACAAAAGGTCACGTTGGCGATGGGGATAGCCACCTCTGAGCATAGAGTTTTGAGTATGCAAGCAGACAACGAAGGAACGCAGCACGGCGTGAGTGTCAACCACTGATCTCCACTAGAGGAGGCTGGACGGCGCATTGAGCAAACAGGTATGAAGCCACCGGAAGTAAGCGGCTTGTCCCGGAAGTGAGCGCTTGGCAGGCTTTGTAACCCTTCCAAGTGTTGGTTCGAAAAGCGACGAGGGCGTTGGATTTTCGCTTGTTCCCTCAAGAGAGCCTGCTTGTTGCACAGTAAGAGCGCATGCAGACCGGAGAAGTATCATGGGAAACCATTTAATGTAAACATTTGAGATTCTAGTTGATCGAGTGTGAATATGTCCCAAGTTCCAATGCCTCATTCTCGGGATTCAATCCAGAATGGGACTATTATAACCCGATCCAAGACGCAAAAAAGCATGGTCCAAAATATCGACTGAATGCACTAGGAAGCCCAGCAGACGCCCGACTTCCAAGACAAGCATCAAACTTCCGATGGCTTCACTTGCGCCAGGCTCGGAGTGCAGCTAAGCGCCATCCAGCCCCTTATAGTAGAGATCAGTGGTGTCGACTTCCCTCCTTCTCCTCCTCTTCGCCTTCTCGCGCACACACAATCAGTGGACTACGAGACTCGGGAGGGCGATTTTGCTTTTAAGTTTCATTTCCTCCCTGGGGAAGTATGCCGCGCGGCCATGGAAATGACCTTGAACGTCCCCCGGAGCACCACGCCCGAGATGTCACTCTTTTTATTTTTTTTTTTTTTTTTTCCGAAAGCAGATTTTGAGTGTTTGTTGTAACAGTATGAGGCTTTGAAAAACGGTCATTTTATCTGGACCAATTTTAATGGGTAGGGTCTTGAATTCCTATATTATCTGAAAGCTGGTCGTTATAACCGATAGGTCGTTTTACATGTGGGATGATTATAAGTGGGTTTGACTGTATTGTTTAGTTGTGAAGAAGCATCTGAAAAAACTTAGCCCGGAGTTTTTTTGCCGGGCAGCTAGAAGTGGCCAATTTAGTGAGTCTTTCACTCTTCATTCACTTTGATGCCGATGACAAGTATTCAAAACAATCCTAGCACTCCGGTTCCACACTACTTCTACCTTCTCAATTCGTTTATGAGAGGGTTCCACACAATATAGGCATAGTCTAGAATTGATAGAGTACATGCAAACAATAGTGACAGATTTTATTTTTATTACAGTCTTGAAATTACTTTTGAGAAAGCACCAGATTCTGTTGGCCTGTTTAGTCGCGTACCCTATTCAGTACGCAAATTCCACACTCCCTGCTATACGGGTAGAGACCGAGCCACAGGAAAAGACGAGAGCATGCAAGGACGTTGGAATGCCGAGCTCTGGATCGAATGAATAGCGGGTAGACTTGGAGTGTTTGTCTCTACTGTCACCGACCGATTATTCGGACTTCGCTGGGACCGAAAAAAAGTGAGAATAATAGAGCAGTCCGAAAAATGAGCAGATTGAAAAACTTGCCTTTATTACTTCCAAGTGGGCTAAAAAAAGCCGGAAATAGTGCCTTGTTTCAGGTTACGCCTGCGTGCCTTGTTTTAGGTTACGCCTCCGTTTCCGTTCGGCAACTTTCTGTTAGCTTGAGAATCGCTGCCTTCTTTTCTAGCGTTATGGTCGAGTACTTTCTGCGCTTCGTAACTACAGATCGCGGCGGCAGAAAAACAGATGGGGCCATGACGTCCAAACCAGCGTTTTCCGAACGAGATCAGAGGCTCAAATCCACGAGCACAAAATGGCGACTGGCGACGCGAAGGAACGAAAACCAAAGCAAAATGATAACATGATGATGATGATGACGTGCAGCTAAATGGGAAAAAAAGGGCTAGCATAGCGTCACCTAGCGGTAGGACTCAGGAGTGCTCAAGTAGCGCTGCCAAACCAAGCCAATCCATTTGCAGCCAACATAAAATTCAAAATGGCCGCTTCTCGATGGTGTTTTCCGCTGATCGCTTGCGACGATTTTGTCCGAATAATCGAACTTTCGGACTTCAAGCTGTTTGAAACATTGGTCGTGAATATACACTATTTCTATGGGGTAAGTCACGGTTCCGCCTTTAGGTCCGAAATATCGAGCAAGTCCGAATTATCGGAGTCCGAAAAAACGGTTGGCGACTTGGGAACACATTCAAACAGATTCGAACATTGAGTGGAAACAAACGCAGCTAGCTCCGGATTTACCCACTATTCGTTCCAACCAGAGCCCAACACACCAACATTTCCGCACGCTCTCCTCTCCTCCTCTCCTTCCGTCTTTATCCGTATAGAACACATAAGATGTTTTCGAGGCAGCTTCCCCCCGCACCACCGACCTGGACCAGCTCCACCAGTACGGGATCGAGCGAGCTGAAGGCGGCACGCGAGTCGACGTAGAACGACAGCTGCTGCTCGAAGTCCCGCCCAAAGCTGATGTGCTGCAGGAAGCCGCAGATGAGCGCGGCAATCTGACGCCTCTCGTCCTCCAGGGTCAGGGCACTGGTGGGCGGAAGGACCGAAGAACAGTTGTCACGACCCTCCCCGTCTGGTCCGGGGATCACTCACTTGACCGAGTTGTGCATGGTCTTGCAGATGTACATGAGCGCGTTCACGATGACCGGATCGTGGGTCACCTCCTTCTGGTACCTGCGAGAGATTTTGGCAGCTGGCATTAATGCAGAGTAGTCGGTTCTAGGGTGACCGAAACACTTTTTCGACCGGTGGGTTTGGCGTACCGTTCCACCCAAAATAGAAAGTGGATGTGTTTCTTGCTTTATGTAACGACGTTCCCTCGTGTAATGCCCGGAAAATAAACATGCTCCAAGCCATACCCAGCTCTCCAATTGGTTATTCGTATTGCCGAAGACGCTCTTGCCATTCCAAGAGTCTTTCTCTCGTGGGGATCGGAAGCTTGCGGGACACCGTAAGTTCTGTATTTCCCAAACTAGAACGTCATTTTTCTCCTCTCAATTAAGAACGCTGCGATCATGAATACCGATTTCTCCACTTCTTATGATGTGCATAACTTACAAACTTCTTGGCTAAGTTGTCACAACCTAAGAAGCTCTTAGTGAATCTGGCCTATGGTGTCTCAATAACACACATCAGATTACAACTTAAATAATAAGAAGCACCTTAAGAAACCAAAGCCTTTGTAGACGCAGGCTCATACTATTAGGAGACTACAATTCTTCAAGGACACAGGACCCTGATATTGCTCAAATTTCCAGAAAAAGATCCTGAAGGTCAGGACCAGGCCACAAGGCCTTGTCCTGTCTTGGAGCTCAGAACAAGAACAGGATCCTGAACATCAAGTGCACATAATTATATCCCAACAACCACTGTCAGATCAGAGAAAGACGATGAGGAGAAACTGCCTTCTAACTTGAGAAAGGCATGAGAACCAGACCACATGACCATGTGCTGTCCTGGAGGTCAGAACGAGGACAAGGTCACAAGACAGGGTCCCGAGGGTTAGGTTCACATGATGGCATCTCATTAAACCCTGCCACAGATAAATGAGGAGCAATGAAAAAGGAATGCTCCCCCATTCGAGGAAGGCATCAGAACGAGGCCAGATGACCTTGTCCAGTCCTGGAGGTCAAAACAAGGACAAGGTCAAAAAACAGTCCTAAAAATCAGATCCACATGATGGCATCCCAATGAACTTCGTCACAGCTCAATGAGGGACAATTATAAAGAACTGCTCGCTTACGTGGGGAAAGCATCAGCACGAGGCAACATGACCTCCCTATTCTGGAGGTCAGAACAAGGACGAAGTCCTGAAGATCGAATCCACATGATGGCCCCTCAACAGACCCTGTCAGATTAATGAGGAACAAGAGGAGGGCACACACTTGAGGAAGGCATCCATGATGTTCTTGCAGACGTCCACCTTGACGGACTCCTTCTGGAGAAGGTCAAGGAACGGGAGGAAGTGGTCGATGGAGAAGAGGACTGCGAAGTCGTGGACATGCACCAGGATCCGGTCCACGACAGCTCCCAGCTGGGTGTAGTGGTTCTCAAAGGCACGGTCCGGAACCATCTGCTTGATGATCGCTCCGAGGAATGTGTTGATCTCGCGCTTCTGAAACGGCATAGGGGCACCTTGTCAGGGAAAAGTCACATTTGGGGTTTCACTTCCCAAAGAAACGAAGAGCATCAGGAATGCCCCAGGATTAATTTCGACTTCCCAAAGACCTTTTAGACTGGTATCAAAATCTTGTTTACATAGCACCTCCTCCACAATAAGCTTCCTTTAGATTGCGGGCACCTCGGCTGGGATTAGAACCCGCCACCTGGGGATCTGTAGGCTGGTACTTTGCCTCGGAGCCACCAATACAGCTACTTTGTCGAGGATCGAGAAGCTGAAGTATGTGCCTCACGTAGAAACAATTTTCGACTTATGCTGACATACACATGCGGTATTCATAGCCAACTGTAGCAGAGTTCGTTGCTGCTGAGCACATGCTCATGGTGAGTTTCCACAACCTTAGGTTTACCCTTCTTGTCAGATGAAGGGGTACCTGCACTGCGAACAAAGCCTTGAAAAGGACTGTCCGATTGACAGCTTAAGGGGGACACTACCTTGAATTGCACCTTTTTTCCAAACAATGCATATTCAGACCTGCAGAGTTTTGGCATGTATGGATAACAAGGAACACTCTCACAAAGTCTTGTCAATCTGCGCTGACAAAAAATGTCAAAAATAATTATTCTTTATATGTTGGTGAGACGTGCTGCACTGCAGAGCACTCGTCACCCAAAAGTGAACATAGCTGAAAGCAATGTCAGTATATCAGAAGAAGTTTGAAAAAGACATCACCTACACTGCTAGAAAGAATTTGACATTTAAGATGCAAAAAAAAATTTTCAAAAAACGTCATCTTGAAACTTCAAGTGCATTTATCTCAGCTTCACTTTTTGGCAGCAAATCCCACCTTAATAAAACTATTGTTTCAGTAAGAAACTACCGAGAGACTTAATATTTCCGGATTATATGCCAAATTTTTATCGAGCCGGTTACTATTAACTTAAATTTCACATTTTGATGTTCCTTTATTATGAAAAATTGTAAATTACAAAACTTGGCAAATGTAAAGAAAAAAATAAATAGTATTTTAATAAAAAAATTTTTACTTGAAAAATGCATATTTTCTGAAACTTCTTTTCATAGTAACCGGCAACAAGGATTTCAGTATGCATTCTACCAGAAAAATATGTGGTGATCAACACCATTCCTGAACGATAGATTCATTGAGCAGATTCCATGCAAAGCTATGCTTTACTTCGCTTGGGGGGTATAGAACCTCATAAAATTGGTTCACAGAGCTGAACCTTTGCATGCCCTACTTCTATATGGCTACAAGCACCGCAAATTTTACGCCGATTGAGTGAGTGGTTCAAAAGTGGACACGCCCAGGTAGTGTCCCCCCTTAAGTACCTAAGTTTTCGCGCTCATTACGTCGAGGGAGCCTACATATAGACAAACACCATTTCCATTTTTATATATAATGTCCCAAGAATAATTAAACCTTTCATGGGCGTGTGTACGAAACTGCACCCCGAATTTCACCAGTGTCAAAGACTGACATCTGTAGATGCTGCGTTACGTCACATAACGCTAAGGATCGTCAGATGGTTGAAATAACGTTGGTCGACGGATGTCTCGTATTTTGTATTTAATTATATAGTCTCCTAGGCTGCACTTTACTAAGGCAAAGCCTTATATTTCTCATCATTCAGTCGACCTTCAAAGTCCTTAAGCGAAAACATGTCGACGACGCGAAAACTACGAAAACATGTCGGCAACATGAAGGGTACCAAAACCCGCAGTTTGCCGCTGGACCATGAGATGGTGTTACTTGTACCAGAATCGGCGGAGGCGTGCGTACGGCACAAATCCAGTGGGAGAGGAGGACACTCTCGTTCGAGCAGTGGTGAAGAGCAGGCGTGCGACATGCCTCGAGATTAACGGCGCCAAAAGTTTATCGTCAGAGAGGGCACTGTTTTCAGAGGTTTGCTATAACCGAGATTGGCGCTTGGGCTTTTGCCTTCAAGTCTTCTTGAACCTAACATAAGAGACCCTGTGAATTTTTGAAATATGTTTCTTGTAATGTAGTTGACAAGAGTGTGCAAAAAAGTTGCGCCTTTTAGCAGTATATCACTTGAAAACGGCCGTTTGCTACGAGCAAACGCAGGCCGTTTTGCGCATACACAACTACGACGGCCACCGATTGGACAAGGAGCACTTGCAAAGAGAAGGATGCAGATTTTCCACTGAAGCGGCATCTGTGTCCATATATCGACAGATCCACTGGATCGGTGATGCGACTGCGGGTCGTTCCCTTGAAGGCAATGCCCGCTGGTCGAAGGCAAACGACGAATCGTTCAAAATGTCTGCAACGTTTCTAAATCGTCACTTGACTCGGACAAGCTCGGTGAATCATAGTCACGCTTCATTTTCACATGTGGGCCAAACAGAATTGGGCTGCACGCGTGCTAAATATAACTTTTGGCATCATTTCAAGATGGCTTAGCTGTCGGATTCGGTTTCGCCGCATAATCAAACCCACTGATCCGGTTTGGGCAAGGAGTGGGTGGACATAGCTGAATATTGTTGGCACAGATCACGCCTCAGCCTACGAGCCGTCTGTCCGCCTAGAGCTCAGCTCGTAGCTCTCTTCTGTGAGATGATGGCTGCATAAGTGGGATCTCCATCGTGACGGGAACACTGTGCCCCCTATGCACGACGACTATCCATTTTGCTTTTCGCTGCACGTCTCGCAGAAAAGTGCAGAACGTCACGTCTTGGCTCGCAGGTTCTGCCCGGTGGTTGGGGCACCCAACCGGGCAACAAATATCTCACCCATCCATGAAATAAGTCGAACACAGCAACAAAGATGAAGCATGCTGCGGCATTCACTGGCAGGCAAACGACGAGACAGAAATGATCGCTTTGCGTTATGTGACGTCAGAGCTTCATTGTTTCTAACGAAAGCACCGTTTTCGCTGGGATGCGATTGGAGCAGTTTAAAAATCAACTACTCACACAGAAAGGCATATAAAATTCAGGTATTGCATGGACAATGTGTTTCGAAGCAATAACAATGATACTTAATTGTTTCCTCAAACACAAAATTTGACCGGACAGTCCCTCTAAATTTATGGCATCCAGTAAATACTGCCCATTGCTAAGGAGGATGGTAAAATATTCTCGGTTATTTTTTCCAGTTCATTTTTCAAGGAGCTTAAAGCAGTCTTTTGTCTTCTGCAATCTGTCTGAAACAATTTCTTGTTCTGATCCAAAATAGAGAGTGCATTAGATTTTCCCTCGATATGTCATGTGTTGTAGGAAATCGCGTACCGCCGCCGATTCGCCATTTCCCCCGTGGTCCGTCAACAAACCGAGTCCAGCCTGGTTCTTTCACGGGAGCGGGATTCCGCTCCCCGTTTATTCGTACAATAAAACAACTCTACAAAACACTCAATTTAAACTACAAATACAAGCTACATTACACAATTATTTACAAATGCACGTTAAGCCTAAAGCTAAACACAAAGAAGGCCCTTAGGCCTCGCGTCCCGCGATATCCTAGATCCGGTCGCCACCCACTTGCCTGCCAGTGCCTGCGTCTCGGTCGCGTCCGGAGTTCTTAGAGGCCTCTCGCCCCCTGCCCCACCGAGTATATCTATCGATGGGCGAGGAGGTTTCTCCTCACCTGCCACGGGGGCGCCTGCAGCGCCCTCCAGTGGCTAGGAGAGAAAGCGGCACGTCGGGAGCCGAATTCGAGATCCCGATCGACCCCGCGGCGACACGACCATGTGATCATGTCTGAGGCGAGGCAGCTACGCAGCTGCCTGGCGGCCAAGGATTGGCAGAATGGTTTGATGGACGCCCTCGTGAATGCACGGTGCGCCATAGTGTCACATAAAACAAAGTAAAATTGAGTGGCACTAACAGCTTCATCCTGGAGCCAGAACAAGCTGCCACGCATAGCAGCCTGTTTTGCCATCTCACGGTCAAGCTGCCATGTGCTACCAGAGAAAGGCACCACAGCTTGTTTTGAAAACATATACTATGAACCTTTATTTTCGCAGACCCATTTTTCGCAAATCGGTCACACAGGACATAATCTCGGCCCCTAAATTTCACGAATTCCAGATGCCTGCCTTGAAACTCCTAAGGATAGAAATTTCTGTGTGCCCTCAAATTCTGCAAAATTTTAAATTCGTGAATATCACGAAAAATAAGAGCTCAGAAACATTGAGGGTTTTACAGTAAGTGGCTAGATCAAAGAGCCCGGTGTCCGTGCTGCAAAGTGATGCTGACGTGCTGTGTACCATCAAACTCTTTGATACCGACCAAGCATAGACACCGCATCCGTTATTCCTTTGGAGGAAGTTTGCAACTGCAAGGCACGGAAGGGTGTCTATCGAGCGCTATTACTTTACTTGACTGTGTACAAGAGTTGTAGCATTTGCAGGCAGCTGAAGGTACTCAAACTTTAATGGTTAAAAATTTTCGACACTTATTTATAATTTGAACACACTGCCAGCCGCCAATTGGCTGCCAAGGCAGGGGTAAGATAATGCAACGCACAGGAAGCAAGACAAACATGGGATGAAAGGAAGCTCTTAAAGGGGAGCTCTGGTAAAATATTCACGGTCATCGATTTTTATAAATTTTCACCACACACTAAATATCCACCCCAAAGTCGAAATATGCATTTTCTTGCGAGAGAATTAATTTTCAAGTTTACGCGCACGCCTCCAAATCACTGGCTAGTGCTCTACTGGCAACAACGAGCAGCGGCGGTGCTGGGATCATTGCGACGGCAAATGTATCCGAGAGCAGGTGCTCCCTTCTCTACAGTGTTGCGCGTTGAAGCGACAGTGAGCGTCTATGGTTTTACGGATTGTGTCCGGTTTAGGCTATTTGTGGCATGCAATGGAGGGTGGGGGAATCGGCGCTGTGCCGTGGGGTACAATAACACTACCGATACATACGACAGAATGACATCTCATTAGTTTCTGGTCGAGAAGTCTCTGCGACGGAAGTGGGTTTGAGCAGTCCGACATGAACGCTTGATCCCAACGTTCGCGTCGTGCTAGGAAACAGTTCGCACTGTGGTAGCAAACAAAGCCTCTAATATTACTCCGCTTCTGAAGTGACATCTTGGTGCATATGTTGCAAAATCGCGAATGCAGCCGCCACTGGTGGTTCCTCTGGAGACATTGGCAGGGGATCGAATGCGAACGGCGAGTGGTCCAAGATTTAGTCAATTTGCCAGTCATTGTTTGACTCAGACAAGCTTGTTGAATCATAGTCCATTGTCTACCATGGACAATCGCGATGGCTTTCTGACTACTTCTGATGCTCTAACGACTTTCTGACGACAAAATGGCAAACCACTAAAGTTCCGAGTTAGTTTCGGCTTCATATTTTCCAGCTAAATTCAGTGGGAAAATTTTTTCACCAAATTTAGCGGAGAAATTGTTCCACTAAATTTGGTGAGGAATTTTTTCTGCCAGATTTAGAGGAACACTTTTTCTGCTAAATTTAGCAAGGAATTTTTTCCACTACATTTGTCAACAAAATTTCCCCGCTAAATTTAGTGGAAAGATTTCCTCACCAAATTTAGCGGGGAAATATTCCTGCTAAATTTAGGCGCCGTAATGACGTCACGAGGGTGACGTCACTCGTGACCCTCGTGACGTCATTACGGAAACTTCCCATAATGCAACGTGCAATTACGCCGACGGCGACACCGCTCAAGCCGGAAACAGGTGCCCAAGAGCTGCGCTCTGAAAGCTTTGGGGAAATTTATTTTGCTACCCTAGGCTCAATGTCATGTACTCCTCTTTCAGAAAATATGTTAAGCTGAAAACGTTCACATCGACGCCAACGCCAGAGCTCCCCATACTGCTCCGTTTACACTAGTAGTGAGAATAAGCTCCAACCCACTGAGACATATAGCTTCGTATAAACCATGGCAACCAAGTCAAAAGAGTAGCTTTGCTTGCAACGTACGAAGCACGGATGTCCCGGTAACTTGTGGTTGTATCATAAGTTTATAACATAATGTAAGAAAACACCCATGTGTGAATGGACCATTACTCTTACCTTCAACTGAGTCCAGAGGTACAATTGGTTACGGTGCTTTCAAGAAAACATGACGCCAGGATCAAATTTGATGAGCTTTACACTCACGGAAGGTTCCTGAAGGGTTAACAAATCCACAGCTTCAATTCTTGACCCATACATAAACATTTCAAGGGCACGAAAGGCTGCAGCGTCTCTTTACATTCTAACCATACCGCACAAGTTTTTGAAGCGAGCTGCGCTGCCTTCCTCTGATGCTGCACTTTCATAGAAATTCCACGGGTCCTCAAAGGCAAATATGACTGTTCACAGAAGGTTTCAGAAACCATCTTCAAGGGACAATGACAACCGAGCAGAAAACGTGCCCTTCAGAATGTAGCCGTGCAGCCTCCACCACACTGCAAGCGGCCAACTATGTGATATGGCAAGATTGCCGATTTTGAACTTGCAATGGCCGCATACTCGGAGCAGGGAAACACAATCTAGCAAATCGTCAGAGATCAGTCATAGAGACACGAAGTGGAGCACAAGGCACACTGAAAAAGTGGTCGGCACACCCCGAAAAAATGGAGGGGAGGGCAGACTAATACATAAATAATTTAATTATTTTTTTTCTTTATATTTGCATGGTGCGGTTTTTATAACAGCATGCAATTATATGGTACATGCTACTCCAACTTATGGTTACAGTTTGTATTAAAACTAGAACTAACTGATTTTTAACAATAGTTTTGCTCTACAGCACTTGGCAAAACTCACCGTGAAGTGTTTGCAGGGGTACTCTATCCAGACCTCGGCACAGCTCATGTAGTCCTGCGAAGAAAGGGACAAAGGTTTTACAACTGCACACTTCGTTGTATTTTACAGGTTGCATTCTGTGCCTCTCCTCCATGATCCAGAAAGCCTGCTAGTACTGCGTGTGTGCGATTGTAGCCTCGGCATAGCCGCCACAATGCCAGCAATTAAATTAAGCTTTTCATTGCACGAGCATGCACACAGGGTGGAGCAAACTTTCACGGAAAGAACTTTTACCCCGGCAAAAATAAACCGGACGTAAACAGACTGCCGCATGACTTATGTAGGAGTTGTGTTGCCTCACGATTTCTGAAGTGTCCTGTATTAGCGACTCCGCCGAAATCGACGCTGCGTACCGGCAACGCCGAGAAGCTAGGGAGGGGATGTCGTTTCCACTGTCGTGTGCTATCGCTGCCTGGTTTTTGTAGGCAGCATAGAAACAAACATCACTTCCACTAATTATTTGTATGCTTCCGCCCTGTCATTCCTACGCACTGACTAGAAGAAGGTTTCTATTGTCGAAAAATCGCTATGCTTTAGTATGCAACACCGATTTTACGCTACAGTGCAATAAATTTATAGTGGTCTGCGTGCTGAACAACGAAAACGACCTCCTTTCGTCCGCTATTCTGCCTGACCAGCGCGCCCCCTATAGTTCACAGGAGTCGCGAATAGACAGGCACCCCTCCCGGCCAAAACGGGACGTCTGATCATCCTATTTTAGGTTATGTGACCTCAGTAAAGTGACCTTACAGGCGACGTCTTGTTGCTTCTTTCTGTTCATTAAGCTGCTGCCAGCCACATGGGAGCGTCGGGACCATCCATCTTGATCACAGATGTCGTAAATATGTCGTGACGTTCTGAAGCGGCCCGAATGAATGGGACCTTTCCCTCTAGATCATTGTGTCAATTCCATGGTCGGCATTTGGGGAGGCGGTCTTCCGTGTCGTGAACTGTATAGCCGATCCCGGAGGTGGCACAGGCGCAGGCTTTGGTGAAGATGCCATTTGACGTGCTCTCAAAGCCACACCATGTTGGTGACGTGCAACAACAGAAAATAAGGATGCAAGCGACCATGCTTAGCGTGACACTCCTGAGTGGGCGCATTAAGTCCGTGCTCCAGAGCACGAGAGTTTGGTGCTCCTTTCACTAAACGGACAGGAGTGTCATTGGAGACTGACACTCGAGCGCGCTCTTCGTGCACCAAGAATTTCTCGGAGCACGAGTGACTTCTTTGCGCTCCGTGACGTCACGTAAACAAACAAGATGGCTGCGCTGCTCTTGAGACCGTCAAGACGAAAGGCGCAGCCGGACCGTTGCCCCTTTTCAGTTGATTAGGGCTTAATCCAGCAGGTAAAAACGATTTGATATGAAAGCCAAGACAGCAATTAGCATTCCGAAAAAGGTTTGTTTGTGCATCTCGCCTGAAAAAGAAATTCTTCTGTCAAACGGTAGCGCGCCGATAGCACAGTAACAGAAAAGTTGTCGAGATGAGGAGACATTCACACCGCTCTGTCCCTATTATAATGCTTAGCCCAGCGAATAAAGATACTTCGATTTGAAAGCCGAGACATCAGTGAGCATTGAGGAAAAGGTTTGTTCGTGCGTCTTGCCTGAAAACGAGCTGATCTATCGAACGAGCGTGCCGATAGCTCGGCGACAGAAAAGTTGTGATGAAAAGACTCAGATCGCTGCCCTGCTTAGAATGGTTAGTCCAGCCGCAGCGAATAAACAGGGTCGGACAGTATCGCGATACAAATTTATTGCGATAGTATTTCAGAGATACATTTCGCATCTGTATTTCTGTATCGCGATACAGTTTTTTCACCAGTATCTGTATTCCTGTATCAAAATACATTTGAACGTTTTTTTGTATCGCGATACAATAAGGATGAAATGTATTTCGTTACATTTCTTGAGAAATATTGTCCCCCCCCACCCCACCTCGAAAGAAGAAGTCTTAACGCATTTTTTTATTTTACTTCTGAGGGCACCAGGGTTAAGGAGATGCTGGGGCATTGGTACTACGCTGACCAAGGTACCTTCTGATTCTCCAAACTATTTTTCTATGCGTCCTCTTCTCTCTTCTGAGAATTGCTGCGTAATCGGGGACTCGAACCAGGTGGCGTGCCAGGAGTGGAGTCAGAGCATCCTCTGCCGCAGGTCCTTAGGAAGAGATTTCTTGATTTATTGTTTGCTGGCATCCAATGCTCGCTGCCAGCTAACCATCTCTCTTGCCTTAGCGTACACAGCACACCCAGCCGGCAAAGCTGAGTCACAAACCATTGCAGCACGAACCTGGCGGTGGTTCACTTGAAATAGTAGAATGACTCACGCAGTGAAGTTCAATGCATATCCGAATGCGTCTCCGGCTGCACCCGTAATATTGCACGGCTCAAGGGTACGTCATCAGTCGACGTGAACGTGACCCGCTGCTTTGGTGATCCGAAACCGAGGAAGGAGGCCAGACGTTGCCTCACTGTGCCGACCCAGACTTCGTACACCTGTGACTTGTCTAGAGCACGCTGTTTCTCGGAGAGCTCGCATCTGTGCCAGCACTATCAGGTCCAATCCACGAGGTCCTTGTTCGGAAGATGCTAGGCAAAACTTGAGGACTGCAATCTGTACGTGCGTCAGTGGCGGAGGGTCGGTTGGAAAGACCTTCACAACAGGGATGCCACCGTATCGTTTTTTCAACAATAACAGAAGATAAGACATGTGCTCCAGGATGCTTCAGATGGTCCGCTATTCTCAAAAATTCCAAATGACATTGCCTGCACAATCTTAAATGAGGTCACCTACAATGAAAGTATGTATTGCCCTTTCATACAACAGCGTGGGTAAAATTACATGTTCAAGGCCACAAATGCAGATAAAAAATACCAGTTCAATCCACCGTGACGTCATGTGATCAATGTTGACAGGGGCGCCCTTATTCGACAGGGGCATGGTGACATTTTGATGGGATTTAGGGTGACAGCATTTATTTAGAGGTCAAAGTCTTTTCGCATCACTTGTCAGACATACAGGATATCAGGGAAGGGACCGTACTCAATCCTTAATGGAACTTTTTTTTTTTTTTTGTGCCCATTGAAGACTTTTTGTTGTCCGAAACCACTACCTTCAAGGCAAAGTGTCAAGCCTACGGGAAAGTAAAAAACAAATTCGAAAAAAAATTGCATTATCAGTATTTCTGCCCTCCCTAAAATGTATTCCTGTATTTGTATTTCCAAATACTTTTTGCCTCTATTTAAAATGTATTTCCGATCAGATCGCAATACATTTTTAGATATATTTCAGTATCAGTATTTCAACTACTATTTTAATGTACCTATCCCAGTATTTGTATTTCCAAATACATTTTTGAGTATTTCTGCCCAACCCTGCGAATAAAGATATTTAGATTGGAAAGCTGGAACACCAGTTAGCATTGCGGGAAAGGTTTGTTCATGCATACCGCCTAAAAACAAATTGACGTGCTATCGAACGACGGTGTGCCGGTATCGGCGTAGCTTCCGTCTTGCTGCGAGACGGAACTGACAATACCTGGGAATCTCTGACAAATTTGAGGGTTTCCTGAGTCGACGAGCAGGGTCATGAATGTTGTCTTTAATTTAAATCGGAACAACAGGCGTGGTCAATAAATTGATTGGCCAAGGTAACCTTCCACATATGTGCACGAAGCGAGTCTTCAAACCTTTCAGGAATATTAAAACGTTCGTAGAAACTTCATAACGTCGCCGTCTCTTTCGCTCTAGACTCAGCCGCTCCCCACGGGCCTAATTATTTATTTTCGAAATATTTTCGGCTTCTGCCACCCGTATCCACGGTCGGAAGGAGCTTATGTGGCTCGTCGATAGTTTCTGGCTCTGTTCCAAAACTTCCATGACCCAACTCTAGGGTAAAGGTGGTTATCGAAAACCTACCCGCATCCAGCGTTTCTCTATTTTTATTGTCATGTGACATAATCCGCCAAAGTAACTCGGATCCATTCGAGTAGGTTTGGAATGCAGCCTCGGTGTGTCGCGCTCCTGTACGCTATGCATCGTTTAGTTGCTGCCCTCGGAGTATGAAACTCGGAGTGTCGGAGCAGGAGTAAAGGACTTAACGCGCCCACTGCAACATGCTAGAAGTGTTTCATATCAGTATTTGGCCGAGTATTTCCAGCCCCCTGGCGTTGAAGCAATTGAGTGGGTTGCACAGAAAGCAACAGGGAGCATGAGACTGTTTCCATCGAATGGATTTCGCAAACTAACAACGCCGACTCACGGCTGGATTCTTGAGCTTGGAGACCACTTTCCAGACTTCGTTGAGGACCTGGAGCTTCTGCTCCTCCGGTGGATCGGACACCAGCAGGCACAGGCCCAAGGTTCGAAACATCACGTGCTGCAAGGACGGCAAAATATAAAAAATAACTAGGGAGCGTGCGAATAGTGAAACCTTAACTTGAATCAAACTCGAATTGAATAATAGTGCCGAATAGCAGCCAAAATGTTGAATGTAGAATCTAATGCAAAAACCAAATATTTTATTCGCAATGCTCACAGGAGTGAAAAAGAAAACTGCATAGATCAGGAGAAAAAATTGCGGTGGCTTAACTCAGCTACGCCAAGATATACGTAGCACGAGCTTATGAGCACAAAAAATTAGAGGCACTATCAAGCGGCTCCAGTGCAGCGTCAGACTCGGCTACTGTGCAACGGAGGCGCACAGCTGGGCAAGCGGCAGCGCCAGTGCATCTGCCGCGGCTATGACGCCACTCCTCTGCAATGCGCAAACCGGCGAGGCGGGCCCGGCGGCGGCTTCGCGTGGCTCTTATAATGAGCCATGCTCATTAAGCAAAGCGCGCGGTGCCGTGCTCATTATGCGGAGCTCCGCCACTGCCGCCACAGGATCCGCATAATGAGCACGGCTCGCATAATGAGCACGGCTCATTATGAAGGCCATGCGAAACTGCTCAACCTCGGCCAGTGCAGCTAACGCTACAAAAGCCTAACGTGCATATTCTCCTCCAAGGCTTGTGGAACGAAGAGATGCCAGCACAAATACAAACGGTGTCAAAATTCAACTTTGAGGGTCTTTACATGGAAAAGTAACAGCAAGGATCTGGTACGCTGGAGCAGAGGACTGAAGATTGATTTCAATCACCTGGAGATCTTTTGATACATGGCGCCTCCTCCAGAATAAGCCTACATTAAATAGCGGGCACCCCGGACTGGATAAAAATGGTGTTAATGAACACACTTGACAAACTTAAAACACAGCTGACAGACGTGTCCACCCATCCACGTGCGGATATGCAGCGTTCTGGATAAATGAACGGATATAGCCAAATCACCTGTATCAGGTGACGTCTCATATCACCTAACCTCGCTCAATGCAACAGGGAGTCAAAGGTTCACAGAAGGGATCAGTTCAGCTATTGCTGTTGTTTTTATTTTGATAATAATTTACAATTTTATGGACATAACCAAGAATATGTGCGTAAGGCTGGCTGCAGGGGTTGGTAAGATACCGGATTCAAAATAGTGACACGCATGATATACGGGTTTTCGTCGAGTGCATCCAGGAAGCTGGGGGCACGACTACTTAGTCCAAAGAGCACGGGAAACAAACTACTTTCCGTCGAAATGATTTGTTATTCATGGCTTCTGAATGCAGGCTTAATTTAGATCCAGTACAGGCCTGCGAAGACTATTTCACCACATGCGTTCCTGGACAAAACCAGAAGTCTGCCAGCAGTACTGATATTCGAAATATTGAATTATTCAAAAACTCGATTACTAGAAATATAAAAGCAAAATCTAATTATTCGGGCAATCATTATTTGATTCAACTTCGAAACTCAAATATTTGCACACCCGTAAAAATCTTGTTTCAGACACAGGTGTAAGCAAAAAGGGAATTATGAGAATGAACCCCCCTTGAAAAAAAAATTATCTGGTCACCTCCCCCACTTTTTATGCCAAGCTCCATAGCCTAAATAAAGCCATAGCCACATCCCTGAAAACACTGTCACTCTTTCAGATCCAATATTGTTTAAACAAAACAAACAGATAATGATTAAAAAAATTAATAAATCAGGTTTCTTTCATTTGAACCAGATTTATTAATTTAAATCAAGTTTATTTTATTTATTTCAGGTTAAATTTGATTTAGAGCACCCTAGCTAGGAAGAAGTTATTATGTATCACTAAATGTATTTTATAAATGGGAGATGGATGAATTAACCCATCAGATTATTGAAAACAATGCAGAGGAAATAATTATTGTACATTTAAGGGGTACGGAAACAAAAATTGAAATATTCACATTTCGTCTGGAAATGAGTCAAGCATGACGGATAATAACCGTAAATGATTATCGCACGTTTGTATTTTGAACGACTGACTATATTTTTCATTCCAAACGGTGCACTCGAGCAAGTGCTCGAAGAGAAGCGAACGGAGAGCGCGATGCGTCGTGGGATATCCGACGCAAACAAAAACAGAAAGAAAAAAAGAGTTCCCGCGTTCGTGGCATAGTAAGGCTGGCGTGGTTATGAGCTTTGCCGTTGGTGGCGTTGCCAGCGTTGTGGTGGTGTCAATAGTGTCAACGCGTTACAACCGAGCCGTTCTAAGTACTCGTGGGGTGACGAGCGTGTGGCTGGCCCAAGGAGCACATAGCTTCCACAACACTGTCAGCTTAGGTCTGAACGGGGTGGGGAAAGCAACCTTTGTCCAAATTATGAGCGACTGGCTAATCTTCTAGGGGGAGGATGGCTGTATCCGGGTGCACAAACAAGGCTCCAAGAAAGAGGGAGTCTCTCCTTTCCGTCTTCTCGAACTGTTTGGTTCAAAGCGCGATTTGCGAGTTGAAAAGGAAAGTTAAGAAGGAAAATGTTAAAATTCCAAAGGACAGCACTACTCCGATGGAGCTTGCTACGTTATGACTATGTAGCAAGTTCCCCAACGCTGCTAGATTACCTCCCAAATAGGCTCCGCACGCATCTGTCATGATCTTTCTCGAACGTGGACGAAGGGGGCCGAAGCACCCGCCGAGAAGAGACGACACGCAGCCTGGTTGTGAGGGTGGACGATGTCTGACCGGAGCGGCATACGCTCAACGGCGTTTATTCGGCGCGGTGATCAATGTTGCCCGCTGAGCCAGGTGGCCGCAGACGGGCGGACTGGAGGGGGGCGCTACATACTTGTTACAGCATCCAGCAGGTGCACAGTGAAAGGTTGTTTAACTAGCTTTAAAATTAGTTTGTTTGTGCCTTTCAACGTGAGCCTGGTGATTTTGAGGTTATGCTGCGACGTGCAACACATTAAAGCTATAAAATGAGTGCTGGAATTTCGTTTCCCTACCCCTTTAATGTACACTTTAGTTAACAACTTCTTATTGATGTGAATCCTGCCACACTAGAACAAAAGCAGCTAATTTTTTTAGCAGTTAAAAAGCTTTAACAGCATTTTTAACATTTTGATTTGCTTGCAATATGACATCACTTTTCTTGTTTTCCTATTGTCATAAAGATCCTAAACATGCCCTTCCCCTTCCCCCTGAAAAAAATTCTTGGCTATGGCACCAGTTTCGGACAACACAAAAAAGAAGCTCATAAAATGCCCTCAATGTCTTTACCAGATAAATTGTGGCAAGAGATGACACCGCCGAAAAACAGAACTGTTCTCCCTGTCTGTATACTTCTGCTTCACCTCTTAGCAGTGTAAAGGAACAGGTCCAAGAGATTGTGACAGGCAAACAACAATGGAGGCTGCGGCACCTGGTTGGTTATTAAACAAAGATGTGTTTTGTAGAAATAGCAGTGGTCAGGGGCGATTTCACAGCCCGTGTTTGCTATTTTTGTGGTTAGAAGTCGAACGACATAGCTGTAATGATTTTATCTTCATTGCTTTTCTGTTCTGAAGCCTAACAAGAACCTGTTTTTAATTTTTCGGACTTTGCATAGGCCCGGCGTTTCACAGTACATACAAAAAATGCATCCCAAATTACGAAGCACACGCTGCGCAAATCTGCGAGGACGGTCGGAGAGAGAGGCCCCCCTGTCCCCACCTTTGGAAAAGTGGCGTCGTCGCACTCCTTCATCATGTTCACAAACTCCAGGGCTCTGTTTGCAATGAACTCTGGCTTGAAGGCAGTCATGATGGAGTTGAGTAGCAGGGCACTGTAATTGAGAGCAATGCAGACCCACACAATCATTTAAAATCAAGAGTGTACTTTGTTGGAACACTCAATATCCTCTCAAGTTGCATCACAGTATGGTTTCCGAAAGGGCTTCTCGTGTGATAGGCAACTGCTTGAATTCACTCATGACCTTCATGGTAATACGAACACCAACTCTCTAACCGATGCCGTATTTCTTGATTTTTCTAAAGCATTTGATTGCGTACCTCATCCCCGTTTAATATCTAAACTCTCCTCACTTAATCTTGATTCTCTAACTCTCTCGTGGATTCGAAACTTTCTCTCGCTCCGCTCCCAGTTTACTGTCAATGGGGATTTTCAATCTGACATCTCTAACGTAACTTCGCGAGCCCCTCAAGGCACCGTCTTAGGGCCTCTTGTGTTTCTTATCTATATTAACAACCTTCCTAATTCGCTGTCCTCTAACATACATTTGTTTGCAGATGACTGTGTATTACACTGAAAAATTAATCATCCAGATGACCATCTAACCCTTCAACGAGATCTTGACAACATTCATAACTGGTGTGACAAATGGCTAATGCCCCTAAACACGCTGAAATGTAAATTACTTCATTTTACTTGCAAAAAACCTTTTCCTCATTCCCCTATTCTCTTGGTAACATGCCTGTTAGCATTGCTTCTTCTTACAAATACCTGGAAGTTCACCTCACTTCTAACCTTTCATGGATCACCCACAATAACAATGTAATAGCTAATGCTTCTCGAACTTTAGGATACATTAAGCGTAACCTCAAGGCACATCCTCAACTCATATCCTCAACAACATCCTCAACTCCGTAAACTAGCCTACGAAACTTACGTTCGCCCAAAACTTGATTATGCTTCACCAATCTGGAACCCCCATCAAGTCTACTAAACCAAACGTATCGAAGCCGTCCAAAACCGAGCAGCACGTTTTATAACATCGAGTTATTCCTATAATATAGGCGTTTCTACTCTAGAAAGTCAGTGTTCTCTTCCTCTACTTGAAAACCGTTGTAAAATTGCTCTTATGTGCCTCATTCATAAGCTCTACTATCACGATATTAATATACCTATTCTTGAGCCTCCTAACAGATCTTCCCATCGAACCATTAACAGCAAAAGTTTCAAGCACCTAACCGGTAAAACTAAAGTCAGTAATGTGTTTACTAAGTTCCCATTTGTTTTTTAGTACACCAAGAGCGCGTGTGAACCATCCCGCTTTGAAAGTGTGCTTTTCTCATAAGCATGTGACTGCGATATTCCTACTTTTCGAAGTGTTGTTCACGGCGGTTTAGCCCCGTTGAGCATGCTTCTCAACGAGCACCGGTGCACTGTGGAGAAGCAGCAGCTGCAGAACTCGATTTTGTGGGTGTTGTTTCTCTGCATTGCAGCAGCGCTCAGTAACAAGCGCACTCAATAAAACAAACCAGCTGGGATCAACATGAAAAAAAAGAAATTGCACTTTATCTTGAAGCAAATATTGAATAGTGTATTATTCGAAACTATTAGAAAATTTTAATGTTTGCACAATCCATTGCTTCAGAATCTCTCCTAACTGAAAATGTGCCTCGTGCCATAAATATTGAGCTGAGAAATGTGTTCTTTAAGTGAAAGTTTCTTTTGGGACATACTTCTACCTTGGCACTTAGAACAAAAACATTTTTTGGGGAGTCATATTCCGTTCACACTTAAAGCTCATTAACAGACTGGTGACTGCCTGCGACTGGAAGCATTACGACCTCTTGTGATCTCTTATGATGACGGAGTACACTAACACCATCTACTGGGTAGCCGTGCAACGTCCGCAATTGCCGTATATTTCTTATTTCTTTCGCGCATCATTCTTTCATTATTGGCTCGAAAAACTTTTGGCAGTGTTAAGAACTATCACTTCTCATAAATATTAAGGACATTTGATGTTTCAAATACTGCAAAGTGCACCATCAGGGCCTCCTCATAAATGGCGTCGGAGTGTGTTCCCTCGTAAGGTGCAAAAGAGGTCACAATGCACTCATTCATAAGCAGTCACCAGTGTGGAAATGAGCCTTTGCATTGAGACTGCAGCTAAGGCTATAAACACGAGTAGGAGACATTGTCTTTGAAACAATTTGGTGCAGAACGAGCACTTGTGCTAGAAAGGCACCTTTCGAAGCAAGGACTGCAGTCTCAGCTTAAGGAAAGGTGAAGAGAGTACAACAGCAGCACCTACCTGTTGCACTGCGACTTGCAGCGCGCGAGCACCTCGGTGAGCACGTTCTCGGGAGCCCTGTAGGCGACGCACTGCAGGATCCAGTCCAGGGCCGGGCAGTAGAGGGTCAGGTAGGTGCCCATGTCCATGTGCTGCTGCTGCAGCGTCTGCTGCACCAGGGGCCTCTGAAGCTGCAGGGAGACAAGCCCGAGACGTCGCATGCTGCTTCAGAGTGCCAAGTGGAAGTGACTGGGACCGTGCATGCTGCAAAATCCCGTATAAATGACCTCCCCCTAGAGATCACCCATCCTGTTTCTTTCACTAAATGCCCACAAGGTTAAAAATTCCGAGTGATCACCCAGCCCGTCCTATTCTTGTGACGTCCAGTAGGATTCGCCCTAACTGCCACGCTCCCGAAAAAAGAAAAAAAAAAAAAAGGATGATTTTGGGTTACGGCACAAATGCATTAGTGGGATTTCCTCGCTATCTGACATACGTCAAACGAAATTAAGTGCATCTTATTCCACCGCAATCGTAACATAGTAACCAAAGAGAAAGCATGGTACGGTGAAGGCGCCGATAGTATTTTATTTTCACCTTACGCCCTTTTAAAAAAGTGATCGGTAGTTTCCTTTTGGGGGCTGCAACCTCTTGGAGCAAGTTAGCCACACCATTGTGGGAGTGCACAAGTTGTCGAATGCCACCAAAAACGACGTTATTACACATGTCAACACACACACGCCTTTGTCCAAAGTATCGGCATCGGGTAGTTCTCTTTTTGACGACCTCATTAAATGATAGTGCGTTAAGGACGGCGATGTCGTCGTCGGCATTTGACGTGGTTTGCAAGTCCCGATGAGTCCACATGGTTACAGCACACCATTATTCAAGAGCTTGCAAACTTCCGCGACTTGGTAAATTTTCTGAATTTAATTATTTTTTGAATTATCATAAAATTTCTCTTCGCTACATCCAACAGTCTGCGACTTGGTAAATTCACTGAATTTGATATTTTTTACAACTTATTGTAAAATTTCCCTTTGCTATATCCAACTGTCTGCAAATTAATGAAATTACTGAATTTAATATTTTTTTAAATTATCGCAAAATTTCTCTTAACCCGCAGGAGTTGCTCAATTTCCTTCGCCATAAACAGACACAAATACATTGAAAAAGTGCAAATAGGAATGGAAAATCGTAATCGCTTCGCTATAGCCGCCATTTCGTTATAACTGACTTGGTTATAAGTAGGGGCAACAGTCGCTCAATATCCTTACCAACAGTTACAAGATTACTGATTTAAATAAGTTACTATAGTTACTGAACTGATAAACTTTTACATGACTCTACAGAGCCAACGCTACTATTTGAGAAACCAATCAAGTAGCACCAAAAGTGCACCATCACGGCTTTAGTCACCTTTGCGCATTTGCTATGACCGACTGACTGACCGACCGATGGTCGAGGGAGCAAAGCGAGTTGGGACATCCACGGGGACGATGGGCACCTCTGCCCAACCGCCACCATTGTCCAGGTGGTGGCAAGAAAGACGTCGTCTGCACTCACCTGGGGATACGTGAGAAGGAAGTCCCAGAAGTTCTCCAGGACGTGTTCGTGCGCCTCCGGTGCAACCGACATTCCCACCTGCAAAGCGGCTCGGTTGCGACACAAGCTTCCGTCGCTTGCCGACGATCAGAACGCGGGTGCTGCGAGGCAGCGATTCTCAAAATCTGCGTCGCCACGAACAGATTTATTTCGATGCGACAGAATGGAACGATTGCAAGTATGAAAACGAACACGTTTATTTGTTAGTCAGAAAATCAATTGAACGAAGCAAATATTATACGTGAGGTAAACTCGTACTACCAAACGATATGCAAGAAACCAAGTGAAACAAATAGACTCTTAGAATAGGGGGCCTCGAAGCTTGCGGGCCCCTAAGAAATAGGGGCTCACCACCGTGCATGTGCTGAACCCAAACTGCCTCTCGGATTTTGAGTTTGCACTCGCTCCCAATGTAAAATTCGAAAAATAGCGCGGGGCCCGTTTGCCCTGGGCCGGATTGCGTCGGCAAACATGGCCAGCGCCCTTTCCGCTCGCTTCAAAGCAAATTCGTCACGGTTGCTGCCGCAGTAGCCATGTTCATTGACAGCGAATGGTGCAGCCGGTTTTTGCGTCGCCTTATCTCACTTATATCACAAGGAATGAGAGGTGAGCTCGCCCCATTTTAAGGCTTAAGAACGGCCAGATTCCGGCCGTTCCTAAGCCTTAAGGATGCGCTGACTGCCTACATGGCAACGTCTTGCTACTCCAAGACCCAGAGTGAATTTTCTCTGCTCGATCGGCCAAGCATTTGTGACACGTTATCTTCTAAGGCTTCCAAGCTGCATGGTGGAAAATATGCTTAAAAAACACAGACAAACAAAAAACCACACAGGAAGAGGCATACAGTAAAACCTCGTTATAACAAAGTTGAAGGAGCGGTCGTAATTATTTTGTTATAACAATTAGTTTGTTATAGCCAATGTCCATTTCTTCCCACTATTAGCAAGCAAGGGGAATTGATTGCTTTGCTATATCCATTAGTTTGTTATATCCCATTTTGTTATAACGAGGTTTTACTGTACTTCCGTATTTTCCACCATGCATAAGTACCAACTAGACCAACTCGCAGTTTTAATACTTCCAAGCTGCTCCAGTTTACATACATAGGGTGACGCAAGTCACCCTATGTACGTAGCAATCTCAACTTTTCGTCATAGGTGTATTTCACAGGTTGGTTCTTTCTTGCAAAATTACAAAGCATAGCTCTCGATCTGTAAAAAAATAGGGCGAAAATTCTTGCCAGGGTCAACGGCGGGCGGCGACGCAGATGACCCAGCCCTGTAGCGGGGTGTGTTGTAAAAGTTATGAAAATAGCTTTTTTGGAAGGGCAGCTTACAAAAGGTGCAGTTCCTGCAACCTGTTGCGCTGCTTTACACTTTCTAAATTGCCCCCGTGCAGCCTAGAACAGTAGAATAAGTTGCCATACCGTATTCTGCATAAAGAGCGGCGCAAAATATTCGTCATCTACTCAAAATCTTAACGCAATAATGGACAAAATGTTGAACTGGGAAGCCAGTGTCATGCGTGTGCATGTAAATGAGAAGCGTGCACTTACGCGGCAGAGATAGCAGCGAGCATATGCGGCCACCAGGGGGTCTCCTATCCCGCAGATGACTCTCGTCAGCCGCATCAGCGCCGTCGAATACTCCCTGATGGGCGCAACACTCAATCTATGTCAATTCAAGTTTAACAAAACAGATGGCACGAGTCAATCCTTAACTAGCACCTACTAATGGGCAATTCCAAGCACTAAAGAAATGGCATATGCTTAAAAGTGCCTAGACATGCCCAGAAAACTCTGGCGCCTCGAAATGTCTTACCACAGCCTGTGCCAAAGCAAATCTGGTGCCTACAAAATTCTGGTACCTAAAGTGCCTATAGGCATGTCTGATACTTAGACGAGGCTAGCAAGTTGCAATTTAGCTGTAGAACACTGGGCATTTCTATAATTTTCTACTTTCTTTGCTCATCATTCCTTCTTTCTTGGCTTAAAAAACTTTTGACAACGTTATAAAAAAGGGTTCTTCGTTTTTGAACTCGATAACCAAAGAGAAATCGGGTTTTTGTAGAAATAATTCCGGAAATCGGGTGTTTTCAGGTTATATTTATAAATGGACATTCGAGGGTTACGGGGCAAAATGATTCTTTTACACAGACGAGACTTATCAAGTTCAATTTGTAGCGTATGAACTTGATGTTCGAGATCACATAGTCTTCTCGATTCTTCACATATGTTTCTTCACATCTTTCACAATTTGCATTCGAAGCACCTCTCCCTTTAAAAATATACGAAAGAGTCAGACGAAGAGGACGGACAGGACAAACATCTTTTCTCTTCGTCTGACTCTTTCGTATGTTTTTGAATTTATTACCGACGCGCTCAATCCAAGTTCTCCCTTTAAGCTACGCACTTTGGTAAACGTTTTTAAAGAAGGCTTCAGCAGAAATCTGGTGTAACCCGATTTGTTGTAAGCTTGTTTGGAGAGCAAAAATCAGGACAGATTGGGTTTTACCCGAAAAGGAAGAACCCTAGTTGTAGACGACCATTTCTCGTTACATACATTTGATCTCACAAATAGTGCATAACCTTCGCTCTGGTAAAATGCAGTTCCAGGGACACCTCATAAATGATGCCAGTCTGTACTCTCGCTGTAAGAGATTGCAAGAACTCCGTCGAAAGCAAACACAAGCGTGTGAATGGGCCTTAAACTGCAAACAAACACGATGATGAGTCGATTTATGCGAACCCTTCAAAGATCCAGGCGATTCACCCGGTACGACGCAGAGAACGAGTGGGTAATGTACAGCGCTCACTTCTGAGTCAGGAAGCTGTACGACTTGAGGATGGCCGTCTCCACGTAGAAGCGTGGAATCAGCTCCCGGACAGAGGCAATCTTGAAGAACCAGTTGCGACATGTTTCCTTCGCCGACTCGGGCACTTGGTCGGGGGTGAAGTTCTCTGCGTAAGCAACATCAACCAAATTGAATGCTACATATGCAGCCTGCTGCATCGTGGCCACAACAACAGTAGGAAGGTAGCAAAGCTCGGCACCATTCTAGATACACGCCGGGACCTGAAACAGACAGTCTGGAAATTAGGTATACTTCTTCCGTCCTTAGACTCTGTTCGCACGGTAATAAAAAGCAGAAGCAAGTTAGACGTTCGCGTTTAGAGAGCATGAGGTCGGTCTGCCTTTGAGGTAGGGATGCCGCAAACTTTTTTCGAATTGAAGTTTCGATGATCGAATCAAGCGGTTCGAAAGGTTCGAAATACAGTCGAACCTCGATATAACGAACTTCAATGTAACGAAATCCTCGATTTAACGAAGTATTTTATTTTTCATAATTTCTTGCCATATTTTAAGTCTCTATATAACGAAGTCTATTTTGCTGCTATTTCAATATAACGAAGCGCCATTGCCATAGAAGGCAATAAATAAATAGACTCTAAGAAACAACTTCGCAAAAAAATTGTGGTTAAAAAATAAAATTATGCGCGAACGCGAGCGCTTGATAGGTTACCTCACGGGGACAGGCCTTCCAACGTTCCTAGGCTGCCCGAGGAAGCGGCGCCGGTAGCGCCGGCGAGGCATGCGGCAAAACGGATTCCGCGGGGCTGGCCAGAAAATGCCGAGCAAAAAGTTTACACGGCATAACAGCATCACCACTGACATTCACTGATCATCATAGTCCACTGTACCGCGGGTAGCGCGGGAGCCAACTTCAGCGGGAAAGCGACGTGATGGCGCGACCGCACGGGCAGTGCCATCTAGGAGAAGACCAAGAAGACCGATTATCGTCTTGCGACCGTGATGTAAAGCAAAGGCACAAGCACACTGTGGGCGCAAGGGGGCAAGTAAACTGTGCGGGCAAGAGTGCTGTGTAGGTGGGAAACATTGGCACCGCCTAAACTAAACAGCTTTATTTTTCAACCGGGCGGTTCACTTACGTGCTTGCTGCCATAAGGAAACATAAAAGTTCTTTCTTTGGATGAGAAAGCAAACGTTTTGGACGCCATCCTGAAGAAACTGCTGAGATCACGAGCACTCGGGAAGTGCTCGACGCAATGGACGTACTGAGGAGGTACACGGCGTCGCATGGGCAGCAAGATGCCGTTCAAGCGCTCTGGGCGCTCGAACGCCGTATGATGCGGCTGCTACTGTCGGACAAGGAGCAAGCAAAACTCGCGGACTAATTTGCCCCAAAATAAATGTCATTTTCGGTGAGTTTTCATACCCGTAAAATGTTTCGGAATTTTTTTTTGCATGCAAAAGCCAAATTTCGATTTAGCGAAATTTCAATGTAACGAAGTAAATTGCGAATTTCACCGACTTCGTTACATCGAGGTTTAACTGTATTTCGAATTTTTTAACTTTCCATATCTAGAAATTTGACGGAAGTCAAACTTTCGAACTTATTATGCTGCAAAATTCAATGCTTGTCGAACTTTCAAACTTGATAGACAAAAAAAATTCAATGATTTTCGAACTTTCGACCTTCTTGCACTAAAAAGTTCGAAGCCTTTCGAACTTCCTGCGCTAAGAAATTAGATAATTTTCGAACTTATTAATCAAAAGAATTCGAAAATTGTCGAACTCTCAATTCCTGAAAAGTCAAAAGTTCAATGAACTTCGAACTTTTAGGGCAAAAGTTCGAAGCTCGTCGAACTTCGAAAGACCGGCGGGCGGTTTCATTTGGATTCAAGCAGTGAGGTACATTCGTAATTTTTTCTTTTTTCGCAATTTTACATGGGGTGACACATTCCTTGCGAAAGACAATGCCGTTTATTTGAATCTTTTGGTATGCTTGGTTTTAGAAAAATAGATTTCCGAAAGAGCGAGGAAGGACGACGGGTTTTTGACAATTGTCGTTTGTGCCATATTTGAAGTGCGCTATTGCCGAAGCTATTTATGGTAGAGATGTTAAACTTTTTAACAATGATCTATATATAGCCTAGGTGTGTGTCGTCTTAATATATAATTATTGTTGTTCAAGACGAGTTTGGAATAATTATCCAAACATGTACCTACGGACAATTATGCCCTAAACTTCGTAATTTTTTTCGCCTACATTGTTTGGGGTATCGCATTTCAATTAACACCAGAGACAGTACATATCACTACCATCGCAGAATGCAAAATAATGTATTTATCGTTTTTTCACGTTGAGGAATAAGTTAAGTAATGGTGGAGGATTTCTAAAATAGTTCAAATTCAGCGCGTCATAAAAATTTTTTTCTTTTTTTAATTTTACGTTTTTGAGACGTGTTTCTTTTGGCCTGTACACATTTAGGTAGGAAAAACTTGTTTCATAGTTCTGGGCCTCTGAATATACAAGAATACAACACTTTTAGCAGGTTCTTGATAGTTTTTTTTTCTTTCTCTCCAGCTTTTTATTTTTGCATTTATTGGTATGTTTATTTATTGATTATTTTTTACCAATGGCACAGTTATTTAGGTCGAAAAGACATAGCTTTGAACTTTCGAGCCACCGAGCATGTGACGAGTAGTGCCTTCTGACAACAAGTTTCTAAAGGCCTGTTCACACATGCAGCGGAGCACTACAAGCATAGCGCTGGCCTCGTGCGAAGTACGTGCCTACGGGAGCGTTCACCAACTTTGTATTGCACCGTCAAAACTGTTGCTCATGGCATACGATAAGTACCTGACGGCACGTGAGCAGCATTACATCAGCTCTTCGCTGCATGTCAGAACCGGCCTTAACAGTGACTATCTACGCGATCTTTTATGCAGTGAAGAGCGACAGTAGCTATACATATGCATAAATAATTTCAGATTAAAATAAGCTCGACCATGCCCTCTTTCCCCGTATTGTTTTTTTTAACAGTCCGAAATATCTGGAAGGGGGGGGAGACTGGAGCTCCCCCCCCCCCCTTCCCCCCCCCCCCCCTCCCCGTTTTTCCTCTTCCGACGCCACTGGTATGGTAGAGCGCTCCTCGACCTCAAGTTGCGTCAGCTTCTGTGCTTTTTGCTCGGCGTTCCTTCCGCCCCAGAAAATAAACCTCCAAAGCAATTACAAACAACGAAAATCGTCAAGGTGCAGGCAAGCTGGTGTATGTTGATCATGATGAAAAATCCCAAGACTGGGAATGAAATTCGCAAGAAGTAGTGTAAGAAGAAAGAGAAAAGGGGACAGGACAACGTCTCAAACTCAGCTGAGTTGGGTTTGAGACATTGTCCTGTCCCCTTTTTTCTGTCTTCTTACACTTTTTCTTTCAAATTTCATTCCCAGTCTCCGGATTTTGCATCATGTACAAACTAAACTTACTATATGCCAGCATCACTCGGGCGGCGTTTGTTCGTATTACTACCAGCGTGCAAGGGGGTAGGGGGGCAGTTTGCCAGATCACATCAAGGTTTTTCTGAACCTCAACCACCTAGCTGCCTGCCCCTGGCCGTTTCAAACTGGATGAGTATCGTTAAACAGTGCGTTCGTAGGATCACTACTTCATAATACACGTTAATGACCACCCCGGGCTGGCGGTCACAATTACTGGTCTATTGTTACACGTCACTGCACTGGCAAATATTCCAGCACATCCGGGGCACTCGTCGTCTCATTTAATTGCCTGACCAACTTTGCACAGTCTAAATATCACACCCGAACTTTTCTAAACCTGATTTCGTGAAAACCAGTGAGGCGTGAAAACATTATTTGAAACTGAAACCGTGGCGAAACATGAAAACCGGGCTTCAAACTTTGCGCACTTGTACTTCAAAGAAATCAAAAACCTCCTAAGTTTTTTTTTTTTTTTTTTAATTTAGCATTAAAGGACAATCGAAACCTTCGAACTTTTTGAACTTTATGTAGAAAGAAATTCGAAATCTTCGAATTTATCGAACTTTATGTCTTTAAAAATTTGAAACATTCGAATTTTTCGAATTTAAGATCCAAAAAAATTCGCGAATCTCACAAATTTCAAATTAGGGAAGTTCGAAATCATCGAATTTATCAAACCTAAAGTAAACAAATATTCGAAATAATCAAACCCAAACTTTTAAAAACCGTGAAAGCTTCGAACTTTTCGAATTCGAAACCCCAAAATTTTGGAAAGTTGCGACTTTTTCGAATTCGAACCACTCTACGGTCGAAAATATCGAAACTTTTCGAAATCGAACATCAGTTCGGTTCGAAAATATCGAAACTTTTCAAATTTGAACCTAGGGTGGTTCGCGGCATCCCTACTTTGAGGTGTGGCAACGCTGGCTTACGCTGGGGATGAAAAATGTAGTCATTGCAGTAAGGCAGTGAGCCTGGGGTCTTGAACATGTATCGTGCAGCAGTGGTACATGAACACATGCACGTACGATGCCCATCCAGATAGAAACGGGCAGGGACAGAAATTGAATCCAGGATCTCCCGGTTCTCCAGCCCAAGCTTTCATTTCACGTGCTCCGAGCCGCAGTGTGTCAACACTCCCGGCCACCGATCCCCCTTGTATGGTCACTGCTGTTGTATTGGATCTCGCCAGAGTGTAGACGGAAAGAGAAGAAAACAAGAGGTTCTTCTTGTTCTTCTCCTAGAGGTTTCCCTGAAAGCTCATAACACCTCAATATGTTTGGCCATGCGTTAATGTCGGCGTAAGAAGTTGTGCCAGAAACAGCCTCGCTTGTCAACGCGAGAAAATTCAGCGCCACGCACAGTGTTCAGCAGGCACTGTTCAGCTTCCAGAGACTCGTTTTGAGAGGAAACAACTGGAAACTCGGAACCACTACTGGAATCGAAAGGGGGATTAATGACCGAGTATGTCAGCGTACCACAGCTAGGAACACGTAGAGCGAAAGCTCGCGCTGCAGAACCCAAAGGTCCTGGGTTCAATCCCCACCTCTCTCCGTTTTGATCTGGATGAGCATTGTACCAGTGTGCAGTCGTGTTTTACTACTGCGTGATGCACATTATACTCCAGGTTCACTTAAATACAACAAAACATTTTTGCGGGGGATGAACCATCGTGCCACTATCTGCCCACCTGTGACGAATCACCCTATGATCAATGTTCCACTGTGACGAACATGCCTGTTACTAGTTACCCTGTGATGAATAGACCATGTCCCTACTGGTCCATAACACGGCCATGTCCCTACTGGCCCATGGCACGGCACTTCGCCTACCACTAGGAGTTTTGAATTCTGTCTAACGCAGCGATTGCTCCTGGTCCACATAAACTAGGCTTACAGTCCCACATGTGCTTAGGGTTCTTTGTTTTCGGGCTTTATTTTCGGTGAAGACTATCTTACCGTCCGCTAAGTTTCATCTTCTTCGGAAGGTTGTGCTCATGCATTCTCGTTTAAGGCTGCCCTTTTTCTGTTCTGCCGCCTAGTTTAGGGGTTCAAAGCTCCCGAAGGATTCAGTGGGTTTTGCCCATTTTCCTGTTGGGGCCTTGATTTTCTTTTCCATTTAGGGCCGTAATCTAAAACAATTTGAAAAAAAAAATAAAAACATTTTTTTAAATAAAATATTATTAAAAAAAAAATAATAAAGATTGTCCTGTTTAGGAAGTGTTGTTAAAGACATGAAAATAGAAATAAAACACGAAGACGAAGAACCCTAAATATGCCCTGTCGCAACCATTTCTCACATCCACACTACCATCATCAATGACTGTTTCTGTTAGCAGCGAGCTATCTTTGTACGAAAAAAAAATGAGACGCTTACAATTCTCTGTAATGCTGAATTAGAGCGCAGCTCTTGAGGAGTGGGAGGGAAGGGTATGGAGGAGATGGTATGCCCCTCCTCCTCTGTACCCTCCCTATTCACCTATCCTCTTCCTCTACACCTGCCTCTGAATTTGTTCATGGGCGACGTGACACAAAGTCGTGGCATCATTTTCCCCACTAAATTTAGCGGGGAAACTGAATTGGTGTTGAGGTCATGTGACATCAATTTTCCCGCTAAATTTAGCGGGGAATGGAATCGCTGTTGAGGTCACGTAACATAAATTTTTCTGCTAAATTTCCCTGCTAAATTTAGGGGAAAATTTTTCCTGCTAAATTTAGCGGCAAAATTTGCCTGCTAAATTTAGTGGAAACATTTTCCTGCGAACTTTAGCGGGGAAAAGTCCCATAACGCAATGTGCGGTTGCGCTGACTGTGATGGCGATGCCGCTCAACCCAGAAACGGATGCCTACGGGCTGTGCTCTAAAACACTGCACGGCGCTGCCTTTGAGCAGCCTGCAATGGCCCATTGCCAATTCGGAAAGGATGACAAAAAATACTCTCGAACTGCAAGCTCCAAAGGGTAGTAGAAAGGCTCAAGCCCATGCACGTTGAGTAGTTACGACCCGATTCACTAACAATTTGGTTGAAGAAACCACTGCAAGGTCAATTATTGTCCTGAACCATCTTGCAGACAAGAGGGTGGTAGTGTGGTGCCCTCCCCAGGGTGTGGACAGGAAGAAAAGAAGAGCCGGACAAGTGGCTGCTACACATTTTCAGTACTTTCGACCCTTCAAGATCAAGCAGATTAGCTCACTCGTAAATAATGCAAGTGAATGCATACTGCCACAACGTAAATGGAGAAAATGAAGTCATGACAACATGTATAATTGGGACGTCCTAAAACCTTACATTGTTAGGAATCCCTTTGACGAGTTGAACATTTCTGTGTACTCTAAAGAACATTAAGAAAACAACATCTTGTGCACAGGCACAGTCAGCCATCATGTTCCAAGGGTTAGCACTGGCTGCAGCCTGGTCATGCTACACCGCACCATCTTCATGTCTAGGGAGCTTTGGTCTAGGTGGCTTGTACTGGTTTCTGGCCCCTCTATTTTGTGAAGGGATGCACAGCCTGAAGAAGCTCAAACTCCTTCAGCTTCTTACGATATAAAAGAACCTCATTTGAGCAAAATTTTGGAAAGAGTCTACCCAAAAATATGTGATAGTGAATCTTCAGTTTGAATTTAACTACCAGTGCTCGAAGGTGAGGTTTCCGCAGAGGCGTTAAGCGTTTGAAGTAACAAAGAACCGTCACACTTCTCTAGGGGTTGCTCTAGTGGCAATGTGGCAGATAATTTATTTACCCGAATTGTCTCCACTTTCCCGAGAAAAGGACCGTACATGTCTGAAATGTAGACCCACCTGGTAGTGGAATGGCGACTCGACTTCCTGCCTTGAAGTACTCGGCCTTGGAATGAATCCTCTGGTAGACCAAGTTTCCTGGAAATCACCCGCGTAGGATCAGCGAACACAAATCAATAGGTCATTTGTAATCCACAGACTAACTGAAAATGGTTTGTTGACCCAGCGTCTAATGTTCCAGAGCTCATTTGGACGTCGCAACTTGAAGTCTCACTCCAGCTGGCTTTGATATGGAGTTGAACCAGCCTGCTGACCATGCGTGCGGCTATGCCTGCTGAACGTGTGACAATGCGTCACACGTTCAAAACCCTCGGGTGAGCGGTCATGCTGTACTAACTTCACATTGTTCCAGGGTCTTCACAATAACAATGGTGCTGCCTATAAACAGACGTTCTTCTAGTACTGCAGAACCACCCTGGCGAAAATGGTGTACTACCGTATTTTCGGGACCATAGTCTGCGGACTGTACAGTGGCCCAATTTTTTAATATTATCAAGCGAGCGTCCACCGCCGGGATGGCCAGCGCCGTGCCGCGGAGGTGTACGGCGATACAGAAGAGATTAAGCGCGCGCGCACAGAGCCCTTTCTGGTGGGAGCGTTGTCTACTAGGCTATTCCGTTGATCGCACACAGCCCCTGCTCCACAGCAAAGGAGGGCAGGGTGCTTGCAAATTTGAAGCGCATCGCCGATACGCCCCTCCTCTTGGAATGAGTTCACAATCCTATTGATGTTAGCCGGTGTAACCGTGACTGTTGTTGCTATATCCCTTTGCGTCATGCCACCCATTGACATTCTCACAGCACGCTCCCGTGTTTCTATGGGCACTCGAGGAGGCATAAAAATAAGCGTGCGCCCGCTGGTCAAAGAAAACTGCGACTACTTGACTACATCAGCTATAAGCTCGATGACGACAGCAACAACGCAGTTGATAATAAAAAACGCCAAGCAGAAACCCTGTCTATACTCCGTTTCACTTTGTGTTGTATCGCAGCAGATGCTACGAGCCATCTTGGCCAGTCTATCGCTAAAAGTGTGTCACGTGGCCTTCCCGTAAAATACACCCGCATGGGGAAGCACGATGTCACGTGGTAGGGTGAAAGCACTGGACTGGCTTTGATGGTTCGTAGCATTGGCTATGGTATATAGTTTAATGCATCGTTGCATTCAGCTTGTCACGTCATCATACTTTTAATTTTTGTTGGTGTTCACAAATGTAAACGTAAACATAAAATGAAAAAAAAAAAAAGTAAATTAAACTTGAGATGACGCACGGTTTATGCCACGCCTGAGCAGTATCACGCAAGCAAATGCTGTTCAGATCTTTGCTTAAAGGCGGTTAGCTATGCCAGCAAATAATGAACAGGGGCTGTGTGCGGTCAACGGAATAGCCTAGCAGACGATGCTCGCAATGAATAGAGCTTTGTACGCACACGCCTCATCTCTCCCGCGACGCCGCATTTCTCTGCGGCACAGCGCTGGCTGTCCCGGCGGTCGATGCTCGCTTGATATCATAAAAAATTGGGCCACTGTACATGTTTAAAAGCTGAAATTTGACACAGCACAGACTATACAAGGTGAGAACTATACAGGGATTTGTTTTTTCCAGATCATTCATTATGGCAAGATGAGAGATCATTTATTACTACGAGATCAATATTTGAGTCATAATATCACTTTGTAATATCTATGTGGGATGAAATTGCCCTGAAGCTGATGCTAGAACAACACTTTCTCAAACCACAAATTTTGAACTTTTTGCAAATTTTCAAGAGGGATATTTTAGCATCTAGGGCAGACAGAAATATAACTTTACAGTCTCAGCTTGTTATAACAGACCTTGATTTTGACCAAGACTTTTGTCTGTTGTAAGAGCAGTATGTTGTATCCAGATCTGAAGTTGAGTCAATGCTGCATAGAGGAAAACCAAACAAACTTCAGAAATCGGTATGTTATATACAAATGTCAGTTGTAACCAGGTCTGTTATAATGAGCTTAGACTGTATTAGCAACATGTCGCTATATGTATAAAGCATACAATGTTGGAAGCAAATTTTTCAATATAGGTGTAGGAAACTTTTTAACTTACATAAGGTGTAGGAAAATTTTTAACTTAACTATTGCTTTATTACTTGGTAACTACAGATAGAACAATGAACTTCAATGAGTTGTAAAGTCACTAATAATGGTTGAATCTAAAAAGTGCTTTCAACATTGTATTCTTTATAATTTGTTGTATCTGACCATACATTACCATGCTTCTTTAAAAATAGTTTCTCAGTATTGTTTTTGGAAACGAAGTGTGGCTAACTATAACTATCCTGAGAATAACCTACTCATAAAAAAAAAAGAAAAAAAAGATATTTGAAATTAGCACGAAAGTCTGAACAAGCCTGAGCTAATAAATATTGCTATTGGGAAGAACATAAATGAAAGGACAGACAAGACTTATTTATCCTTGTGGTCTTCCCATTATTTATATTATCCTTACTAGCACGCTCTCCATTCCAAGTAAGCCTGCACTGTTTCATTGGAGGAAGAAAGCTTCAAGACTAGTGTTCTTTCTTAATCAGGGTGTCTACAAAATTGTTTTTTTTTTCAAATTCCCTGACTTTTCCAGGTTTTCCCTGACTATCTTAATGAAATTCCCTGACCCACACCCAGAAACAACTACTGACACCAAAACGCGATATATTATAGATAGACACAATTCACAACGTAAAATATTTTATTTAAGTTAAATAAAGCAACTGTCTTCACTCTTGAAGATGTTTGGAATACAGCATTGACCAGGGCTTACTGTTTCAGGGAGTTAATTTCTTCGTCAAAACGAGAAGCCTGCAATTGCGCTTGGTTTAGGACCCTTCGCTTCTTTTGTTGAAGCCCCTTGACTAGAGTGGCCACTCTCTTCATCTTCCTTTCGAATTCTGATGCGTCCAATCTCTCTTGCGTCTTTCTTTGTAGCTCCTCCTCCCACTGGGCATTGGCACCATGAACCATTTGCAGCATCCTGTTTGTAAGATCAACTTTGGCCACCCCTCCCATTGCTGACACTCCATCATACACCACTCTTTGGGCTATCAGCGACTCTTCCTTGAGGTTTTCGACAAGGCACTCTTTGTTCACAAAGAAACCCCGTTCCACAGCAGCATTGCCATGAGACAAGCAGAGAATTAGGTTGACAAACGAAAATAGCTCTTTGTGGTCCCGTAAACACAACTCAAACCGGAGGAATCCAGCCTCTGCTCTTTCCTGTTAAAGTCCTTCAATGCCGCCTGTGCAGAGCTGAGTGAGCATATATCTACATAGGAATGGTGGGTCCGCTCTGCTTCCAAGCCAGTCATTCACTGGAGGTGCTCCGTTAGCACCTCCAGTGCAATGCACAGTTGTTTCTCACCAGCCTCCGGGGACAACGCACTAGCCGGATCCAAGCAGCTTGCACCTCATATCAACTTGTATTTCAAAGGTGACCTTCCCATCACTTTTTGTGAACACCTCTTCACGAAGGAAATAGTCTTTTTTGAAGCTGAGCACAGTCAGTTGCGATAATTTCTGGATCTTGCAAAGCTCATTTTTAGCAGCAAACCCAATGTTGAATGCAGCAGCTGCAACGAAGTTGTCAGGCTTCTCCAAGTCGATCCTAAGCAGCTTGGAAGATGTGTTGGCAGCTTGTAGGATATCTTTCTTGACGACTCTAGCCAGCAGTGACTGTAAGAGGCCATCCAACGCAGGGGCAAGGAAGGGAAGCATGGGCTTATCTGTCTGGAATTCAGCCCGAAATGGCTCAAGTTCTTCAGAAATCAAAAGCATAAATGCCAATTTCACTGGCAGCATCTGGTCACCTACTGCCTTTTCAACAGTGCTGTAGCTAGCACATGCTGGCTTTTTTTTTTTTGCTTCCTTTGAGCATTCCACAAACTTAACCAAGTTTGGAATAACATCAAGCGCTCTCGAGATCACCTTGCTATTCTCCAGCCACCTTACTGAGCAGAACTTCAACGGAAACAGAGCACTTCCCGTGAAGTGGATGTAGTCTGCCCGACGTGCCGGCACACACTTGAACAGGTTATAGCTCCCACAAAGAAACACTACCAGATCCCAGTGCGTCGCAGCGTGACCTGCCTCGAATGCACCGCTGACAACGTGGAGTCGACAGCTTCCAATGTCCAGGATCTGGTGATTGGTGTCGGAGGCTCTAAGTTCTTCTTCGACGAACCTCCGAAACTTCAAATTTACATTGGGTCCATCCAATGACACTTGCAGTATCTTTGTCTGCTTAATGGCTTCTGTGCCTTTCCTGAAAGCAGATGCGAGGTCTTCTGCGCAGGTGTGCCTCAGGAAACACGAAGTTAGGTAGCGTGTTTTTACAGTGGCGTCAGTTTGGTCCTAGTACCTGACCAGTGCATCCATTTGTTCTCTATGGGTTACTTTGTTCAGTGACTCATCAAAAGCAACCACCAGATGTGACACACTAGAGAGGCTTGCTAGCAACTTCTCTTGAAAGTATGGACCGATACCATGACATATGGTGTATCCCACTTTGTCTTTTCCGAGCTGAATTTTTCTAGCGGTCTCACACGTGAGGAACATCAAGGGAAACAGCGAGGCAGGTGCTGCCACTGAACGGAAAGATCCATGAGTCATTTTAGTGTTCAAGCACCACATGATCTGAGCCTTTGTGACTTCATTCTTCAATAAAAATCCACTCACGACGTCTTCACAGACAGGCTAAGAGCTTCCGTGGCGGTGGATAGACGCACTGCCGGAGCGCTACAAGCACTAGCGCTACCTCCGGACAAAACGCCCGTTGCTGTCGCGGAAGGCAAGTCCACATTTGATGCAGTCTTGAAAATATGATACGATTGGGGTCTGGAAAACGCTTTGCAGAGATTTCATAGCAGCTTGATGTTTCTTACCCTCAACATGACTAGTAATCGCACGTTTCCCCATATTGCTCAGGGAGAACTTCTTGCAGCATATTGTGCAGCGAGCACTATTTGGATCGCTTGGAACTGGCCGAATCCAACTCGCATTCGTGGATATGTCCGGGTTTGTCCAGTTGAGTCCAGTTGAGGTTGAAAGAGCACTTCTTCGACAGCGACATAGTCACTTTCACGTATCTCCACTTCAGGAAAATAACACAGTAGAACGCCAAACCCAAAGCCACAAACGCATGTGGCAGAGCTCGCAGAGTGCAGGCGTTCAGTTGCGTTTACGGGGACCAAAAACATATCTGACAAACGAATGGATCGCAAGGCGCGCGCCAGAGCAGTGTGTGTAGAGAGTTTGGTCAATGGGAGGCGCAGGCGGGGCCAGGGCGTGCACCAGACATAGAAAGAGTGCTTGACATGCTCTCTTGACCAACCAGAAGCCGAAAAGAATCCCCTAGCGGTGGTAGCGAGAAACAGTTCTGATCGAAGGTATATGTTCGTATATGGTTTCAATAAGCGCCTAAGAGTGAGGTATAGTAACTCTTTGTGGTTGAAAATAGGATGCACGTGTTGTTTTGATCATGATTTTGCAGAAAGATGAAAAGAAACGTATGCGCCGCTCAACCCTGTTTTGCTTGGACAGAGTGTGACCGCTCGGATGGCAGATTCCCAGCCCTCGGCGCTTGGCGTACGGATTATGTTGATCTTTCCGCTAGTCGCACTCTTCCACCATTATTATGGATGAGCGCGATTGAAACGTCACGTGTACCATATTTTCAGTCATCGAGAGCTACTCTAATGCCGTTATCAGGTTTGTTTCTCGCGACCACCGCCAGGGTATTATTTCCGGCTTCTGGTTGGTCACATTCAAATTTCTGAAGACGCCCTGAAACACGCTCAGCCCGCTTTCGGCCAATGGTGGCTCCTCATTTGTCTCCTATACTTCCCAACGAATGGCCAAACTCTCTACATTTACGGCTCTGGCGCGCGCCTCTCAGAAGGTAGATGAACCGACGGCTGTTCTCTTCTGAATGAGTGGTGACTCGTGCCACCTAGTATCGGCTAGAGTAACTGTTTCTTCTGCGTCACGATAACTCCAGAGCGTACTAGAGCAATACCACCTGACAGACTTGACTAGAGTCATGAACTAAGCGAAATAGCCGCTGCCACTCCGCTTCACTAGTAACTCTTTAGCCCATAGCGCTTTAGCCGTCATACTTTAGTGTTGCTACTCTAAAGTGTAGCTTATTTAGTGGCTCTAGAGTGTACTAGAAGAACGACGAACTGCTATGGCCTGCACATGCTCTCGTGTGAAGCGCAGCGCGGGGAAAGTTGGCGTGGCGGCGCTGCGCATAGGGTGCTTTCATGAGTCGCATTTGGTTCGCGGTAGAGTGCCTTCATGTTCGCTTTCGCGGCGTTAGCAGCATCCTCCGACGTTCGCATTGCGGCTGGCTCACAGCGCGTCCAGCTGCGTGTAGCGGCGTTCATCAGCGTTTGCGATAGCCGCACTCCACGTCGCCGCATCGCGTCCCAAGCTAGCTCGATTGCAGCGCCGTCACGCCAACTTTCGACATTCGGCACTTCAACCAGACCCGGCGGCTAGTCTCATACAGATGTTTCTAGCCCACTCTAACAAAGTGCAAATCACGCGCAGACGTCGCGCCGCCGTACTTAACTGCGCTCGTGGCTACACCTGCTTGTGCCTGCCGCTTCTAGCATGAGTGGGCAAACATAAGATAAATTCCCTGACTCGGCAACCTTTTTTGGAAATTTCCCTGACAATTCCCCGACTTTCCCAGGTGTCTTAAAATTCCCTGACAATTCCCGGTTTTCTCGGTCGGTAGGCACCCTGTTAATAATGATTGATGTAGGATACAAGCTCCTTTGTAAGCTAATATAGTCAGCATTTGTCGACAAGTCCAGTGTGTTATCAATTTTTTCTCAAGCATAATAGGCAACAGGTTTGGCGGGTCTGGAAAATATGGTAATCAAATTCGAGAGGTGCCGAATGCGCCCAAAATTTTTCACAGGACCGTACGATTTGAGATTTCACCCAGCGTGCGGCAAAGCCGAAACAAGGCGAAAGAAATGTACCTTATACCACAAAGCTTCTGCGTATGCCTACACCCTCTCTTTGTGCTTATTTCATCTTTTTTGACAATTCTTCTTTGGTAGCGTTTGACATAAAAAGCAACGAAAACCGATACAACGTCACGATGCCAACGTGTCCCGACGGGCGAAGGCACGACGGGCTGCCCTTCATTTGTAGTGTGCGGACAACTTCCAGACGGCACCCATTGCTCGAAAAAAAAAGTCCATCGAGACTGCAGCTTACCGAAGTTGTCGAGAATGTCCGTGATGAGGACAAACTTGCTCGGGTAGAACTGGATGACGGACGTGTCCACCAGGAGCTTGGCACACTGCAGATAGACGGTTGCGGCTACATTCTTTGGATTGGGCCGTAGCTTGAACTACGCGCGACTGGAACGTGTCTCCAACTGGCGTGTTCGCCGAGAGAAGCGATCCCTCCATTTCCCTCTGATAACGTCAGAAAGTGTCGCGTCGTCACCGGCCACTATCTCGGTGCCGTCGCAGCAGCGGTGGCGGACGTACGTGGCAGACGCCCATTCTGTCTTTTTTAAGTTTCTTTGCCAGACGTCGTTCGTTGCCATTTTCGGAACACTTTTTATATGTGGGCGGAACAGGATGCTAGACACGAGAGCCGGAAACGCATTCCAGGCGCTATTAGCCCCGAGAGCGAACACAAGCGTCGCTGCGATCGCCGTGCCCTAATTGGGTGAGGTGTACCGTGACGTCAGGGCGATGACTCCGCTCCGCGATCTCGCATCGGCTCGCTTCCCAGCACCGGTTTCCTGGTTTGGTGTTGTGTGCCGCAAGCTCTTCGAGGAGCTGGACCTCGTTTACCCGGTGTACAAGACGTTGAGTTAGGCCGATATTGACGTGCTTCCGTACATTTTATAAGCCTGCTCGTCCCTTTTACCTTTAAAATTGGGTTACAAATCCCGAAAGCTATCGGTGGAGGCAACTCCGCCGATGAACCTCCCCGTCCATCCACACGACACAAGGCAATTTTGCGAGGGATCGGTGAAGCGGTGGCGCAAGTGTTTCAGACGCTGGAATTCTGTTCCTTGCATGTTCATGATTTTTGAACGATATTACATCACACTTTCAAGGCATTTGAAGGGGCATTTATATCATGGGCCTTTGGGCGGTCGGCAAATTAGCTTGCAACCCCGACTTTGCGCTGCCACTCTGCATGCGCTGGTTTGCAGATGTTTTAAAGGCCCTGTGTCTGATTATTTTTGAAGTGCTCGTGGAACAGGGTTGTTTTACATAAATATAGCTTCTTCGTGAATTAATTACATAGTTTATACACGTATGCAGGCATATTTCTTATAAGAAATATATTCTATAGAATATGCACAATTACTGGAAATTAGTTTGTATGGTCGCAGCAAAAACGGCCGAGTTGCCCCCAGTTGCCTGTATTATATGTATTGAACTGCCCAAAATATGCACAGGAATAGCGCCGTAATTTGGATTATTTATACTTTTTCCGGACATTTTTATTCCAGCCTTGGGCATTCGGAAAATACACCGTTTAGTCTGAATTGTCATTTGCAATTAAAAGAGACACTGCTGCGGGTCTCCAAAAGCTTCCTCAGCCCCCAAACTCCCTACAGCTGGACTCTCTGACAACAGAGGAAAACAGGAGTAAAAGCAAGCATTCGAATGTCTGTCCAGTGGTAGATGCAGCACTAGTAGCAGAAAATGTGGAACCTGTGAAGGGCGACAGTCTGCGCGAGAAAAGCTTCTGGTATTTTAGCTTTAGGACAATTCGATTTAAGTAAAATCTCAATTTTAGGGCTTCTAATAACGAGCTACACACCTTCGCTTACGTTTGTTATACATTACTTGAGGGTTGATATAAACAAGTTCACAGATACCACCCGCGTAGTCCATTGAAATACTATCCGAATCCAGCAAAGGTCCTTGTTTTCTTACTTTGCCCCTGCACTTGGGCTGTCTTACTTGTGATTCTCTCCCCATGGCCCAGACTGTATTTAGCATGTTGGTCGAGCAGCATGCAGCTTTTTTGCTTCGGTGGTCTTGTTTAAAAACAGAAAAATAGTATACATAACCTGCCAATTCATTCAGACCATCAGCAGCATTTATTGTGCGAGATGTAAATTTATAGTGATGTTCCTGCAATTGTGGCCATATTTGTTTATTTTCATATACCACTCCGATTCATTCGTTGCCTGCCGTGTCAACCATGCTTAAAATGTTGGTTAAAGTTTCGCTTGTAGCTACAGGCCATACCTCAATAAAGACACAATAAAAATTTACACTTTCTACAAAAAACACGCCAAAAGAATTAAATAGAAATGAGCACGCCTACAGCTAGCGTCGTCACAGCTTCCACAGGGCGAGCGGCGCGAGTCGGGGAAAAATTCTCTCCTCGCCGTGACGTCACCCCGGTTTGCCGTAAGGGGGCGCCACGCGAACTTCTTGGGGCTAATACTTGCGCCACCTAGCCTAGGAAGAGGAAGAGAACAGCGGTGTTTCCTTTCGTACGCACATGGAGGGTCTGAGCAAAAGGTGCGACGGGGCGAACCTGGCAATACTGTGCAAATCAAAAGTCTAATCCAATCGAAAATCTATGCGGGGCCATCACCTGAAAAGCAACCGTCAAACGGTGCCGAGCTTGGGGGAACCGGGGGTGCTTGCCGTTTTGCGTGAACACTGAATGACAAGAACTTGCTTTTTGTTCAAGCGCCCGAATAGAACACTTACGTCACAAAACAAATTTTCTCGTCAAAAAGAACCTTTTCTCGGAATATTTATGTTGCGAGACTCCTTTTGAGTCCCGCGACATGCTTTTATTTCTGGTCAATGTGCCGAACATCACCATTGAAAACAAATCTCAATCAATTACTTTCTTTGAAGGGGGCGGGGAAAGTTTATTGCACAACATATGCATATGTTTCTGGAGAGTTCCAAGCACCTCAAAGCCTTCGCTTCGTCACTATCCAAAGCCGCCGCGTTACTTTAAATTTACAATTCGCTGGACCAATACTGCTCTCGAAATATTGGCTCCCTTATAAAGCGACCTGGGGATGTTTGACCACATATCACATTTGACATTCCACCCATTTACCACAAGGACCCTCAAACTTATTGATCTCGAGGAACCCCTGTGCGGCTCGAAAGAAGGCTGAGGAAGCTCTCCCGGTCTTGGCACTGATGCAATCAAGTAGTGCAAGACCCTATAATTGTTGTGAAGAATAATACACATACCAGGGAGCGTTTGCAATATAGCGCCGCTTCGATGGATGGCTCAGCACCTTACTGGGGGCAGGGACGGTCGAGAAAGTTTGGGAGCTCAGGGAAAACCTCGAGGGTACTCTGGAAGACGTTCCTAGAAACCCAGTTTGAGAGTCCATGACCTAGAGCAGGGGTGGCCAGGCTGGCCCAACCTAAGGGCCGCAAATAAAACCACGAAACTTCCGAGAGCCGCAGGGGGGGGGGGGGGGTTGTTTAGAGCAATAAACAAAACTCAGACCATTTTCAACCTGTCCGAGTCAAAAGCAGTCCAGCTGTAGGTAAGGTAGCAGTAGCACCAGACTACCAAACCGCAACCGGTTTTTCGATTTAAAACACGTTCCATCTCTCTTTTGCGGGAAGAGCTCGTGTGACCGGGAGGGTGACCGGGGGGAGGGGGGAGGGAGCCCCGAGCCGCACTTTAACACGCGAAGAGCCGCATGCGGCTCGTGAGCCGCAGCTCGGCCACCCCTGGCCTAGAGTGTCAACCCTCCGTTCCCCAACTGCCTCGTGGGCGCCGCCATTTTGCTGCCTAATTAAGAGAGGGCACAATTGGCAAGAGTTGCAATTGAGAATTTAGACTACCCAAGCTTTGGATAGTGTCTGGAAGCTCAGGCTACATGGTTTCGGTGCAGCGGACTGTTTCAACACCACTGGAAGTCGAAAAAGCATTTCCTGCAATTTCGTCTAAGGCTTCGGATAACTGGCTACAGTGATTTTCAGCGGCAAAATGGCTGAACTGCAGTCACCCTGAGTCGACGTTATTAGATCGCTTACGGAACTGCCCATAGATGCCGCTTCCACGAGCAGTACCCCCTCACCTCCCATGATCAGTTTCCCGTCGATCGAAGCGCCCCCGTTCTTGGGGGAGACGGTGGCTGGTATGGTAACTACTGTTACGGAATTTTTGATGTGCGGCGTCTCAATGGCACTTCGCTGTAGCGTCTCCAGAGAATACTGCTTTGAAACGCAGCCTCTTGATGGCACTTCAAACGACAGGTGGCGGGCTTGAGGGGGAGGAGGACCCCACACCGTGGAAGTTCCGTGACCGAGTCGGTCTCATAACGCTGCTCCGAAGCGCAGCTCGTTGAGTGCTCTAGGTCGGCTGCTACGACAATGCCCACCTGTATGGCGATCTTGAGGGCCTTGACCCTCTGGTCCTGCTCCCAGGACTCCCCCAGTGCCTGGTTCAGCTCCTCGATCCTCGTCACATACTCTTGCTGGGACAGGTTCAGCATCTCTTTCACAGAACCCTGGGGGCATGGAATACCTCCGGTCAGTGGGGAACTATCCTTGGCGGCACACGACCACCCTGGCTTCCGGAATTCACCGAAATACGCAGCTAAATGTTATTGTGGAGGATACATAAGGCAAAGAAGATAGGATTCAAAAGATCAGTACTTGACGGTTGTTTTATTTGTATTGCCCATATTTAGTACATCAATTAAGCAAAGATTGCAGAACTAGCATAGGTGCAAACCGTGGTAAACTCACATTTATAAGCGCACATAAACAAATACAGTAAAATCTCATTAATTTTAACTTCTAACTTTAGGGCAATGCTAAAATAGTATAAATTAAACAAAGTTCACTCGTGAGTCAAAGAAGAAGAGTCGCGCTCGATGACAGATGGATGCGAGAATACTCAGAACTGCCACCTTTCGTTAGACAAGCACGCCTGTAATCACCTTCTGCTTATTTTCCCACAAAGTCATCACGATTTGTGTGTACAATATGAAACACGTCCACACCATGATCATACGTGGGTCGTATCGCTGCTTTGTCCAGTTCCAAGCGGTAACAGGTCACAGTAGTTGTCACTGTGACTTTATCTCGGGAACCTTTCAGCTGACAAGGTAGCCATGGCAACAAACACAAGCTAGCCTGTGCTCCTAGCCGTCAGATGGCACCCTGTAAGACTGCAGGCAACCCCACAATGGGCGCTTTCCTCAACTTTGGCAATAGCAGACGACCTTTCTAAACCAGAAGTGATGCACTTTTCTTTTTTTAGTGGCAATTGTAGGTGCACGATTTTAACGCGATAGCGTTAAGAAGCTTGTGTTGCAGTAAATCCGACGTCGGTGGCATGATGAAAAAAATATAGATTGGTCGATAGGGTCATGACATCACAACCAGATGACCTCGCGCAGGAATTTCAATCGATTCACAACGCTCATGTGAAAAGTGACATCATGCATGAAATAAAAGTGATTTAACAAACGTGACATGTAATGCGAATTAAAGGTCGCCTCGTGTCTCAACCGATTTCACCGTATAAGTTGTTCATTTGCTTAAAAAAAAATTTGAAGAATTTTAGGCGGGATTTGAATCCACAACCCTTTGGTTGCGAGCAAGACACGCTGCTGACTAGGCCACACTTGCACGGCTTGGGAACAAGTGGGAACATACATGTTTATATTTTTCGCTATCGCATTCCACTGTTAAAGGCGAAGCTTAAGGGTCCTCCAAGTTTTTGTTTATTTTCATTAACAAAAAATAAACACAGAATGAGAAAAAAACGCACAAAAAAAACAGATGAGTTGTCTGTTGATATGCTACTGCTGTCTGTCGGCTGTAGCAGTAATCAGATGCCTTTCATTAGCAGATGGATGCCATAGGTAGGGATTTCACGTTCTTGATTTTTAACTTTGTAAGTTTTTTCAGTAAAATTTTTATGGGCAAGATTCACCACCTTCGGACACCTCTGTGGTAAATCTCATTGCGACATGCTAAAGGGAAGCTGAAGCGGTTTTGTGTTTGAGGAAACATATTAAAATTGTCTTCATCTGACCTCCAGGATCTTGAAAATTATTTTATAATTCGGTGCAAGGAGGCTGCACAAGATCCTTTTCAAGGTACCGCCGAAGGCCATCCTTCCCGAAGTGTGACGTCACAGAAGGAGTTTTCGAAATCTCCGCTTTCGCGCATGTTCAGCGCCTGTCAAAGGTATACACGCACACTCTGACTATTTTTAAAAAGGGCAGCAAAAAACATCACGACTGGTGCCAGTGAGGGGGAATATACCTGGAATATACCGAGACACATACGCTTTGTGGCCGAAAGATCCTATTATGATGTAACAACTGGTCGGAGGCTTTTCATGTTTTCTCGCATTTAGTTACATTTTCGGGGAACACAAACGTAATATTCAGATTCAGATTCACAAGATAAAACTACGCACAAATCAACCTTATCTTATTTTTGAAAGAAGTGTCTGTGCTTCCCTTTAAGAAACCGATTTATGCAGACTTTTGAAACAGTCAATGATCCCTTTGACTCATGCTGTATATCAGTCCTTACTAAAGAGAGGTTCTACATAAATAACCCACCTACTGGAAAGTATGTTCATCGCTGTGATTCAACCACCCCCAGCATACCTCCTCAAAGTCGTCGAGCTGCTCCAGTCTGTTCTTCACCTTGTCCGTTACCGCACTCTGCGTCTTCACCATCACTGCGGCGATCGAGCATGGGTCAAACGAAGGAGTGAGGCATGACGAGCGAGGCATAACGAGCTAGGAATGACGAGCAAGCCACGACGAGCAAGGCAAGACAAGCACGGCATGACGTGGTAGGCATGACGTGGTAGGCATGACGAGTAAGGCATGACAAGGTTGGCGTAGTGAACAAGGTGCGACAGGCGAGGTGTACCTTTCTCTCCGCCTGACAGGAAGCTGGTGGTTATGGAGAGCTTCTCAGACGTGGAGTACTTGGCCAGGATACCGGATTTTTTGACGGCCCAAGCCTCGAAGCTCTCGTCCAAGGCGCCACTGCCCTTCGTGGCAAAGTGTTCCGACTGAAAGGCGTCCGAGCGGAACAGGTAATTCACTTTACAGAGATGCAACTGCGATCAATACCATGCAAACACATTTACAAAACCCAAAGTTCTGCTTGTGAAGTTAGCGAAAAAAAAAAAAATAGGAGACTGGTTGACGCATTAGAATTAGCGCAGCAGCCCTGTCTGCGCCACCCAATGCTTGTGACTAACCTCGAAGTTCCACGAAATTGTGGAGCACGTGTGTATACTGTAACTCTCATTGTACCACTATGTATCATCTATGAAAATCAATTTATTTCTGCAATTCCTTTTCTTGCGAGAGAAAATGCCTCGTTTATGCCTTTTGTATAAAATGTATCATTCCAACACCTAACTAAAAATTCTTCAGTACCTCATACGTTTCTACACGAGTCGATCATCATCTTAAAAATGGCACGCCTCGTTGCGAAACGCCGGCTCATATGAATTCCTACGAATCAAGAATACCATTGGGGTGAAAGCACCATCGGTAAAGGTACCGCCGATTTATTTATTTAACATAAAGTGACCATCTTTGCTAATGACATGTCGGACTGGTCATTTTCTAAAAAAATTGTGTTTTCGTTTCTATATTTTCAATGTTTATTTACCCTGTGAATTTTAATGTCCTTCCCCCGCTCTAGGTCCCAAAAGTATTAAAATAAATAAACAAGTCAACGGGCGATGCCAGCGAACTTCCAGGAGCGAACCGTTTCAAGAGCTCGCAATCGACTCTAAATCTTTAGTAAGTTGTTGACTCTAGAACCACTGTATGCTTCAGAGTAACCACACTTCAGCCCTCTTGCTGTTGCATTGTGATACCCAAACTTAGCACAAACTTGCATGTTTAAGTCATTTTATGCTGGCATATTTTTGCATTACACAGTGTGACTGTGCACACGCAACTTATTTTTTATTTGTACTCGTCCACCTCTGTAAGAGCCCTATACTCCGTCTCGCCCACGGACTAAAGCCCAAAGGCTGGCGGACAAAAAATAAATGTGCCTCCGTGGTGAAAAGCAGTCAGCCCAGAAAGCAATTGTATTATGGCCAAAAAGATGAAAACCACAAAGGTATTGCCACTTCATTTTGTTGCTATACAGTTTTAAATTGGTAAACAAAAGAATAAACTATTTATTTAAAAAGGAATTAAATATCTTACAGAAAATGTGTTCGTTTTGCCATATAGCCATTACAATCCAATCCAAACCTAACTTGTCCGTGTCACATGCATGAGAGCAGATGTCTTGTGTTTCCCACACTAACTTCTTTCACTTTCAAAATGGCCAGCAGTATTGATCGTGCGGTGTCTTTGCCTTATAGTTTCCAGGCGCTTTTTTAAGAAGGCTCCTTTCAGCAGTCAAATGCGCCAGGTTGTACTTAAAGCCTACTGCAAGCTCCGTGTTGACAGTCCTGCTGTGCATTTTCATCTGGAATTCCCGCCGTAGAATCCCGTAAATAAGGTGTCGCAAAACGCACCTGGAATATGCCAGGAGCTAGAAATTTCTGATAAGAGACGATGATACACAAGTCGAAGCAACATAGCACTTGGTTTCCATCCAGCTTGTAATGGAACCTGGCAGCCTGTCGCTTTGACGCTTAGTCCAATTTAGGATGAGACAGAGTAAAGCAAGGGCTGACAGTAACACTAAATCAATCAATCAATAAATAAAACCACCATTGGCAGTTATATGAAGGGTTGCTGCCTGAAATCACAAGAAATTCTCCGCCGTCCTCCGGAAATACTTAAAGGGACCCTGCAATCATATTTAAGCGTCCACCTTTTTCGCGGTTTCCAAGTCTCTTGGAGCTCGGGCAAGCCAGCGGGCACGGGGAGAGTAACTAAATATCAGTGCGTCATATTTTAACCGGGCGACGTGGAAACCTCCTCCACTGACGAGGGCGACCCACGGTACCGAAAGCGCGCAAAATGTGACGTCTTTGGTCCTGGGCTTACTACTGGCCAGAGCCGCTAAAAGCTTCTTTTTAGTCGAAATACAAAATATAAGTGGCGTGAACCGTTTTAATTATTTATAAAAGTAGTTTTTGTTCAGTATTTTTAGATCAGAAAAGAAACAGATGCAGTTTATAAAGTACGGAAACAAGAAATGACCCGTCGACATACCCGCCACCAAGCGGTGGAAAAGGCGGCGCATACTAGAAAGGAGTAGTGGGATCAGGCGTTGACACGGAAAGGTCCCGGATGTACGCGGCGGCGCTGTGGTCAATTGGGCAGGAGCATCCGACCGGCTCCGAGCGTTCCGAAGGCCTTCGGCGAGAAGCTTTGCCTTGCGGTCTGGCCGTTTCGCGGTATGGCAGCGAGAAGTGGCTCTCATTCTGAACTGGTCTTTACCCCGTGTTTGCTGCAGTTTGTGGCCAATGAAGTGTCATGCCGAATTAGTATTTAATCGCGCAGCAAATGCAATGGGAGCCGCTCTGGCTGCCCGCTGCATAGAGCCTATCCAGAACACGCTTCAATGGCGCCCTCTCGCGCCGTCGACTCGGAATGCGGCAGCCTTGAGCGCTCTATGAGCTCACTATTTCTCCTCTAGTTCACGGCCACTCTCAAGCAACCAAGGACGTCACGAGGGAGGTTATTTTTTGCTTGTTTTTGTAATTCTAATTTGCCTATAACTTTTAAAATAAAGGGAATTTCGAGAAAAGAAAAGTTTTACTAAGTTACTACGTTCAGTGCGCTCAGGTTCGGTGCAAATTAAAAATTAGTAAAAAAGTCACTGCAGGGCCCCTTTAAAGTCCGTGACCGAGCAAAACAATACCGACCGAGCCTCCCGACAACGTAAGCAAAGCTGATGAAGTTGCATTTTTCCCACACTGCGCCGCGAGTTGCGGGGAACTACGGGGCCGTTCCGATGTACGCTCGGGTCGGTTTGTACGCCCCATAAATTTTGGAAGTGACTCAACTTTGTCTCTCTGACCACTGAGAGCTCAGAATGCTAAGAAAACAGAGCAAACACGTCACAAACATTCAGACATCAAGCTAGTTGATAGTTACAGTGAACATATACCGATTGATGTGTGTGCCAATGTTTTTAACGGTGCATTTTCTAATTTCTTCACTGCATCCACGGCAATAGATGACTTTTTTTGGTAACTTCTAATGTTTTCCTAATGGATCCTATTGTTAGAGACTACAATGGTGTAATCAACATTCTAGAATCACTCAAAATGTCATCATTGTGTGGAATAGTTAATACTAATGGCAAACTGTCAACACCAAATTTTCATCTGGACTGTTCCTAACTGAACTTTTTCAGCAGCCCCTGGAAACAGGAATTGTACCCTCTGATTGAAAAATAAACAAGGTTATTCCAGTCCACAAGTCCGGCAGTAAATCGTCTCTACTAAATTATTGCCCGATATCAATTGCCTGCATTTCTGGCAAAATCCTAGAGCATATCATCTACAAGCACCTTATTAACTTCCTAAACTGCTGCGACTTCTTCACCAATGCACGGCATGGTTACGACCAACATCTTTCATGCGAGACCCAGCTTCTTTTTCTTACTGACGAGTTATTTAAAAAACTTGACTCTGGGTTTTCTACTGACGCTGTTTTCCTTGACTTCGCTAAGGCATTAGACAAAGTCCCACATAATCGTCTATTGTTTAAACTCTCTCCACTAAAAATAGATTTTAAGTTTTAATATGGATTGAATCTATCCTTAGCCAACGCTCTCAATTTGTTTGAGCTAACAATGCTGCTTCCTCCTTAGCTCTCGTTTCTTCCAGCGTTCCGCAGGGAACCTTCCTAGGCCCATTGCTTTTTCTAACTTTATATTGTCACGAATGACAATTGATGAGGCGACGAATAACTAAACATTTCCTTCAGTTATTGAGCTATGGGGCAAGACTGACCGTGGCTCGCCACGCAAAGCACTTTTTGTACCCATGCGGGTTTCTGGAAGATTCAGCGTAGAACGTTCAGCGCATAGAACATTCGTAACTCGATCAGACAAGGTTCTCAAACTTACGAGAACAAAAGTTGAAAGAATGAATAAAAGAAGATTATACTCCCAGGAATCGAACCTGGAGACTCCACGCGTACAGTAACCATTCAGCTACGCACGCGCTTGCTCGGCAACGCGCGTTGCAATATTAACGACCTCCCTCTTCAACTCTCGTCATCCATTTGCCTTTCACTGATGATTGTGTTATTTACCGACTAATAAAAACTCCAAATGACCATGATATTAACAAAATTACTAACTGGTGCCAGACTTTGCAAATGTCTTTGATTGTTAGCAAGCGCATGCATCTATCCTTTACGCTCCCTGCCCACAACTACATTAACACTTAACGGCAATGCGCTTAAGACTGCTACCTCTTATAAATATCTAGGTGTGCATTTAACCCCTAACCTATCCTGGAATGCTCAGTGACTCAATCACTCAGTTATATCCGTCGTAATTTTAAATCTGTCCCTTCTCACCTAAGACGACTTGTTTACATCACTCTTGTTCGCCCTGAACTAGAATATGCTTCGTCTATGTGGCACCCTCACCAATCTGGCCCAATGCAATCGAAGCGGTTCAAAATCGTGCTGCTTATTTCATTCGTTTCGACTACACCCTTTTTTCCAAGTGTTACTCCAACGAAATCGCAACTAACCCTTCCCAACCTTTCTTGTCATAAAATTTCCCGGCATTGCCTTCTTTATAAATTTTATTATTCTGCACCTTTAAAAGGGTCCCTTCTTAGCTTTCCCAGTTATATTTCGGCAAGACTCGACCACTTGTGTGAGATCTCCCGGCCCAAGGCTACCTCTACAGCATTACTACATTCTCTCCTATCCGCTACCATTGTGGACTGGAATGTCCTGTAAATCTGTAAATAAATAAAATGTACAGGGTATTTGTAAATAAATCAAAAAGCCGATGCCTACCCTGCTTTGTGACTGTCCCACTTCCTTTGCATTCCAAAATGGCAAACGCGAAACAAACATGAACCGCTCCTTCAGTTTATGGGTACTCCTTCACGAGTCGTACGTCGGATTGCGGCGGTCCACCGAAAAGACGATGGGAGGCAGCGCGAATTTCTGGAATGGCCTATCGTAACCATCGCCCATAGATCCTCTTCAGAAGCTTACACCATCTAGTAGCTGCTGCACCAATTATACTAGTCCACCATTGTTTGAGCAGGTAGTCTGAGCATGTACTGGACACGAGGGCTGTGTCAGCGTGAACTCAGCTCGGATCATATTGAAAACAAACGCCACGTCAGCGTTCGGCGAGAATTTGGATCCCATCACACGCTTCATAACCAAGGAACGGCAACTGCCAATGTTGCCCGATCAGCTTTTGAAAAGGGTCCCTTGTGGCCACTCCGCACGAGGCAACAAAATGGCGGCGTCCACGAGAGAACCGCAAAAAGGAGGGTGGCTCTGGCAAGCACCTTCTCTCCGCCGTCCTCCGCGCTCATCATGGACAGGGGGTCGAGGCCCTCGAGGGCGCTGCCCAGCGGGTGGAGGCTGGACAGGGGGTCCAGGCCTCCCCAGGACGTGGTGGCGGACGACCGACGGGGGGTCCCCGAAGCGGACGACGAGCCGCTGCTGCTAGATGTGCCCGAACGGCGCTGCGGGCGGCCATCTTGCAACTGTGCACAATGAAAACCCGTGACGGTCGAGCCGCAACCGGTTAAGGCCAACTCACACGCTTGCGTCTGCTTACGACCGAGTGCCGCGAGGTACGTTCACACACTTGCGTTTGCCCAAGACAGAGTTCTTGCAATTTTTTACGACGAGAGAACACGCTGGCACGTTCGCGCCACCTACGAGGTAACCCTGGAACTGAACTTCACTAGAGCGAAGGTTTTGCAGTATTTTCAAAATCTAATGTATGTACTATCACGAAAAACGGTAGTTTACAACGGGGGTCTATAATAGGGCGGGCCAGACCCTGCCCACAGAGGTCTTCCCACCGGCCTGCAGCCAGCCACGGACTTTCCGATGAAGTCCGGCCCATGGCTCACTTCACTAGCGGTGCAAAAAAAATTGTGCGTAGAGAAACGATGCCCGGGACGCGCTCCAAATCCGCAAACTAAGATACCAGAAAGACTGAGAGAAACTGCATTGTAACGTGGGTCCTCTTGCCATACGATTAATTGAACATTGTCATCACCAGCATTACCATACATGGTCCCCTGTTCCATGTCTGTGTAACCACCTTCAAATTTTATCGCATTCTCATATATTTTGCGCTTAGTGTCCTCTTTCACAACTATTGCATATTGTCAGCATTAATTTTATTATTCTCATTAGTCTTTTGCACCGCGCGAATGTGGCAAAGTTTCTACGCGCTTTGCTTTATGATTGGCAAGTTTTCTTCGCCACAAGTGTTGTGTAAGGTCATAATTCACTAAATATAAAATATAAAACAAGCATATCAAGGAGATTTTCGGCTGTAGGACTGTCTGTCAAAAAAACGTTTGTAGCAGGTCAATTGGTAGCATTCATCGCAGTGACAGTTCAATAGACTATTGAAATAACTTTTTTTTTCCGTGCCACTTTTCTAGCGCCAAGCATATTGCTCCAAAATGAAAAACCTTGTGTGAGGCCCTATTGACAGAAATGGCTGGAGTCTTTTCTAACAGCTCGTTGAATCGCTGTTGCTTTCGCGACAGACACTGTCTGATTTCCCCGAGACCCACATAACTTGGGTACGAGCCGTCCCAGTAATTATATTCAAAAGACAGCGGCAAATATGCAAGTTTGTCAAAACTAATTTATTTAGCAATGGTCACTCTACTGTCTATAGATACATATACACATAGTGAAATGTTTCAGGTGCACACCTCGAAGTGTCAGTGCTGTCGGTTCCATCGTAGCGCTGAAGAATTGCTTAATGGCGCTTGTCCCGTGTTTCTTCCTTCCTCAACATCCTTGTCAAGACTCCACTTGCGGCTTGGCTTAGCTTCATTTTGGCCAGTGCCTGCTGTCTCTTGAGCGACTCCAGGAACATCCAGATATTGACACCCAACGTGCGCCCGAAATATTTCGCTATGAATGATGTACCCATAGAGTAGAGTCTCTAAATAAATTTGTTTTGACAAACTTGCATACTTGCCGCTGTTTTCAGATTAGATGCCGGGACGACTCACACCCGGATTGTGTGGAATCTTATTAAAAATCTCGGGCTGTGGGCCCTTGGTCTTTCGACGAACGGCATGTAGCCCGAGATTCTTAATACTTACTCTAACATTAATTTGTGTGTTTAAATGGTTATCTAGGTTTATTTACTTAGTTTCTTTTTGTTTGTGGGTAATCTTTTTTTTTCTCCGGCCCTCGGGACTGTGACATATAGCTAATCCGGCCCCTTAGCCAAAAAGATTGGAAATTTCTGGTTTATACATTGTCAAAAATTTTCCAAGCCAAAAAACAAAACAAAAAACAATGAGTAAAAAAACAGAAAATATATGAAAATGCCATGTGTTCCATGGCTACCCGATAGGTGGTGCCAGTTTGTTCCATAGTCGTAAGAGGTTTTAAGAGGCACATGGTCGTAAACAGGTGCAAGTGTGCGAACCAGCCTTTACCACTTGTGATCTCTCACGACGGGAAAACAGACTGGCGCCATCTATCCGGTAGCTGTGAAACACTAGGCAATTCCGTTCATTTCCTTTTTGCGCATCATTCTTTCTTTACTGGCTCCAATAACTTTTGACACTGTTATAAACGCCATTTCTAGTAGATCTCGCAAATACTGAAAACCTTAGCTCCAGTGAAATGTGGTTCCAGGGCCACCTCATAAATGGCACCAGCATGCCGCGTGTTCTCTCGTCCCAAAAGATAGCAAGACTCAGATCGAACGTGCACTCGGGCAACACTGAAAAGTGGTCGCTTGCTCCCATTGCTTTCATGAGGTTTGCCACAAGCGACTGGCCGAGTGACAGTGGGTCCTCGTCACCATCACTTGTCTCGTCGCTCGCCAAATCACTTGCATGGGGTTTATACTTAAAACGAGCCAGAAAAATCGGTGCCTTCGCATAGAATGCTTAAAGTTTCACCAAATGTGCATTGAGGTGGCACAATTTAGCCAATTAAATTTAGAGCCATAGCCTTTTTGTAAAAAATTAGACCAGCAAACTTGCCACAGTCAACGTCGGGCGGTTTTGCAGCGACCAAGTTAGCAATGCTTGTAATGCATGGTGCCATCTCCTGAAAGGCTCAGAGAGCAGGCGATGCACTCTCTTGCCTGCTCGCTGCGTCTATCGGGAGATGGGTCCACGTGTTACAAGCATCACTAACTAGGTCGCTGCGAAACTGCCCGCCGTCAACTGTGGCAAGTTTGCTAGTCTCATTTTTCACAAAAAGGGAGCTACGGCTTAGCATTTTATAAGCTCAAAAGCACCATCTCAATGCACATTCGGTGAAACTTCGAGCTTTCAATGTGCAGGCACCGATTTTTCTGGCTCGTTTGACAGCGTAGGATTCACTGGGAGACTTGGCAGGAATGCCAAAAGCTTCAAAGTTTTCCATTATAGTGTGTGTGTGCACAAACATACACAAAATAATTTAAATAAAAAATTAAAAAAAAAAGGTTGACAAATGTAATTTAGTGGTCTGTGGAAAATGCTCCCAAACCGAAAGGAAATCATGGCACAGCGACCGACCAAGGTATGTGACGGATTGTGTGTCTTCTCTCTTCTGTCCAGTTTTAACATAACCAACACGGCCAAGCTTCCAGTTTGATCTGTGGCCGAGAATTCCCACTTACGGTGATGACGCTGATCTTGAGCGGGTGATCGGTGACTTCTTCCAAGGCGCAACGCCGCTCCTTTCGTTCAGCCTCGTAATTGATCACTTTGCTTTCCCTGTCGAAAAAGGAGAGAATTGTTCACATATTAGGATGCATCGTGGTGCTTCCAGTGCGAGTTCCTCGCTCGTGAAACAACGAAACACCAGCCGCACTCCGAAGCACCCAAATTTACGGAACATCCAAAAACTCATTGATTGTATCGTGCAATTTCAAAACGTTATTCTTGTACGAGCCCGGTTTGATGTGGGCGTTTCTTAAAACGAAAGTTGGTCGCCCGCAGCGCTTGCGGACTGCAGCACCGAGGGCACCATTTCCAGATACATAAGTGTGCGTTGCTTGTATCGGGAACTTACCACGTAAACGTCATTGTGACTTCACGTAGCCGTGAATCTCGAACATCGGAAAAGTGAAATATTTCGGTGACGATGAGGAGTGAGCAGTCGTGAAGGACCTGAGAAGCCGCGGACAAGCTCAAGCCGCTCAAGCCGAGAAGCGCCGAGTGCTGATGATGATTGGTGCGGACCAGTGCGGACGCATTTTTTTTCTTTCTGTTATTTTTAATTCAATCAAATTGATTAAACTTAAAACGTTAAAAATAAGCTTTTGCGTCTTTGGGCGTAGTATTAAAACACTGGGTTTAAGGTGGCGAGAAAAAAAAAAAGTGATAATTTGCAACCACCACCATCATCATCGTCGTTTATTTGACCCGGCTTAAAAATGGCGACGATCGAAGAAGTTAGCGGCGAGATTCTGCACCTTATTTACGACGTTATTAGAAGGTAAGTAAAGATCCGTCGTAACTCTCTGATGGTGTCGACTGGACTCCGAGCGCTTGCCGAGATGTCTGTACAGTTTTTTTGTTAAAAAAAAGGGGGGGGTGCATGGCGCTTGTTTGCACCGGTCCTCCTTACCGTCTTCGCGTTGTTAGTAGCGATCACGGTGTAAGTAGTGATTATGGTCTTCCGAAGGTTCCCGATTACACCGGCATACTTGTGTGATTCGCGACAGTGCGCTGCTTTCTTGCTAACACGAGGACGACGAGGGCGCTTCAGGGTCACTCTGGCTTCCTATGGGAGCCAGAGTTGCGCGTTCATCCCCGTAGCGCCGGCTTTCCTGCACGGCATTCGGAGTCTGCTCCTCACGTGACTAAATTCGGCGAATAGCGGCGCCGCGCGTTCGAAGCGCGCGGCGCGCTCAACAGTAGGGGAACGTACGCCGGGACCAACGAGGTAGAGTTGGCCGGAACGCGCGCAACGTCTACTTTCCTGCACGGCACTTAATCCGGCTCCTCACGCGATCGGATCTCGGCGAATAGCGGCGCGGCGGCACGTGGAAAACGGACGCGAAACTCTGCTTAGGAGCTCTAACAATCGTGTAATCTGCGTTTCAGCTCGAAGGAAAAGCGAACAAACAGACAGGTTGGTTTAGTACTGAAATGTTAAGGTGGGCGAATTTAACAGTATGATAACATAGAGCTGCAGCCAAGTACAAGAAGCAGACAGGAATAGCCCTGCCCTGTCTACATCTTGTCCTTGTCTGTTTTTTGCCCTTTATATAATCAATGAGCTGCTTTAGGCAACACATAATCCACCATTGTGGAAATACCTGCCGCCACCCGTCAGAAAACGGGGTTCCAGGATTCCCAGGAGGAAACTATGTGTGCATTAGGGAGGACAAGAAGGAAGTGTCTTAGAACAAACTACAAAAGCGACTTTTGGGGGAGCCCAATTTAAGTGACCACAGCTCAACGAAGTTAGCAGGATCGCTTAAACACGCGCTCGCATATTTTCCAACCAAAACGTCCTTAACCGGCGATTTCCATAAATGGTCCATTTGAACCGGACGCAGTCGGGACGGAAACACAATACACCTCAACTTTTAGCTTCAGTAGCGGCTATACAGAAATATGCGAAGTGCATAACAGGCAAGACCTCTGGAACCATCGTTACTGTGGCAAATCATTTCAGCGAAGAAAATCGGTGCAGTTAAAAAATTCGGATAAAACCCACATTTACTGAACACCAAGTCCCCAAAATGGAAAACGAGAAGGAATAAAAAGGGACCTTCTCTTTCGCATTTCCTAATGACGTTCTAAGTGCGCAGCATTTATATGACCTCCTTGCACTCATCCTTATGGAAGCATAGTAAAGAGGCCATTGAAGGGCTTATTGCAAAGGCTTTGGCAATATATAAAGCTGCCAGTCATGTGACGTCATGGTGTCACCTGGCACCAAGTCGCGTCATGGTGTCGCGTGGCATCACCAGGTCAGATGATGCAACGTCGCAATGTAAGTCGTGTGGTGTGTCCGACATCACAGTGTCGTGTGATGCGGTGTCACGGTGTCACCGGACGTCAATGTGACCCGTGATGTCATGGTGTAACGTAAGTTGACATGATAATGTCACATGTATTCATAGCGCCTTTGGAATAACATCGCAGTTTCATGCAGCACTGGCGTTGTTGAGGCTACGTGCCATGGACACAAAATCCGTAAGGCCATATGAATGCTATGCATGGATAGATGGATGCGTGCTGACGGCTGTACCCTTTATAACGGGCGGTAGCTTGCACCACCTAGCCTAAAAATTAAGAACCAAAAGTATGTTTTCTTTCCTTTGCCACATTGCTTACCCTCTGCAATTTCGTAACCATCACCAGGCAGTGTGGGATATCACCAGAATGACCTTTGGGGGATCGGGCAAAAAAACTAAAAGCATCACTACCTTCCTCTTCCCCCCGGTGAGGGGGTCGCCAATTTCCTTCTGGTCAGACCTAGTCGGCGTTCCCCCGGCACCGAGTTCGCTTGTAGACGGGGTGAAGACATTGGGCCGGAGCCTTGTGGGAGGGAGTCTCAATGTTTCTCTGTCCCGCCCGTCCCCAGCTGTGTCAGTTTGTTGTATGTCACTGAATTCTTCCTAGATAATTTCCACCAGTCTTCCCATCTCCTCTTTGTTATGAAAATGCACTTATCATCTGTTTTTTCATTCCCGTCTGCAAACCCCAGCGCTCTGCCTACATCCATCACCCCCTGTGGGAGAGAGGGAGCAAGCCCTGCGACACCAGATGTTCTATTGTCTCGTCTTCCCCTTGGCATACGGCACAGCGCATATCCATTTCCTCGTACTTCGTCCTACATGTCCTAGTTCTGAATACCCCCGTTCAAGCCTAGAATAACAACGAGCTCCCAGTGAATTATCGTGCCAATATTTCTTCCTTATTTCCTGTTTTTGTCCCCTATACATAGTTACAGCTGATTTCCCCTGCATCCTTTCCTCCCATATCTTTCTCTCGGCTTCTTTTACTTCCTTTTTCACAGAGGTAGTCTGCTCTGCATCAGCACTTGACTGTTGGTATTTGAATTTCAGTTTTTGGGTTTGGTTTGTCCATTTGGTGTTCAGACTTTTCATGTATAGATGCTTATATGCCTTTCTCGCACATTGTGTATCCTCATTATGTCCAGTCTTTGTTCAAATTTCAACTTACTGATCGCCTCTCTAGCCTCGAAAGATGTCCAGCCCATGTCTCCCTGCACTCCTTCATTTGGCGCATTCCCATGCGCCCCCAGTGCCAGTTTACCCACATTCCTCTGCCGGGTTCCTAAGCTCGACTGGACCTAAGGTTCCATGCATAATACCGCAGTGCCAAAAGACAACCCCAGCACCATGACTCCTTTCCATGTTCCCCTAACAACATCATATCTCTTGTAATTCGGTAGTATCCCAAGCTTCATAATTGCTGCATTCCGGTTTCCTTTCTTGAGCATATTTTCTCCTGTTCTTCTAAGTATTGTTGTCCCTCATTCAGCCATACTCCTAGGTATTTATACTTCTCTATGTGTTCTATTAAGACGTCTTGAATTTTCTGTGGGTCCCCCTTCTCATCGTCGTAAACTATTATCCCTGACTTGTCACTAGTGAATTTCGGGCCCAGAGAGTCTCTTTCTTTTCCGCAAATCTTAATCACCTCCTGTAACATCCGGGCTATCTGCTAACAGTACAATGTCGTTTGCGTAGAACATTCTCGGTATAACTTGGTTTACTTTTCCCCCTCTCCATATACGACGGGTCACAACCTAAATTGCACTCTTTTAATCTATTTTCCTTTCTACTGCATCCCCTGTATTTAAAATGCCATGCATTTAAAACGTGTTAATTGGTGCCAGTCTAAAGAGCGCTTTATAATCAATGTCACGGACAAATTGTGCCTACCACTACCGGTGGTGCTGAGGGTTTGTCAAGTTTCGTATTGAAGATTTCTTTCCTTTTTTGCTCCATTTCACTTGACGTCCGGTAAAATGAGCAGCTTCTAACTCAGTTCCAAGTGCTGCGATCCACCATTTTCAGAAATGACCGATTCAGAAGGATTTGGGAAGCAGAAAGAAAGAAAATGAGTGACATACTGCATTTTTTACTGCCTCATCGACGTGCAAGTTTTAGTGTCGTCGCCTTGCCAGAAAGCGTGGGGAATTTGATGGCATATCCTTTATTTGCCGTTTTCTCAATTGCTATTCTGAATTTAGAGATAACAAGTAGCATGTGAAGAGGAGTAAAGCCCAAATATTTAGCAAATGTAGTTTATAGCTCAGAAAAGTGCAGGAGCTTTAAGCGAGTTTCTGTTTTTGCGCAGCATCGAGAAGGACTCGCACGACCCGAATCAGAAGCGGGACAGCTACGACAGCGCGGTAAAGATCCAGGAGCTCCGCGGGAAGTTGCAGCTGTGCCGCGACCTGATCCACAAGCTGCCCGGGGTGGACTACACGGGGGAGGAGCAGCTGCGCAGGGTGGAGGCACTGCGTAGGCAGCTGGCCCGCAAGCGGGAGCTGCTTGTCAAGTACAAGAGCATGTGCCACTTCGACACGCCCGACATCAAGTGACCGCCATGTTTGCGTGCCGTGCAGCGGCCGTCTTCAAAGCGCTGACTGCCGTCATTGCTTCGAGGGGGGCCCACGGGCGGCCAAAGATCTACGACCATTACTTCGGCTATTTCCGTGAGACTGACCTCTACCGCCGAACGACAGCACACTCGGATCCTGAGCTGCGACGGTTTGTCCTCTCGAGCGGGGAACGCCTTGACGCGTCTGCTTTATCGGCTCCGGAACTGGTGGAAGCTGCACTGTGCTGCGAGGACGCTTCCTTTGGCAGACACCACGGCCGCAAGATCGAGGACGAGTGCTGCCGGAGGGTGAGACACCTGCCCCCTCTAACCTCCGTGGTGCTCATGGATGCCTGGGCCTCTAGCCTGGGCGGAAAGGGCTACCTGCGAGAGGTTGTCCCACACTGGACGCGATACGCCTGCTCGGCCGAAACCTTCGACTTTGTGCACCTGGTCTACCTGGCGTCCCTGGGGAAGAGCGCTCCCGAGAGCTTCCTGCATGTCGTGGCGGACCGTCTCCGGATGGTGCTACCGAAGTGCGCCCTCAGGGAGGTCGGGATACTCTGCAGCAGCCTGTTCAAGCTCAAGCTGCGTGTGGCAGATGACACCGTCTTGGCGGCTGTCGCGACAAGCACGGCGGAAGGCCTAAGGTCTCACGGCGACCGGTTCGACATAATCTCGGCGCTCAAGTTTCTGAGGTCGTGCGAATACTACGACGCTAAACTTTTAGCGGAGATCGCTGCGTACGTCCGTGAGGTAGGCGGAGAGCTGGCGGTTGCAGAGTGCGCCCACTTCTTGGCTGCCTTCTCGAGCGTGGCGGCGTACGACAAACCCACATTCTGGAGGCTCGAACGTAGGGTTGCAGATCTTCTGCGAGACCCGCGGTCGACCAGAGACGGGCATCGGGCACATCCCGCGGAGTCGCCGAGGGTCAAGGACGTCGCAAAAGTGCTGTGGGCGCTCGCGCATGTCGGACACGACGCCGACAACTGGATTTTGGAGACAGCAGAAGAGTTTCTCGAGCAACGGTCTGCACCGAGCAACGTCTTCCACGTCTTGGACGCGCTCCAGTCATTCATCTGCTTGGACTTCTACCCGCGGCGTCTGATCGAGGAGGCACTGTCCGCGGACGTGCGCCACACAATCGTGTCGTCGCACTTGCGCAAGCCGTCAAAGCAGCTGGCGTTTGTGAGTATGTCGGCGTCGGTGATGCTCGGGGACACGTTGAAGGGCAAACCTCCCCTCGGAGACCCGCCGTCCTCGAGGACAGACCGGGCACAGTACGAACGCGCTTGCTTTCGAGACTTGGCCGACCTGTTTGCTGCCAGGGGGCTGCCGGCCAGCTGCATCCTGCCGCACATTCACGTGGCGGGCGTGACCTTCACAGTGTGCCCGTCTTCTCTGACCACGAGGCCGGTCCTGGACTTCCGCGACCTGAAAGGTGGCAGTAAACAGCTGAACCTCTCCCGGGAGCTAATAGACGCCGTGTCCGGCACGCAGAAGCAGCGACCGGATGGCGGTGGCAGTGCTCGCGCTAGCACACGGTCCACGTTTGTCAGCGTGGAGCTGTTGGATGGTGGTGTCTTGGTGCGCGGTTCGGAGTCTGCATTGCGAGGGATCATGAGGGCGAAAGTGGTTCAGCTGCGTCGGCTGGGCATCAAGGTGGTGTTTGCGACTCCTGGACAGGTCAAGGCGGTCTCCGAGCTGCCCGGTGTGGAAAGAGACGACTGGTGGGTCCGGTTTGTGAAGCGCTGCGCGAGTGATACCGACCCGCAATTTTACCACTCTGTTGGCGGCGGTGATGCGGTTGTTGCAACGTGACAGCCTCGACATCTCGCTTTTCGGTGGGGCGATTTGTCTTTCTCTGTCAAACTTGTTCAGCTATGCAAACCTCTTCTTGACAGGACCTGCGACTTCCCACAGAAAGGCGGCTAGGAGGTGGACGTGCATTCTTAAAGGGGCACTAAAGTGCTTTTTTAGATCCGTGTTCTAATGTCTTAACTTAATCTATGAGCTCTAAACATCCTAAAAAGACCAAAATCACATTCATGCAGCGCCGATTCGCATATCAAAAAAGTTATCAAAGTTCCCGACACTTACCGTTGGCGCAGAACGACAGATGGCGCTACCGAACATTGCTGAATATGGTCGAACGACGGATGGCGCCCGTCATCCACTTGCGAGTTATGGGTTCCTGCGGGGACGAGCGGCCGACCAGACCTGCTTATCTTTTTTAGACCTCCTGCGTGACCTTTTATACAACCTCGTGCCACTGGGAAGCACGGGGACATTTGAATGTCTGTGTTGACATCAGCTTAATTTGTCATTTCCTTTTTATTCAGATTAGCCAATCTGAATTTGGAGATAACTTAATAAAGAGTGTGCCAAGAAGCGTAAAAGACCCAGTATTTCGACTATGGGTAGCTCGCAAAATTGCCAAAGTACCTTGGCAAAGGTCATTTCCAGATCAAGAAAATTTTGGGTACAGTTTAAAAAACAAGGTTTTCACATTGGTGACCTCAATTTGTTTAGGAGCTATAGGCCCGTTGCAGTCTGCCAGGGGCGCGAGCGCATCCACAAGACGCGACCGTGTAATGTTGGCTTTGGCGTCTGCAAGACGCGGCTGTAAAGGCAGCGTCATGGCATTCAATCACGCATAAGCCACAAAAAAATGCTAGGCTTGCGCATTAAAAAGAAAAAAAAAGTACAGTTTTGTGGTTTTGGCGTTTCGTCGAAACGCCAAGAATGAATTCCTTTTGGCTGTTTTGCTCATGTTTTCTTTTGCAGCGCCCTTCAGCAAAGCGAGGGAGCCCAAGAACACGCAATCAAAAAGTGACCTATAAATATTTGATTTTGCTCACGAGGGGCGCAGCTCAAAACTTGAAAGCTATGGGCCTACAGACATTGGCAAAGTGAAAATGGCAGGGCACCTTTCGAATGCCCCCAGCACGCAGTTGTTGCCCTTGCTGTGGTTTGCCTACGTGAGCACGCTCAAGGCTCGGGAAATGCCGATCCCATCCTGTCGGTTTTCATCTGCCGACAAAATTACCCTTAAACATTACTCTAAAATAATGATAAATTGTAATCAATCTGATGAATTCAGCGCACAAAATTAGTCAACGGAGTGATCCCGAAATAGTCCCACTTGCCGACCTGCCAACGTAGATCCCGAGGTCATTTGGCCAGTTGGCTTCAGGAAATGCAAAAAGGAAGGCTCGGCACTGACGGATTAATCGGACGATTCTGCTGAAGACGATAGCGTCTGCTGAATCACCGGTTCGCGAATGCTGGGAGTTGCAGATTCCGGTGTTGATGCACAGTCCGTTGAATTCAAATCTCGACTCCTTTTTGGAGCAGCAGGTAAGCATCGTATTTGACTGCTGCTTCAAACGGCTTGGGCTGACTCGTTCTGGACTCGGATTTACGGAGAAACAGTCACATTCGCAAGAAAGCTGCAGCGAGTGAACGGCATCGGTGCGCAATGAATTTGAGTACTTCAATGGGCTTCAAAGAACGAGAGAGAGAGAGAGAATGCAAAACTAAGGATGGGGGAGAGGGAGGAAGAGAATGAGATAGTGATAAGACAGATATGGAGAAAAGAAAGTCAACAATACCTGCATGCAGTAACTCTGGGCTTGTTGACAGGGATCAGACAAAATCTCGGCGAATCCAAAGGCTGCCATGTCACGCGCCAAGAGGACCCCCTTTTTTCCTTCCCAATTGTAGCCGTCCCCGCTTTGTACAACTACATAGGGCTACTCCCCCATCCGCCTTGAGGGGGGGGTGTAGTTCTTAGACACTTGTCCTTTCCCTTTTTCGGGGGGCAGCACCCAGCCTTTTCAAGACAGATAGCTTTTTTGTTTGTTGCCAAAGTTTTTGGCAAGCGACACTCCCGATGTGTCTGCGAGCCAGTATACGAGCTTGCATTTGACAAAGGAAGAGCTATTGCTGTGTTTGCCGGGTGGTCTTTTGATTTCAGAGCTTGTTGCGGGATAGCCCAACTTCATGGAGCTGTCCATAATTATTATAACCACATGTGTCCTAAACCCCCCCCCCCTTTCATGACTTCTAAAGTGCATGCCACTTCACGAACATGCAGTGTGGACATATTTCACAGTGGCACACCATTTATTTCAGGTAATGAAGCTAGCAGAGTGAAAGTGCCCACTTCTTTCTTAGGAGGCAATTTCTCTGCCTTTTTATTCTAGATTGTCGATAGAGGTCTGCACAGGTACATGCCTGCAAGGGGCTCGTGCTTCATGGCTACACTCATGCCGGGCTCGGGCCTTGCGTTCAAGTCTATAAAGCAACTCAAGCCGGCCGTTATTATTTTTTAAATTTTTTTAGCAGCAGCTACGTTTTTAGAAGTTTGTTCGGGCAGGTTGCAGAAGAGACAGTGGTAGGGGAGACCCAAATGCTGAAAGCGTGTGCGTGTGTAATGTGCAGGCACGTGTCTACTGAATGCTCTTCCAGAGCAGTGCCAGCGGTGCAGCATTTTCAGAAGTAAAAAAAATAGATCTTGTATTCGTCCGTTTTTTTGTTCCCCCCGTAATTAATTTTGGTTGCTGGTGTTGCTAGCACTGTACTGTAACCTCCCACAGCAACACGCACACATGCGTGCCTGCGCAATGTGCGTCCTTACAAGAGTACGCCATCTGTACAAACAAGTGCCGGCAAAAAAGTTCCCCTGAAAGGTGCTTTCCCTAAACAATTTCTCGCAGACCACTGCTAAAGCCAGCGGTATTTTTTTTTTTTACATATTTTTTTTGGTTGTACGTAGTGGGTGTGGGTAATTTAGAACTTTGTCGGTATTTTCTTAAAAGCTTGAACCTTTCGGGATGCTCCCCTTCCTTTTCAACTTTGACACATTCTTTTGTTTACTAGCTGTTGCTTGCAATTTTAATTTTTCCATTCTTTTCAATACGCAGGTTTGGTAGCAAAAAAATACCCGATTGTGTATTTTTTTTTCATCGGCCCGTGCAAGCCTCTAGTTGTCAGTCTCTTCGAAACGGCTAGCACCTGATAGCCTTACACAGACCGCCGAATTGCTCTGGCGATCCCCGCTCTCGCTGTCCCCTCAATGGATTTCATCAAAACGCACGGCACCGCAATGGCAGGTAATTTTGGGAACCCTCTATACAGATCACGTGCTTTCTTGTTGCGCCTCCGCAACCACGCGCTTTCTTTTTGCGCCTCTGCGACCACGCGCTTTCTTGTTGCGCCTCCGTGACCACGCGCCAGCAGCCATCGCAGTCATGCGCCCATCCCACCCGAACATTGTACGTTGTTGGCGGCGCAGTGGCAGTGTAAACGCATCGCGACGGGTGAAGCTATTTCCTTTTTTGAATACATTGTTCGTCGTAACTTACCTTCACGTCTGGCAGTATCACTTAACCCACTTTCTTTTCACCGCAAACGTGGTAGGGTTTGGCTAGGTTCGACAAAGCGTTAGTGCAGCAGACGACAGAGCCGGTACAAAGGAGAGGGATGAGATAGCCTCGCAAAACCGCCAACGCGATACCCTCTCTTCCATTTCCGTGCGCTCGTCGCTCGTCTGACTCGGCTCTCGGCCGCTCAATTGTTGTTGCCATGGTAACCTGCGCCTGCTTGCGTATACCACGTGGTAGTGGGAGGAAAGATGATGGGTGGGGCGTACCAAGGACTCCCATTGTTTGCCACGCGGCGCGCGTGAGCTTTTGGGATTTCTGCAAAGGGTCTATTAAAATTATATGTACTCGTGCAGTCGAACAGAGCATTTTTGCCTGCCCGTTTTGTATAGTATTTTGTGTTTGTTTTGTTTTGTCTTTTGCTATTGCCTGTCATTTCCAAGGAGGGGAAAGTAGAGAAGGAATACATGCAAGCTGCAAACGACTCCTGACGAAAAATAAAAACGGAGAGGTGACTTTTGTCAGAAGATATTTGAAACCTAGAACTTTAAGAAACTGCTTATTGAGTAAGATCTTTTAAATGATTAAATAAAGGAAAAATACTTGGTACTTCCCCGCATCCGCTTATTTGTCCCCGTAATACTTATCAAAATATTGTTTGAAAAACCTCACTCATTTGTTGCAGACTAGCAGGTCTCAAATGTTTATAAAAATTAAGCATATAATACATACAGGGAAATCTCAAACCGGCAACTCTTAAATTGAGCATCAAATCAACTTTTTAAACAATTTTTGGTGTAAATAGGCACACAGGTGCATTTGTTCAGTAAAAGTATGAAATGATTGGAGCATAAAAAAAATCTACATTTTCTGCACTTCAATCGCGTGCAAACACCATGATTTTTGGGTCACTGCTGTGTTTATTTTGACAAACTAAAGAGGAAATATGTCCAAGTCAATTTTGCTCACTCTATTACTACACCTTTTTTGCATTCTTTATAAATGCCACAATGGCCAAATATGCCAATTGATGATTTCGCACAAAAAAGGTCAGCATAAATTTGTTCATAAGCAAAAAAAAAAAAAAAAGAATGTTTAGTTTTTTTTTTTTTTACTCGAGGGAGCTCATATTTAAATTCAATGAATTTTCACTGTGAACGTGGCACCATTTTTTTCTACCTTGCACTTGGGGCCAGTTGTTCCAGGACTATTTTCTTCTACACCTGCTTTCAGCACTACAGAACAAAATACTATGAATGTATGCTGACTAGCCATAATGAGGTACAGCATGTTCTCACAAATGTGCAATACCCCAATGATGATAGTGAGCAGACTGAATTTCAGAAAGGTTCCAACCTGTTGGGCAGAAACATATTTTTTTCTCTCACCCTACCAAACTGCAACATCAAATTTAAAAAAAAAGGGCAAGGGGGGAGGGAGGGGGGTTAGGAGTAGAATATGACCCCCCCCCCCCCCCCCCCCTCGCTGGAGTGCCACTGGCAGACGGCATTCAGATGGCTGTGGCTAGCTTCAGACTCATTCTCTCACGTACGCGTCTATTCAGGAGCCGATTCGTTGCCATGGTGATGGTGACCATTGCAAGAGTTTGCCATGTGGAAGGAGATGGCAGTGTGGAGAGATCAGGTGCTGTACGTTCCAGTGAGCGGAACATGAAGTAGAGTTTGAAATGTGGGTTTAACGCAGATGGCTAATCTTCTCCAGCCTGCAATATTTTGTCGTAGCACACGACAGACGAGTTGTTTTCGCTATCCAGTGGCTTATTACCCCACTTCCCAGTGGTGTGCAAGGGGCGGTTGCCTCACCCCCAGACATTTCAGACATAATACAAACTTCGGGGAAAGAAAAAACCCTCCCTCCCTCGTAATTTTAAAATTTTTTGTCAATATCATATTTCTTTTTACTTTCCTCCCCGTCTTTCTTGCTATCCTTTGCCCCCTCATCTCTCAAACACTTCCGACGTCACTACCCACACCGCCTCTCAGTAGTGTTGTCGACGGTGGCGGAAGATGAGCTTGAAAACCGCACACACTGCGTACGGCTCTGCCATGTTGCAAAGTTGAATCTTTGCCTCAGTTCAGAAGCAAAGATTTTGCCATAAAATAACTCCTTCCCAAAGTTTTCAAATGTTACCTTGTGGTCACCGATAACTTCCAAAATGATGAGTCTAACGACGTGAAAGTTCGGAGCATCGACGGCCCGCCTGGGGACAATCTAGACAGCACCGACTAACATGGTGTAGGGACGTAGGGAGACGTGAGCGCAACGTCATTGGTGCTGCCAAATTTGAGCAACAAGAGTTACAATAATCGATATCTCGTCCCGCACGAGGTCCCAGTTAAAAGTGACTAATCGGTGAGCTCCGCAAACTTCGACCTCAATTTTGTGTTTGACGAGTCTAGCGGTCCAAGTGTTCCTGCTGTCGAAAAGAATGAAAGAGTCAGGTTTGAGTTTTTGCTTCCCACCCTTTATTTTTTTTTTATGCCTCCCTCGTGGAAACTGCCCCGTGGAGTGCAGCTCACCCGATACAAATGCACAGTGAATGCAATGAGTCATGGTTATGTACAAGAACTTGAGATGAGGTGACAGACTCGGAAATAAATAGGCCGTACTGCGGGCCACCCGTAGATACGCACGGCCCCGCAGGTTTGCGTGCATAAAACGGACCTTCGCAATTTTTTCGCGAGACGTCGGGGGGGGGGGGGGGGGCCACACGAGCACCACCTCCAGATCTGCAAACAAAGCTAGCCCACCTTGCTGTTCTTGTGGCTTTGCCCGACAGCCTCCCCAATCATTATTTACACGCCCAGTTGCAATGTGCCCAAAGGTGAGAAAGAAAATGTGTCGATCTGTGCAAAACAAACTCAAACCCATTGCAGAAGGGCCACAGCTCACATTTTGCAACGAAAGAAAAAACAAAACCATAGATGTGCGATTTGTTTGAAAAAGAATTAAACCTGCCTCGGCACATCGTTGTGAGGTCGACCCGGTCATGAACTGAAAGAATCTGCTCCGAGAGCGTGTTACGACACATTACCGTATCGTTGACTTCCCCATCTGTAGCCTTTGATAGTGGCAAGCATCTACCGAAATATTTTAAATTTCCTCGCAACGGTATTCTTATACGGTGTGCAAGTTCGCTTGCTCCTTGCAATAATTGTTCAGCAGCCAAATGCACCATGCGCTTCTGCTTACCTCGACCAATGACGACGCACGCTTTGCTGCCCCGTTATTGAGCGTTCCCTGCATCTTCTCTATGCTGCCATTTGGCTGGCATGCCCCTCTTTGCAATCCAATGTGCCAAAGATACATTTTGGAACACTTGCTCGCCGGATTACCTTAAATGTTTCCACACTGATTCTGAAGTATTGAATTAACTAAAAATGCTTGCCTGCAAATAGATGGAAAGATACAATTACAACGGGTTCACAGTCGTAAAAAAATGTATCCCCACAATTCATCGCCTTCACCGTATATGTGGTAACACATCTGAAAGAGCCTCCCTAAGCGTAAAACCACAGACACCGCTGGAGGTGTTGCTATTCGTTTTGTTTTTGGTAAACTATAAACATTAGGTTAACACGGTGTTTTGCTTCTCTGGGGATAGTTATTAGTTTTTAAATTAGATGATCTGAGCACAAGGTATGCGTCAAGTGGTCACTTTGCATACTGCCCTGGCAATAGTGGCAACTGGAGCGCTGGTTCTTCCTAGTCAGACTTTGAACGCTCTTTAAATTGAATTCAAAGGACGATTGCTTGCATTCGATGGAAAAGCTCTGTAAAGTAACTCAGCTTCTAATCTAAAACCACCGGAATATCGCAGAAGTGGATGCATTAAAATGAAACTTAATGGAGGTGACAACTTTTTGCCTTCAATGTTTCCATTTGATGCCTCCAAAGCTGGACAGCTTGCAAGCACTGTATGTGCTTTGATTAATTAACATTAAAAAAGTCTGTGCATCGACCCTTTCCTTATACTATTACGCTGGAAACAAAACCCAACCAACAATAAAAATGTTCCGTGATAAAAAAAAAAACTCGACCGTCAAAGGGTTATAACGTAAAGTTTCGAAGCCGAATTAACAGTGGTGAGCAGTAGCCCCATTCACGATCCACCTATCACGAACGTCCAACAATTGCAACGCCGACCGCGTCTCACGCGTGACTACCCAAAAGCACCACGGTCGCACAGTCCGTCGGATGGTCCAATCTCTTTGCACAAAATGCTTTCACAACCAGCCTTGCACGTCACACACGAGAACTTCGTACAATTAAAAACACCGTACAAGAAAATTTTTTTTTTTTTCGAAACAGCAAGATTCACAGTTCATTTCGGCAGTTTCCGACGGTCACAAGTTGGCGACAAGAGACTTGTCGACACGTCTTCCGGCCATTCGATAAACGTTCCTCCACTTTCAGCCTAGAGCACAAGGTCCCAGCATTCAGGACTCTCACTCTGCGTCGCGGAAAGGTACTTGGCATGACCCATCTTGGTCGAAGGGAGGGCAAAACGCTTGTGCCGGCCACACTTTGCACCGCTTGGACGAGGGCGCACGCCCGAGCCAAAAAACGCGAGCCCGCCGCTTCGAAAAATGCTTCTCTTCATGTCGCGACAGGACACGTAGCTCAAGTACGGCAAGGTCTCATATAAAAATACTCCCAAAAACGTTTTTTTCTCGAGTGCCTGCGTAGGACACACATGCCACTAAATAAACTCGTTCGAGTGATTCCGAATTGTGTTTCCATTTCGGGGTCGATGTCTGAAAATGACTGCTTATTTCGGAACCGCTCCTAGATCTAAGTGGGTCTCGCCACGTAACTATTGCAGTAATTTTTTAATTATTTTCCTGGAAAGTTAATTTTGTAACACAGCCTTCTTCGGGTACTTAAAAAAAAAAAAATATTTTTTGTGGGGAGTTCAGTGTCCTAAGAAGAATAGCGATGGACTCGTAGAAACTGCCCCAGTTATCGCAAGACAAGGACACAATCTCTGGGGCTCGGACAGACAATCTGCAAAGTTTTGCTCACCAGAGTTCCACATAGAGGAATTCTTGCATACGTCTCGACAGCAGATGGTCGTACGTTTTTTTCGGTCATTCGGTAACTAATAGAAACATTTGCCAAGTGAAAACATTAGTGCCAAAAAATTAACGCGTGTTGCCCTTAAATTTGTTATCAAGAGCTTTATGTACGGTGCCTGGATCCTGTCTCCGACCAATGCGTCTGCCGCGGCCTAAATGGTGGGCCCTCGATTTTTCACCCGACGCCATCTTAGAAGCGTCGTTCTGTCGCCAGACGCGACCGACGGGATTTACGCCAAGCTGGAGAGGGATCACGTCAAGCTGGAGGTCCCTCTCCAACTTGACAATCCACAGAAGGTTTAGCAGTCGACAGCTGCGACGACGGCGACACTCGCGTCGACTTATACTTTTCGTCAAGACTTTCAGCACCGACCGCCAGGATTACGACAGCACAACACTTCTGCGACGTTTCGTCACTTTGGGACCACTCTTGATGCACGGGAAGGTTAGGACAGTAAACCTACCATTTGAAGGCACCTTGCAGGCACCACACTTTATCCAACGAACATGGTCGGTGCATGTTTCTAGAGCGAGCTACTCCGTCCATTCGACACTCCCATGGACAAGACGGACTCGTGCTTCGTTCGCTTTCGTCAACGATACCATTCGGGTGACTGACGCGGGCACCGGCCTCGCACTGAATACTGCATAGTATGTTGCTCGTTGTTGACGTGTGCCAGCACTCGCACAACCGAGTCCAGCAGTCATCGATTAACCACTTTGGTTAATTGAGCTAAAATCGAACAGCTTCGATGCACGTTTGCTTCTGTCCAGAACTGTTCGATCAAGAAGAGATTTTGTTTTCTGAGTTTCGAGCGAGCATATTCACCCAAAAATACTATGTACGTCGACTTGTCGTGAAAAGGGAGTGTGCATCGGTTCTCCCGCACACTGCTCGACGCGCGTTCCGAGGTTAGAGCGAACGCGTTTGAGTGCGCTCGAATGCAAGCGTGGGAATCGGCCCTTACGTTCGAGCAAACGCAAACCCTCGCGTCGAAGCGGACCGAACAAAATGCGCCAACATCCAACGGAAGTCCGGCTCCCTTGGCCCGACTCGAGGGGGCAGGTGTGACACCCGGCAACGCTACCTCTTCTTGCGTAGCCGCCACTTGGCGCAGCCTTTGCCGTACCAGCCGAGCAGCTTGGCGCGCTTCGCGTCCCCGCAGTCCGCTTCCCCTCCTCCGTCGGGCGCCTCGCGCTTCACGTCCTCCGCGGTGCCCTCCCCGTCGCTCGCGCCCTCGTCCACTTCCGTGTCTGACCCGCTGGCATCGTTCCAGCCGGCGTCGGTCCCGTTGCTCCTGGCGTAGCAGTGGTCCGCAAAGACACGCTGCTCCTTGTCTCCACCGCCTGCGACGAACTCCCCGGGGGGCTTGACGTCCGGCTTGACGTCCTCCTCCGTTGGGACCGGCAGCGGACTCCTCGAGAAGGTCTTGAGCTCCCGGATCCGGATCGGCGTGTGCAGCTTGAACAGGGGGTCCCTTTTGCTGCCGGAGAAGACCACGTGCAACGTCAGCTCCCCGTTTTCCGGACCGTAAAATTGCTTCGCGTGCTCTTCTTCCACGTAGCCTCTGTACAAAATGTTTTCGAGTGCTCTTCGACCGTGGAAGTTTTGTATGAATAAACCAACGAAAGAAATGTATAGAGACTTTTAACGAAGATGTCCTTAGGTGGTGCATTTACGGAGTCAAATTTCGTGAGCGTGGGTTCCAGGAAAACAAAAAGGTAAGCCCAAAAAATTCTGTTCTTTCCTACACATAGAAAGGAAAACGATTCAAACCATCTAATTGAGGCTGCCACTCACAGAATATACACTAGATTTGCTGAATCCGCTTTCGGGTGTATATCTCTAAGAAGCTTTCAGATTCTCGCTTTACATTTCCGCGAGTTGCAGCATCCACCAGATGGTTTTTATCATTTTCCTTTCTGTGCATAGCAAATAACACAGGATGTTTTGGCCTTAAATTTTTTCTCTGAAACCTACAATTATGAAATTTAAATATGATCAACCTAAAGACACCTATGTCAACAACTTCATTGCACTCATCGTTATTTATTTATATAAATTTTTTTTCTACCCTAATATCACTCAGAAACATCCTGTATACAACGTGGGTTCTCGAAATGGGTACCCCAGGGTACCCACATTGGTTCCCCCAGCTCAAAAAACTTTCTTGGCCGCCCCCGAGTAAAGTGTCTTTACAGAGCGCTACTCCAGCTAATCTGATCCACCGATTGATGCATAACTACTACACAATTACACCCTAGTGTGTGCACGAATATTTGCAAGGTCTCGGCTTCTGCAGTGTTTTGTGGCATCGGTGTAGAAATTAAGCGGGCTGCTTTGGCTGTCATTCGGAAGATCCTCAAAATGATGGGTACTTCTCTTCCTTTGTTGATGTATTAAGGTTCATAATAGTATTGTGTCATTGTCTCCTGCCAATGCTTCGGTTTCGCTATTTAATACTCATACTTTTTTATTGCCTGCTGACGCAACCTACAAGGCTGACTGGGCCTTGTGCGACAGAGTGTCCTTTGTTTTTTCTTCAGAGACCCCAAGTCCAAAAAAGAAACCAACAAACAAACAAACCCGGCAGATAGACGAAGAAAGCATCTTTTTCCTAAGATAGTTTGCTCCCTAGGCATAGTCTACACCCAGTGCATCCTCCGCTTACGATAAGAGGCGACACCTGTCGGGTAGCCCCGGAATGCATCTGACCGGCGTAGATTATTTAGAATTTTGTAGGCACCATTCTTTCACCTTGTGCTGGAAATAATTGTGACGATGTTACAAGCAGGGTTCCGTGCTTACTTTTCTTACAGATTTGGCGTGTGTCTGCATCTACTTTTGCTGTTGGACCCAAAATCGACATTTATCGGGACTTGTACCGCAGAAAATGCGATGCTCGCTCCCCAGCTTAACATGGGCGTGACCCAAATGCTCCGAACACGTCACAGCACCGATAAAAGGAGGAAACAAGATGAGGGGGTGCAGCTCCCCAAGACAGAAGCAACCTCAAGGACAGTTCAGTGAGGATGTGTTCCCCACCAATGCAAAACAAAGCTGTAGAAAAAGATTTTTTCCTGCCAAGCTCGGTTCTTTCTCTCTCAAAAACGACTCCAATTTTTTTTTTTTTTTTTTGTTTTCTTCATTGTTAATGAAACCGGCGCGGGTGTTTATTTTTGAGGTTCATCGGCACACCAAGTGTTTTGGCAACGACCTCCGAAAATTTGTACCGATAGGGTGGTTTCGTCCATGTTTTTGTGTCACCAGCCTCGTGCCTGCCGCATGAGTGGAAACTTTAGCCCACCCCACACTTCACAAGTGCTTGAAGTATTCCTAAAATTGACCGACTTAAGGGTTTTCGACGACACTCCGTGCTTTTCTAATCCGAACTGTATGTATACTTTCACTCAATAAAAAGATCCCTAGTAGATTTTAGTTAATTATTTTGCTAATTGGTACGTTTCTCGCAATCCCCAACGTCTGCCGTGGCTGGCAGTTTGTTCCCAAAAAGGGTTTCTTTTTTTTCTCGGCCCCCCTACGGGTAGGAATTTGTCTACGCCGAAAAACTCGGTACTATATACAGTCGAGCCCGGTTATATCACACCCGGGTATTTCGAATTATTGCTTATATCGAACAGTCCAAACATCCCCTTGAAAATAACATGTAATAGTATAGGAGCATTGTCTTTTTGTATCGAACTTCCATGGACTCCCATGGCGGGGACACTCGATATAGCGAACGCAGCACGGCGGCCCATTGCTTCTCCCACACTTCTCCAGCGGAGCAACATAGCTCGCGTTGCCGTGCTGGCAGACCGCCAAGCCAGCATACGCGCATAAGGGACCTTTACGCACGCACAGGGATACTCAACTACTCAACAAAAAAACAGTTAAAAAAAGTGGAGGATGGCAAAAGACAATAAAAGGGCACCCGTGCGCGCGCGCGCATAGAGAGGGCAGAGAGTGCTCCTTAGCCCCAAAATAAAATAAGCAAAAAAAAAAAAGTCTTCATCAAGTCGAGTGTGTCGACAACGGTGAACCCTTATCTTCATTTACCTTTTTCTTTCGCCGTTCTTGCTTTGCGCATTTTTTTTCTTTTTGCTTTTCTTTTTCTTGCTGCCTGAATTTAGTGAGGTTTCTTTTTTGTCGCTTGCTAAACTTTATTCTATGGATCGAGCGTTTTTTGTTTGTTTTTATGCGGCTCGCTTTTTCCGTTGTTTTATTTATTTTTTTTATTTGTGTTTTGTCGCCAATGCTGTGCGGAGGTCGCGCGCGCGATCGCGAACACCGTCGCGTAAACGCGGCAGCGGTGTTTGTGATCTTCACCAACTAAGCTCTAGTGTATTTCGCAGCTCTTAGTGGCTCTATTTGGTAAGGTCCCATTTGCCGCCGCCTTTGGTACTAGCAGAGACGCGCGGAAAGTTCAAGTGGAGCTTAATTTAACATATTTTTGTATATCAAATTATCGACATATCGAACTATTTTACGATCCCCTTTGAATTCGATATATCCTGGTTCGACTGTATACCGAAAATGCGGAACCCCAATTATAAGCGATCAGTTCTCGTAAGTGGTGCATAGATTTGATCCCTTAAATACCACAAAACCTTCAGTCTAGTTCTATGCAGGTAAGGAGTGGGTTACCCAAGAAACGGTGCCAGTGTGTTCTCTCGTCTAGGCAGTATGAAGCGAAAGCAATGCACTCAAGCACTCTCAAAGGCACACATGTGAACCAGCTTTAGAGGGAATCACCACACACCTTTGTAAATGTTGAACAAAATTTAAAAATTATTGATGGAAATTGTTTGTGTTCAGACGGTGTGAAGTCGGTCTGTCCTTGAGGTGCAGTGACACTGGTTTACGCCGTAAATGAGAAATTTAGCCCGTGCAGTACGACCCCTAGCCCGGAGTATTCAACGAGCACCATCAGGTGGTTAAACACGGCTGCACGCTGGTATGACACTCATCCAGATCGAAACAGACAAAGAGTGAATCCGTGATCCCCGGGTTTCGCAGCGTGAGCTTTCGCTCTGCGCACTTTGAGCTGCTGTAAGCTAATGCGTGTGGCCACCGATTGCCAGATCTCCGGTCGTACCTGTCGTAGTCGGGAACCCGGATGTTGAGGAAGCCCATGACGGCCTGCATGACTTCGTCGCAACGTCCTGGATGGGGGAGGAAGGTGCGGACGTCAACGCTGAAGCGGTCATCTCGGTGTCCACTGGAACCCCGCAACCCGATCTATCCTCGTCAAAGCTTCCAACGAACAGCTCTGGGCAACCAATAAAAAAACTAAAAACAATATTTGCAACAAAAAATTCTCGATTTATTATTTTTCAAATAACTTTGGTACACACGAAATAAGTTTCCGCGTCATTCTTCGGGGGTTCGAGGTGGACATTGCAGTTTCTTTTTTAATTTTTTTTGGTTATAGCGTATTATTTTATTCTAAACTCCATCTATTTTTTATTTTATGGGATGATGGCCACGTTCTGAAGTCTTTGTTTCTTCTTACACGAGTAGAAACGAAGCGAAACGAAGAAATGAGAGCGCACGAAATGTCCGAGCACCGAGCTCTAATTCGAATGATTAGTGAATAGACGCGGAGCTACCTGCCTTTGTCTGTACTCACTCTCCGATTGCGAACGTCGGAGTTTGTATTCAAAACAGTAAGTAGAGACAAAGTCAGCTAGCTTTGCTAAAAATTCAACATCAATAAGCCATCTGTGGTTCTGCTGGCGACACTTCCGCTATTTTCTCTATTTGCATCGGCGTACGCAATCCTTTGTTGCCGTCGTCTTTGGTGTTCGGAAAACGCAAAAGCAAGCGGAGGGCTCGGTCAACGACGGAACTCGGGAAGTGCTATCGTATTCGCAACACTTAAACTTGAGTTTATTGTGTCTGCTGAGGCTATTTTGGTCGCTGACAAGCCAGCTTCTTCGGCGCCAATTTGAGCCCAAATAAAAACCGGCCTTTATAAAAATCAACTATCGGCCGATGTTTGCTTTTGTTCGCAACCACTCTGGTGGTCGATCGTGTAGCGAAAAAAACTCTAACACTGTGCAGAACACTGCTTCTGATGCGTAGAAAGATGTTGCGGACATGGGACAAAAGCAGACGAATGTCAGCGACATCGATTCTGGCGGAGAGATTTCGAGACCGAAGCACCAATGCGTCGTGGTCTTGTGCAAGGGCCCCGTGTACGAAGAGTGGCGACTCCGCCAGGCAAGCCGCCGACGGCCCGACTCACCGTTGACCTTGAGGGCAGCTATGTCGTCCTTGGGCGTCCACTGGAGGTTCACAATGTACAGCTTGGGACGCTCCCTGGCCGGCCGGTCCATGGCCCACAGGCAGCGGTAGCGCCGCAGCACCTTCGAGATGCACCGCGCACGGTCGTGAGACGTGCCAAGTATGTCAGTAATGACTTTTAAATGTGCATAATTTATTTTGCGTCTGTGGCATGTAGCCTCCATGATGTCATGTAACATGACATCCCATGACACTATGGCATCATGTGATACTGTGGCATCATGTGATACTGTGACATCATAGTCATGTGGCACCTAGATGTCTCATGGCAATGTCACGTGACACTGTGACCGTTTTATATATTCACGCACACAACCCCCGCAAAGTTCCCCCCAAGTGGCCTTCTTACTTAGCCTGCAAAAGGAGGGGCGCAAAGAGGCACTATAAATGCTAAGCATCTAGCGCTTTGTAGATGAGGTAATCAACCAGACGAAATGAAAAACGCACTCCAATCCAGCCGACAAAGAACGTAATGTCTTGTGCATTCCGTACGTTAAGGGAGTGTCTGAGTCGCTAAGCCGCGCCCTAAAACCTGTAGGTATTCGAACTGTGTATAAACCGTACCGAACTATAGCAAGCATTGTGTCTAAGCCAAAGGACCCCACCCCTGCGGGTACGGAGAAAGGCATTGTGTACAAGATCCCCTGCCAGGACTGCGGCTCTTCATACATTGGAGAGACCGGACGCAAGAAGATAACCAGGATGAAAGAACACCAACGTGACGTCAAGTATTCCACGAACGCCACCCGTCTCAAGACGGAGCTGGTCGACCACAAGTGGACCACAGGACACACCTTTGACTTCACAGCCGCGACGACCTTGGCGAAGGAGGATAGGTGGGGCCCACGCAAACTACTTGAGTCATGGTTCATCCGCGGAGATAAGACGGCGTGCAACAAGAACCGTGGCTTCCTCCCGGAAGCTTATATGGACCTTCCTGATAAATAGGACTGCGTTGACCGAAGCTCTCTCATTCCTGTGTATGTACTGATGATGCCTTCCGCATGGGAGGCGAAACGTTTAATGAAGTTGTTTTTCTTGTTATGTGAAGTCGGTGTTCTTATTTTAATCATCTAGAACACCATTGGGAAATACCAAAGACGAGCAATTTTTTCGGTTGAAAGGGTCTTGAAAGTGCCCATGTCCCATTGGAGGTTAGAAGATGTGAGGGAAGCCCCTCCCTACGAGCCCCCTTGCCACTTCTGCATTAGTGCTACCTCCACTGGCCGATGCTGCGCACACTGTCGGACGGTGCCACCTCTGGATGCAAATTTCATCGCCGTCACCCTAGCACCGCTAACTGCTCATGCCGGCACTGATCGGCTCGTCTTTTAAAGCGAGCTTAACATTTCTCCTTTTAAAAAGGTTGCTTTAGAGGGACCACAAAGCAAGCTTTTTTTTAATTTTCGCCGGCCAAGTCTTTAAATAAATGGCTCATGTTCGTAAGGCCTGGAACGGGACTTTGCTTCTGCATACATTCCACCTGAATTCTCCATTTCCCCCAACCACACATTCCCTCCCCATGTACAAAAATTGCGGTGGCTTAGCTCGGCTATGCCAGGATATACGTGGCGTGAGCTTATGTGCACAAAATGAGAGGCGCTATCAAGCGGCTCCGGTGCAGCGTCAGACTTGGCTACTGCGCAACGGAGGCGCACAGCTGGGCACGCGGCGGCACCAGTGCGTCTGCCGCGGCTATGACGTCACTCCTCTGGAATGCGCAGACCGGTGAGGTGGGCGCGGCGGCGGCGGTGGCTTTGCGTGGCTCGCATAATGAGCCATACTCATTATGCGAGCCGTGCTCATTATGTGGAGCTCCGCCGCCACCGCCGTGCGCTCCACATAATGAGCACGGCTCATTATGAGGGCTTTGCGAAACTGCTCAACCTCGGCCAGTATAGCTAACGCTACAAAAAAAAAAAAAAGACAGTCCGCTTGCTTGAGCCTGCCAAAAGGTTAACGAAGGAACAAAGATGAGCAAGTCCAGAAGTAGTGGCGCAGGAAAAATGGGCCGCCATTCTGTAACATTGACCCACCAATCGCATATGGGAGAAAAGGCTATGGCTATGCACTGTGCCTGCAGCGTTGCAGTACAACAAAGACTCGAGAAATGCTAGCAGCGCCGTAATATTCCCGGTCGTCACCCACTTTCATCCAAATAACTGTGGAGTGGGCGACATCTCGGTGTACGAGTAAAAAAAAGTCGAGAGAACACCAACAAACTAACGCCCCGCCCCTGCTATTATTTGTGACAACGTTCCCAGAGATCGGATGTTCACCAACCTCGCAATTCTTGGATCAGCGTTTGCTTACGTTGGCGCTCTTCCCGGTTTTCTGGCTACCAACCGATAACAATCTTTCTATTCTTTTCGGGTATAAGACTTGCTTTTGATTGGCAACGAAATAAGGCCTCTTTCTGTTATCTCCGTCACATTTCTTTGGCATGAGCGTCCTCCAACCTCGGGGTCATAAAAACTTCAAGATGTGCAAACGAAAGAAAGCCTCTTTACACTACATATTTCGGTTTTTCTTCGACATGGATATTCTCGAACCTTGCAGTCCACGGCCGCGACATTTAGAGAGGATAGCGGGTGAGCGATCTCAAAAAAAAAAAAAGTCAAATTTGGGAGTTTTACGTGCCAAACCAACGACGGGCATCTGGCACGCCCCAGCGGAGGACTGAGGATTAATTTGGACCACCTGGGGATCTTTTGACGTGCAACCGAAAGCTCGGTTACACGGCGCCTTCACTGCTATAAGCCTCCGCCAGATTGCGGGCACCTCGGCCGGGATTCGAACCCGCCACATGGGGATCCGTAGGCCGGCGCTCTTGCCTCGGAGCCACCGAAGCGGCAAGGGGGTGGGCGATCTCTTCACGTATTTTAGGAGATTGATATTCCACCCAAAGAGCGAGAAGGGGCGACCACTCGGAATGTTACGGCGTTCTATCTACCTTTCTGCGAGCTTAAAACGGGTTGCCTCGGAGATAAAGAGCTCGGTTTCGGCAGTCGCGTGCTAGCCCCCTACTATGGTGCCTGGAGCACGTCTCGAACCGGAGTGTGCAGTTGTTTTCTGCTCAAGCATCAAGAGTGGGATTAAAGTGGCAACAAATGACATCAGAAGAGCCGGTGTGTCGCGCTGTCGGATGTCGCGATGCCTGCGGTGGGAGACTGCCGTATTTACTCGAAAATAGGTCGACCACAAAAAAAGGTCAACCCCTAATTATTCAACCAACCAAAAAAAAAAAGTTCAAGTATAGACTTTTCTAGCGGCAGGCTCGAACGAAGCAATTTACAGTGCGCGTCCCTGGTTTTGAGTGTACGTCAGTGCTGCTCGACTGCGCTGGGCTGTGGGTTTTCTAGTCGGTGGTCTGTGGCAGCCTGTGTAGGCGCACTTCCAGACGCTGGTCGCGGCTACATTGCCGCGTTATAGTTTTTATTTTGTGTTTTATGGCGAATCAAATTTCCCTGGGTTTTTAAGAATGCATTGTACTATTTTTGGGAACAAAAACAAACAAATGAAAGCTATTTTGGCGAGTCCATGCGTGACAGAACAAATGCAACTGGAATGTTTGTTTCATTATATGTTGATCTTTTTACAGCACCGTTCACTCAGCTGTGTCACTCTACAAAGGTCTTAGCCGTCGAAAATATTTGACCACACAGGATATCCGAACTGCATGGATATTCCCTGCCCACAACAAGAGCCGTTCAACAAGTCTCATCAATCGAACAACATATATTGTACGTACCCCACGGTGCCGCATTATCCAAACAGGATCTGAGAAAGGTCTCAAATAACACAGCACATCCAATATACAGCATTGAGGATAGTCACTTCACGACGATCAGATGGAATCCGGCACGTTTTGGGCCACATGTAGAAGAGAGCTGCTTTTTTGCACAGCTTCAAAGCAAATGAACGAACTTGTCTATTCCGTCCCCACACCCCGGACCCGACCCTATCAGATATTTTTTGCGAAGACCCGGAAAATATCCGGGAAGGCTTTCTGGGGATTATCTCAACGGAAATAATCCTCCAAGAATGTCGAACTGCCCGTGTCGCGGGCTGCTTGACGTTCACTCTCTTCGTTCGTTTCCTGCGAAGGCCGTTCAGGCAGCGAGCCCTGGTATTCCCTGGTTCTCACAGTGGAAAATCACACACAAAGGGTAAGCATCCTAAACAGGCAAATAAAGTAAAAACTTCCGAGAAAAGCCAAGGAACTCTGAATGCACAATGCCGGTGGGGAGCCACGCTGACCGGGTTTCCACAGTTCAGGCAGGTGGAGGAAATTTCTCGCCGATAGAGGTCGCTCGATTCGCAAAATGGTGGCGACCAGAGAGCTTTTTTTGCAAAGGTCTATCCTCACTGACACAGTTGCAAAATGACGACAAGAAGAAACAAAAGAAGGTGGAGACGAGCAACAGGCGAGCCCCCCAAACAACACAGAAGAATAACCTCCGGTTATTTTTTTTTGTTTTTTTTTTGTTTGTGCGCGTTTGCGAGGGGGAGGTATGGAGGACAAAGTGCATGGCACATCCCCTCTCCGTCCCCTTCCCCCTTGCCCAACGAGGGGAAAGCTACAGGCACGAAGATGCAACCCGACGCCCGAGGGATGTGCATGAGAGCGGCGGCCACCGCGGGCGGGCCGTCGGCTGCTGCTGTTTAAGTTTTTTCGTGCCGTTCTACTGAGGATCAAATAAACGCATTTACCCGGAGTATGTGAAATTAGGCCTAACCACTTTCACGATTTCACTCTCCGAGAGCGGACCACAAACGACGGCTTGTTTGTTGACATCAATGGATCCGATAGGCAAAGAATATCCGGGGCTCGGCAATTCCTCGACTCGAGCTTTGTCAAGTGTGTGCGACACTCGGTTTCACGGTTGATCACTTCTGTAACTATGGTAACTACACACTTTAAGCCGTAGCGTGAGCCACTGTGAGTGTGACGTGAGCAGCCTGGCCTGGCTTGACTTGGCTTGGCCGCTTAGTGGCAAAAGAAAACTGGCTTGGTGGCTTGCTAAATTGAACGCAATTCGAGACTCACGGATCCAAAAATTGGAGGTGCATTGATTACGGGAGGGAAAAAGAAAGTCAAAATATGGATGCCCGTTGTAGGGGGGGGGGGGGTGCATTTATTATGCGAGTAAATACTGTAAGTCGAAATTCTTTAATCTTTGATTATAGGTTGACCCCTAATTTTTGACAACATTTCCGGAAAAAGAAGGTAGAATTATATTCGAATAAATACGGTACCTTGAGACTGGTACCCAGGCAGAGTATAGCGTCGCAGCGGTCGGCCGCCTTGCCCGCACCCTGCCAGTTGAGGGGCCAGCGCAGCTTGCCGGTCTCCCCGAAGTGGACGATGGTGTCCACCAACTCCGACGAGCAGCCGTGGCACTTGCGCCCCGTCCTGTGCTTGTGCAGCGCCGTGCGCTCCGTCACGTCGAACAGCCGGAAGTACTGTCGCAGCGGCTTGCAGCTGGGGCACACCTGCGCGGATGGGGAGGTCGCGAGGAGCACTGGCATTCGACCGGTGCTTCCGCACTCTCATCCCGCCCGCGCTTCAAAAGCGGTCCCGAAGGCAACAAATGACGTTGCAGAAGTCGGACGTTGCAATCCTAGCTTTTGGTGCTAGAATCCCCGGAAAAAATACTGAGCAAACGCAGGTGTCACTGTCTTCACGGCACCCCGACTCCTGGCTGTGAAAGTTCCCGTACCGTCAATCTGGAAGAAGACCTGCGGAACAATGGGCATGTGCTTCATCCACAACAGCTGCTGTGCTACTGCCAGGATCCCGGCCAGCGACAACAAGACACATCTATGACGTCGTCGGGTGGAAATCGAGTAGCATAGTTCTAGAGCAGTGGTGGCCAAGCTGCGGCTCTTTGTGTGTTAAAGTGTGGCTCGCGCGAGGACACGCTGGTGCGGCGCGTTCGCGAGAATATGTTTGGTGCTAGTCGTTATGTGCAGTCGGGCGGTTTACGCAACACCCAATGTCTTTGGCGGCGACTTGCCAGCAGGTCCTTCAGTGAAAGTAATCAGACAGTGACCTGATTGACTTACAGGTGTGTGCTACGTGCCCACGGTATTCGTGACGAGGCACGTAACACACGCAAAACAATTGCAGCGTGACACAAAAAATAAATAAATGAAATGTGACATCATTGCATGATGCAACATCATTGAAATTTTCACTCAACAGCGACGCAATATCGGGATGTCGCACGGGCGACGCTGTCCATATGCACCACGTCAAACAAACGTTTGCAAACTTGTTTTTTTCTTAATGCTGGCTGTCCAACGAGGCCAAATAAACCAAATTATGCGCACCGAGTCAGTAGGGTCGATTATCCTTCAATTCAGAGCTTCAAAGTTGGTTTGCACGCATTGAGTTTTCTTCATTTACCCTTTTGTCACTCTAATCATCCGATACCACCAACGATACCACCTGGTGAATGGGGTCGCCGTCACTTCCATCAATTGGAAGGGGTCGCCGAAACTAGGGTACCTGGAACGCATCCCCAACCAGTGCGTTTACTGCGTCCCAAAATGTGGTTGTTTGACTTCTGCCCGACGATGCTATAAAAGCGTCACGCCATCGCCAGCTCGTGACATCTGACAGCGTAACGCTCCAACTTTCGAGACGTCATTTGTTGCCACTCCAGGAGCACTTTCGGATGTGCGGAAAGTGTAGGATGCTAAATGCAACAGTCGGAGACGCATTTCAGGCACCGTACCGAAACGTGGGTTGCTGAGAACCACTAGCTTAATTAAAGCATGGAAACATCATTCTCCCGTTTTCTCGTGGGTGCCACGTTGTCGTTGCCTAGTGCAAATGCCAAGAGAACCGGGGCGACCAATGGGCAAACATACCTCAAGAAACATGTTCCCATGCAGCTCCGAGAGGCAGGTCCTGGGCAGGCCGCTGCGCACGTGCAGGCCGTCGCAGTTCTGGGACACGACATGCTTGACCAGGCCCGCCTGCTGCAGCTGGGCAATGGCCATATGCGTGAAGGTGGGCCGGGCACGGCTCAGGTCCTGCACCCTGCAACGTCCACGGAGGTTATCTGGGGTGGTACCGGCGAATCTTCCGCCAAAAAACGAGCCGGAGAAATCAATACCTACACACAGAGAGCTTACTTCCACCAAACGTGCACCGACCGAGCAGGTCAGTTTCGCTACTGGATGTACCAAAACGTAGCAAAATGTAGCTAAAGGAATTCCCTTTTCAAAAATGTAAACGTCAAAAAACATAGTTATTATACAGACCAAAAAAAGAAAGTCAAATGCAGACAATTTTATTTTATTTCAATGTACCTCGCAAGTATTAGGAGTGAAAATATCTAAAATATATACATTTCATGGTTTACTCTTCTATAAACACATCCTGCAAGTTTGACAAGCATCTGTGCAGAACTTCTTGTACTACGGTAAAAAAGTTAGCCCCCACAATGACTGTACCATTCCCCGAAGCCCCAAACAAAATGTTTTGTGCACTCCGTAGCATTATGCCAAGGTCACGACTGGGCCGCCTTTTCGAAAAAGAAAACTGCAGTTGTTTTGCCGTTGATGGCATAAAATCGAGTCTATACGAGGTAGATACCCTGCAAATGAAAAATAATGCATTCGGAACAGGCCCAGTACGTCTACAGCTCACAGAGGCAACGAATGACCTCGGCACGCGAAAAGAAACATACCGACGGGCACTTGCAGATAATCCCGGCCATTTCGACCCACTGCCAGAATTTAAACTAAAATTCAATCAATGCACGTCTTCTTCTAACTTGCTGCTGCCACTTTCATCCGCAAAATTGATTGCACATGCACCAGAATCGCGAGTCAGACGATGTTCTGGAGGAGCATTGGCGTTGACAAAAACACCACGCTCGATGCAATAGCTCAGGATCCCGGAAATTTCAAGTTGCCAGAAAAATCACCCTTACGCAAAGAAGCAAAATCTGAAACCGAAACTCGAAAGTGGAGTTCCTTCATAATATCCTAGATGGCATCAAATGTCTAAAAACGGCACTGAACGCGTTGAAAGAGGGGTTTGAAAACTATCAATGAAATTGATAGATTTGAATAAGCGCAGTAAGGAAAGAGTTAAGCGCCAGGAACAAGACAAGTATATCACAACTAAAATCTTCCACAAAGGGAAAAAAAAAATTTTAATGCAATACTGTCACACGCATAGCCGCGGAGACACAGGGCTCAAACCTTGCCTGTCAAGTTTTTCATTTAACCTTTCATGCTCTTCTGGAAAGTTCCAGTTCAGTCTGGGGTGTTATCGCATGTTCCAGTCTAGAAGCTTCCCGAACATAGCATGTGTATACTAGCAGCCAAAGCACACTGCTTTGAGTGAGTCACCCTTCCGTTGCAGGACGTATAGCACCTCTTCTGTTTACTACAGTACACTCGCGATAATTCAAACTCGGATATTTCATACTTCCGGTTAATTCAAACAGATCTGAAAATTTTGGTTGTCCCGCTATGTTTTTAATGTATTTACAAGCCGCTTAATTCGAACGGCGTTTTCGCTTAATTCATACTTTTTTGTTTTCGCGGCCCCTTTGAGTGCGCTTCTTTCCGAGCACCGGTGCACCGCAGAGAAGCAATGCCCGCGGAGCTTGTTTTCGCGAGTGTTGCTTCTCCGCAGTGCACCGGTGCTCGGAAAGAAGCGCACTCAACGGGGCTCAAGCAGGCACACATTAGCGGGAAACGGCATTCACATTATGTGCTTCAAGACTAGCAATGATGACCAAGACGACATCGAGGATGAGGAACAGCTTACTGGCATCATGCTTTCTGGCCTTGAAGCACATAATGCGAACGCCGAGCTGGCGGAATATGCTAGTCTTGACGACGATGTGTGTTTGTCGTGATGACTCATTAGAGGACATAAGGAAGTAATGCCAGCACAGTGCAGCAGTGAGAGTGAAGATGATGATGAAGAAAGGGATGACCCACTACCAACTGTCACAGCCGCAAAGGCCTTTGAGCACATCGCTCAGCTCCGGAAGTTTCTGTCTGCAAAGGAAGAGTCCCGTAAAGAGCTACTTGCATTGGCTGGTATTAAAAATTTTGTTTTGGGATCTCATGTACTGACTAAACAGTCCACAATCGACAACTTTTTTGCCGGATGAATAAACTTAATGTCACAGTTCTTCCACAATTGTGTTATGCCTGTACTTGCTTATAATTAGGCCTATGTAGAGGAAACTGGCAAAAATCTCTGATAATTCAAACTAAAATCTGTGACTTCCTGGAGTTTGAAATAATGAGTCTACTGTAGTTTGTAGAGACAGGTTTGCCTTATCGAGCATTTGTTTTTAGTTTTCACGTGAGTCTATGTTTCTATCCATAGAAATAAGTATGTTGCCCGACTCATTCTGTGGTAAGAGCAATGACGAAAGGTGCTTCTGTTTCGAGGCGTCAACCCGGAAAGAGGAGCATGTGTTGAAATCGCTCGAACGAGTCTTGTGACATAAATAGTGCGCAAACTTCTTTTGTTTTGAAAGGTTATTCTTACGAATAAAAATGAGGAGATGTATTTAGAACTGGAAACAAACATTTATCGGGGCGAGCCTGCGCCTGCAAACGCAAAGGGAAAGGCCCGAGCGTCTTATGTTGGCGACAAATGGGCAACTGTCCCGAAGCAATGTGTTACCGCTGCTTTTAGACAAGCGGTATGTTCAGGAATGTTCTGAACAGGAATGTTCCATGATGGCTGAGAATGGGGGGCTAGAACTTTCTAGAAGAGCAAACATCGATGAAAGAAAGAACTGGCCCTGGCGGGATTCGAACCCCATTCTTCAGCACTGCAGCCGCCTGCCGAACTGAACTCTGCCACGTGTGCGGCAATATATGTATCCTATCTGGGTACAAAAAATGTTTTCGGCGGTTCGGTGTCCCGTCTGACAGAGCGAGCAACCCTCTGTCCACTTACTGGGGCACCATGCCCTTCTGGAGCAGGGTCCAGACCCCCTCGGGGCCTCTGTAGTCCGGAATGCGTGCTGCCGTGCTGATGCCGGCCCCCGTGTAAACCACCAGGCGACGGGCAGCGCCAATGGCCCCTGCCAGCGCCCGGCACTTCTCCTCCAGCAACGCCGGGGGGTCTTGCACCTGCGACATCATTGTGGTGCCCAGCATCAGATTTTGGCCACCGCAAGAGCCAATAAGGTGAGAAAACACCATACGTTGTGTGCTATGACGTCTGCTACGAACAGAGCATGTGCTACGGCAAAGTGAGACCGTACGCAGGCTGCAATCAAGATCGTTCACTAGTTCACGTTGGAAGCTTTTCACAACTCTTACTTCTTCTGCAAATCTGAAGTTGTTCCACTGCCGTACACCAGCTGAAATTGACCTGCATGTGAAAGAGTGCTAAGGACCAACACTTCAGAGACCTCTCTCTATTTGTATATTGGCAAGGCATTCCCAGCAATGTATTACCCGACTGCGACTCGCAAATGCACCAAGAACGTCTCGTTGGTCGATAACGCGCAACTTGCGGCTCCACGTCCAGTTGGCAGCCGAGAACACTCCTGCTCTCAGCTTGACCACAATCGGACTTGTGGCAAACATCTCCGACCGGCAAACTTACCAGCTTCATATTTGTGGTCCCCCAATTTCCACCCGACGACATCGCAGAAGCGTCACGCTTTCTGTTTGTTGCGATCGGGCGGCGACGCATCAGCGGATTGGAACACGACAGACGCCCGCTCTAGTGTGGCTCGCTCTCGGCTCGATAGTCTGCGGAACTTTGGTAACCACGAGTCAGGTCGCCGCAACAACAATGACACTGGCATTCGCTCATCTTTTTTGCTGCAACTTGTACAACTATTCGCCAGGATTGCGACATCTGACGGCATAGCAAGCCGCCTCATGTGACATCATTTATTGTCGCTTCGAAACCATTTTCGAAGCCTGGGAGGAGCCCACCAAGGTAGAGCTAATGGAGGCGATATTTAATTGGGTTGTAAATACCGTCACATTTTTTAGAGTACCTACTAGGCAGCTACAGTTATGTGCAAAATGTGTCCAAGCTAGATTCTATTACTCTTAAAAAAATAGTTTCGGAACACCGTGACTCGATCGACAGTCTGGCGTCCCTGGGGGGAAAAGGTGTTGGCCATCCTACGCTACAATTTGCCACTCTGATCACAGTGGAGTTGCAGACAGATACAAATTTATATATAATTATAAAAATGCTTTTTTTGAGGAGCAGCAGTAATTGAACCAATTAACAAGTTGCTCCGAAAACATAAGTTTTAAAAGTTACACATTTACTAAATTTTTATTGTTGTCCAAAAAAATATTTGGTCACTCAAACTGCTACAATTACAGAACTTGGATAAAAATAGTTCCCTCGAAGCTCTGGCTATGCAAACGTGCCACACGGTGGAAATGCTGCGACTGTCCCAGCAGCGCTATGCGAACCAGGTGACCAAAGAAATAGTTCTTTCTAAGAAAATGGCATTGCGCATTTAGTCTCTACTTGAGCTGGGATATTAAGTCGGAACCTCCAGGACTGGGCAGAATGGGTGTCAAACGGCCTCTTTCAAGAGACTGGACAATGAAAAGACGTTCAAGAGGCCGTATAGTTCAGACGAATCAGGATCCTTCATTGCAATGAGTGTGCAACATTTTGTTCTCTTTTTTCTGTTTTGCAACATCTAAGGCTTAAAGCCCTTTGCCTTCAATCTCCGGCAAGCCTGGTTGAGCGGTTTATCCAAAATGGAGAGAGAATCCCCCGGGAAAAGAGGGCTAAAGCAATGCCAGCCTCATAAATGCCCCCGCTGCAAAAACCTACACATACAAACCGAGACTGATGCTTCTTCTAGGTTTCAATGTGTATAGACCTTTTCATCCTCCTCCTCATGGGCGCTGCCATCTTGGAATCACGTGACGCGGCAGCCATTAGGTTGCTTCAACTTGCTGCTCCGCTCTCCCCTCCGCGCCTTGGCGGATGCGTTGTATTCGTGTTCTTCGTCGCGTTTTACCGCGCTTTCTCGCCTTACTTCGCAAACTAGTCGATACGTCTACTCGACGACTAAGACATCACGAGGGTTCAAATCTACTTATGACAACTGAGGTTTATTTACTAATAGTGGCGGAAAGTTCTCAGTAAGAAGCGCGTATATTTATATCGCGCATTTAGCATCGCAAGGCGTCAAGAATAGTCAGTGCAAGGAGACTATCTGTATTTCGTGGAAGTATCGTTCTTTGTATTCATAATATATCGAAAACAGCTTCTTTTGATTATGTAAGGAAACTCGCGGAGGAGATAGACAACGAACGTTTAACTTGTCTGAGGCTAGAAGTAATGGTATACGTCAACATCAGGAGATTTGTTTGTTCATAATATCACACCTACGTGGTGTATGAAGTTCTTAATCTTTTTTTGCGACGTAAACATTCGGTTGGTCGGATTACTTATGAAGTTTAAAAAATTGTATACCGTGGTCGCTCTCATTTCGACAGTCATTTATGTGATTTATTCATTATATTTAGATAACCATCGCCATCCACCTAGTTTATTTTAACACAAAGGTTGGAACTTCCTGCGTAAGAAACTGCCACAGATACTTAACAGTTGAGAGTTTTAGAATAGCGTGCACAAATAAGTAACGCCGTTTCTATTTGCAAATCCAAAACGCGGTCTGGATTTGGCGCATGCGCAATAATAACGACGTTTTTTTTTGTTTTTTTTTGCGTATGCTGTTTTAAATTTTGTTAGTTATCTATTGTCCTAATATTTGACGCAAAAAAAAAAAAAGAGCCGTCTGCATATCAATTATTTGAGTCCAGGATTGTCGATGGCGAATAGAGGTTTACTTTTGGTGGCGGGCGAATTACAAAGTGAATCTGTTCAAACAAATAAATATTTGTTCACACAGGCCCGTTAAGTGGTGCCTTGCGCTAGAATTCAGCCAGACTTTCCGAGGTATTTCTCCTTCTGCGCCCTTTAATTTCATTTGGCCAATTTTACAGAAGACAAACGCCAGATTTAATTTGACGGGCCTGTCACTTATATCTTGTGTAAGCAAATGTTCATATAAAACTAATTTACTTGCTGGGGCAAATATCGCGAAATACTGCTTACGAGTACTTTAGCAGGGTTGATAATTTAAGAAATTTCCCACTCGGCCTGTCAAAATGGGCTTGAATACTGAATTAAAAGTAAATAAAATAAAAGAGGCCGAGACTATACTACTTGTTTATATAAATTATCTGCGTCATTACACGATACGTTTTTAGGGGTTGAAGCTCACTAAAAGTTGGGTGCCCGCGAAAACCAAACAGTGAGTAGTAAACTCGCGAGTTCATATGTTCTGGCCAATTCAGCACATTTCTAATCAAGCTGTCGATATGCTTCTTTGCATTCACTCGTTAGATTCGTCATTAGTATGTTTTTCGAAAACTGGTGTCATCGGGTACAACCGCAGACGATGGTAATCCTCCCTGTACATCAGACAGGCGTTTCGCAACCGACCATAATCGGATACATCAAAGAGTTGGTAAAAAAAAAACACGCAATTTAGGCTAAAATACACCTCGTAGTCCTCAAAGTGGCTCAATACCACTGTTTCATTGGTTGTGTGCTACAAGGAAAATAATCGTATCACAAAATTAAGCAAAAACAACGTAAAACAGCAACATAGCCGCATTCACGTTGAAACCGAAACCAACCAAATTGAAGCAACCTAATGGCGCCGAAAGCGTCAGCGCCCTCTATCCGCCGGTGAGGCAACAACTAAAATGAAAAGGTCTATTCTGAGTACAAGCTAGAGAGAGAGAAAAAAAAATGTTTTGAGAAGCCCTTCAGAAAAGGAAAAATTGAAGCAAACTAGAACTTGACATTTAGGGTGGATTTCTTTTTCTCAAAGAGGAATTTACCAAAAGCGTCGAGTCATTTTTTTTGCACAAAATGCAGCGTAGTTTGCGGTAAAAAAAAACGGCACCATCAAATCTGGCCTGGCTTGCTAAACAGCTTACAAAAGTATCCACAAACTTCGAAATTTTCCATGAAGATGCAGCAGTCAAGGGCGCACAAGAAGGGCAGCTGAAATATTCCATAATTATTCGACGGTTATCCGAACACGATTTTAAAGCTTTTCAACCCAAGATATTTTTGCACTTTTCAGCCGGTATATATGTTTGAGTTGATCCTCAGCAATGACAAAGCCCCCACTTTTTCTTCCTCTCAATCCCTACGAGGGCACCTGCGCAACAGAAACGGGCGGAATGCAGTTGAGATGTGCTAACGATTGACGGATGTCATGGTGCTGCCCATGCAATTGAGGTGGTGAAAGTCACCAATCGCAAATTAGAAAACCATAGGGGAAGAACTGCGAAAAAGGAGGGATGACACAACGATTGTGCTTGCACTTCCCGCATTTCTTTTCCTCTTTTTTTTTTTCTTTTTCTTGAATGGGTTAAAGAGGAACTTCGCCGATTTTTCGAGCTACCTAATCCAAAGGCATCATCTGAATGTGGATGGCTTCTCAATTCCAAAATGCTATCTCGTTCCCCCACATTCATTAAAGTTAATTAAAAAAGTGATATTCTGTTTGCAGCCGAAACTGAAACATTGTTCTCCCTATTCTTTCCCGCTTTCCCCGCCACCCAAACCTGTTGTTGTCGGGGGGCAGCGAGGCGCGCGGTTGGCGATCGGGTACGATCACCCGATCGGGTTGGCGATCGGGTACTTTTTCAAACTTTTAGTGGAAAGTTCGACGAACCTTGTATTGAGGTTCGACTCGTGTGCGCATGCGCGACAGGCTAGCCAGTTGGCTTCGGATTGGATTGTGATGGCTAAGAGATGAATTAAGTACAGCGCTGATTGGCTATTTCAGCCAATAAAGTACTAAAAATTAAGTTATTAACTTCTTCAGTGATTAGAATTAGTCTCTTTTAATTGCAGCTGTTCACAAAATAAAATAACCCTTTGCATAAAAAAAAAAAATTCTCCAAACCTAGACATGCTTGTATCAAGGTCTGGCCACACTGTCCACAAAGTTGAACCGGTCGAATCTGGTGAAGTGTTTCACGGCTACCCAATTGATGGAATTAGCGTGTTCTCTCGTAAGAGATTGCAAGAGGTTGCGACACACTCGGTCGTAAGCAGCTGCAAGTGTGTGAACCAGTCTTTAGGCTGCCTTAATTGATTCATCACCTCTCGAGTGGGAAAGCCAATTGGTCCACACGCTTCACCTGAACAACAAAATACTTCCCAAGTTACGACGCAATCTCAGTAACTGTAAGGTGCTTTTTCGGAGTCCCTTGTAGCTTAGCTCATTCACATTATGTCACTCGTCACTTTTAAGAATAATGCCGAGAAACGTGCAAGATTCGAATGTGAACTCAAGAAGGTTGTTACATGCTGCCACTGCCTCGAAATCTACTGTGGGATATTATAAACGTAACAGGTATGTGAACATAATGGCGAGTATATGCGCACATAACTAGACACTCGTAACAACATAAAGGTAATTGTTTTTATTCCTGTATTTTGCCATACGGCATATGGGTGCTTCTTGCTACCCCCCGTGACTTGCCGGTACAGCAACAGAATCTTTGAAGAAAGAGTAAACAAACAGGTAAGCTAATTGATGTTAGACATAATAAAAAAAAAAAAAAAAAAAAGAAAACGGAGACGACAGTTAAAGAAAGGGACAAACACAAACGTCTCAATCGAGACGTTTGGTGTTTGCCTCCTTCGTCTATCGTCTCCGTTTTTTTTTTTTCAAGGGTGTGTTACAGAATCTTGACGCTGCGTCTCACATAATTATTTTTCGTTATAACATGATTACATGCATTTATTTTAAGAGCACCGATTCTTTTGAAATTATCTAACTCCTAATTTGACATCCTGTTAATTTTATGCATTCTCAACGTTTTGAATATCAGTGCCTGTCAAAGCAATATTTTATTAAAATGGTCCCAAACTACCTAAATTGGCTATAGGCCCAGATGTTCTTCCATTGAGTCTAACAAAAATCGCTGATTGAATGATTGATTGATTGAATGACGCGAGGGACAACTGGGACAGTTTCCATGCTCCGTGCTTACCTCTTCCAGCCGCTGTTGGTTGCAGCGCCGTTTTCTCGACCGCTCTTGGAGAACCTTGACGAGTTCGCTCGAGTTCTCCAGCAGGCATTCCTCGTCGTGCGTTCGTTCCCAGGACGCCTTCTTGACGATTTGCCGTATCTACAAAGGGATCAAGAATTCGAACAGCTTCCCCAAGTCGACCGGCACCAATATCTAGCGATCATCTGGGTTAATACGTGATACATTCGAATTGGAGATAAGGCGCCCAGGCAGCGTAGCATTGGAAACGGCTACGCCAGGGCCGGTACGGGTCTCTGGGCTTAGGTAGCCGAGTTTGCCTACGTAGGGTCGGTATTTCAAAACAACAACAATCCGATTCACATACGTGTCTCAGTTTGGCCTGCTCCTGTTCCTTGAAGAGGATTCTTCGCAGATCGGCGGACTTGCGGAGTTCTCTACGAGACGACGCTTCGAGTTCCGCCATTGCAAGTCCGATTTAATTGATACCCAGGAATAAAAATGCCCCGGGTATCAGCACCCTGAAAGAAATACGGCCATCCTGACGGGCGCCATTGCTGAAAATGGCGGCAGATGCGACTGGCACGCCGCCCTTGCGGGGACGGCTAAAAGCCCGTGAAAACGAAACTACACCAACGCACGGGCGAGTAACGACACTGACCATTTTGTTTCGAACGTTTCTTTTTTGTCCTGGAGCACGCCAAAGAGCGTCTCTCAGCACGAGCTTTGACATGGGCTGTGCGGCATTTGTTTCCAGCCACTAATTTCTGAGACATGATCGATCGGGCAGCGATCGCGCATCCCCGCTTGGTCGGCCCAGCGCAGGGACTGGCCGTCAAAAACACTTGGAAATTTTTACGGAAGCGCAGTGCCGCAGAAAAACGGCACAGCTCGTAGAAAGCATGTTTCGCCGGTCTTGCGCCGTGATCAAAGCTTCCTTGGCACGCCAAAGCGCTCCGTCTCTGTGCCATCGCACGAGTGGCGTAGCCAGGAATTTTTTTCGGGAGGGGCTGAGGTGGCTAGGAAGTCCATGACTTGGGGTGCAGAGAGGGGGAGGGGAGACCGCAACTTGGCGAAGGCGTTGCATTCGCGTTTTTCGCCGCGTTTTTAAGCGTGTTTCACATGCCGCGGTTTTGGCTCTAAAGCGTGTTTCACATGCAGCGATTTTGGCGCGATTTCTGCCGTCGCGGCGCTCGTGCCGCAGAATTGCTGGTGCTGGCCAGAGCGCCGCGACGGCAGAAATCGCGCCGCTCTAGGGCCAAAACCGCTGCATGTGAACTAGGCTTAGGGGCCGCCCACACTAGCGAGAAAACGCGCGTGGCACGCCGATCGCGGCAAGTAACAAAATGTCGCCGAAGCACAGTCAGCGCCACGAGCGCGTGCAGAGACACGCCCTTTATCTTGCCGCTTAACCGATTTATCGGCGCGCCGGGCGCGTTTTCTCGCTAGTGTGGGCGGCCCTTTAAAGCGGCGCGATTTCTGCCGTCGCGGCGCTCTGGCCAGCACCAGCGGTTGGGCGGCACGAGCGCCGCGACGGCGAAAATCGCGCCGCTCTAGGGCCAAAATCGCTGCATGTGAAACTTGGCGCGAACACGGCGTCGACGCTTTCCAGCATAGGGGATACACGTAGGGTTGTTTGTTTTCCGGTAAAACCCAATTTTACCCGATTTTTACACCCCGAACATGTTTCAAGAGAATCGGGTTAAACCCGATTTCTCCCCGGATTACAAAACCAGATAACCAACCTATTTATTCTTACGGTGCACGGAGTTTGCAGTGCACACACGCTAGCTACCTACCTCGGGACAACAGTGACCTAAACTTCATTTCGCAAGTTGTGTGCAGCACTGTGGACGCTGCACGGCTCTCAACCAACCGCCCAACTAGTGCACCTAACTCACCGTGACATTCTACGGAGGTCGCCTGAAGAGAAGCAACAATAAGCTTTGGGGCCTCGTAGGGGCATTTCCGTCCCCCGCTGTGCATGTGGAACCGCCTCGGCGAAGGTGTTTTCACGTCGTTCCGCGAACATGAAGGCATTTAGCCTCAGCACGCCACGTAGTTTCGGCCCTGCTGCACGCAGCTTGTGAAATGTTCTATCAGTCGGGAGTCTTTGCTAGAAAACCCTGATGTCCCTCCGATTACCAGATGGAAACAGATCCCTAATTTTAACGCGTTGGCGTTAAAAAGCTCGTAATACCCTCCTAAAAAAAAAAGAACGAATGTAATATTTAGGACAATTGTAAATTTAACCCGAAAAACCCCGAATTTCGGAATGTTTCCACAAAAAACACGATTTCTCCCCGATTATCAGCTTGAAAAATAGCACCCGATTTTTACCCACCGAATTTAAAAAAATATATATATAAAACCCGATAACGAACAACCCTAGAGAGAGAGAGAGAGAGGTGGCGCTTTATTAAAATATTTGGGCGGACTTAGCCTTGCCGATTAGGCCGGCATTGCATGTTAGGCCAGCATTGCCCCGCCCAAACAACCCTAGATATACGTGCCAAGCGAACGAAGGACATGTGGAGAACCAAGAAAGACGGCAAGAACTACGCAGTAACGCTGCGTAGTTCTGCATGCAGACGATCAAAATAAATTTAAAACCACGTAATATAGTCAGATTTGCAATAAATAAGTACTGCTTTATTCTTTCTGCTCATGCATATGTGCGAAGATGCTTGTTCTGGGTTCAAATCATCACTCGCAGGCTCCAGACCTGTGCAAATAGGAGGAGCCAGAGAGCAGTTGCCCGATAAGAACTGCCCGACATAGGAAATAATAAGAAAAGACAACCTTTTGTAGCCCACGTACTTTATTTTTACGTTCGAATGTTTTGGCAACCGATCGTAAAGAAGCGCACGAAGGAGTCATTTTCACGTAATGAGAGGACGGGCGTATTAGCAATATATGCATCAAAAGAGACAGACGCCGGATATGAGCTGCTCTTACCGACAGGCTAAGTGGTCGTCCGGAAGTTTACCGGCGTGCAAAAAGTCGCAATATCTTTATCTGGTGGAGCACACCTATCCGTGTTAAAGGGGCAATAAAACTATTTTTTTTTAATCTTCTTCCTTAGCTGTAAACCTCAACTGAAAGGCGAATTGAGAAATCACGCAGTTGTGACATGCTAGGGCACCGGTGAGACGACCCCAAGCTTCCATCGTGCTTTCTAAGCACAGCATAGAACTTGGCATTTGCAAGTGATGATAAGTTCCGTTGCGGATAAGAAACCATCCCTGCAGTTTCAGTGCATCAGATCTCAGTGGCGGCACATGACGCATGATCACAAGACGGAATCAATCAGTCAAAGTTGCCACTTGACCCAACTGAACACCACCGTGCAAGGAGCGTCTGCCGACAACAAGGAGCACAGTTACTTTGAGTGAACACCTGACATGATACTGTCGCAGAAAGAACTTTTTATAGAACCGCTTGATAAGAATCAGTGAATATGTAATCAAAAGGAAATGAACATAGTTGATATACTAACCAAGCACGCATCATATTCACACTCCCACCTTTACGCCTTCAGAGTCAACACATCAAGAACTGCGTTCAATGTATGCGGTGGAGCTTTTGAGGACACTCGCATCTCTGACCCCCAATATTAATGAATGGGACAAACCAGACTGGAAGACTTGTTGTATGGGGCTGCACTCCTTCCACCTCTCCTGAACATGTGGCGTATTCGAAAACAAACTACAATGATGTGAATGTTATTTAGTAATTTATTAATGGCCTTTGTAGGCATTGCAAAGAGGATTATTAAAACTATATACAAACATGATATATAACATAATAGCACATTGACATTAATGAGCAGAAAACGGGCCGAACTACAGAGAATGAATATTACACTCGTAAGAAGCTCTGAGCATCTAAGTTTAATAGCAAACAAAAAAACACTGCGATCGAACGAGAGCACGTTATATCGAAATCTTCAGAACTGCCAATTTGTGAAGGTTGAACCAGCTTCACCTGGGCTCTGCACGCGGCGTATACCGTTCCTTTCGATTATCAGACGTTCCAACTTTCAAAGGAAGCTAGAAAAATGCAAAAAATTAATCCTAAAAGCCATATCGTAAAATCGCCGATTAGAACAAAACTTCAAGATAGCAGGAAGGAGCTTCCTCGCTAAACGTTTCTGTGATTACGCGGTTACCTGGGGCTGAAGCAACTTCCCCAAGGCCCAATATGAGACGGATACGTTTCCCATCGATTCTCAGACATTCCAACGTTCAAACAAAGCATGCTAAAAGCCTTATCAATCCTCCAACATATCGGGAATCAGAGCGCCGATATGGCGAAATGACTGATGCTGTCGCACAAGTGCTAATATCCAGAGCAATCTTGCACAGAAAGGGTATAAAGTTTCATTCTTTCAGATCTTCACGTTATACCTGCGTCAGAGAGCACGAAGAAACTCGAAATCGTCATCAAGCAGCGGCACATGACGACTCCGCGCACCAAACAAACTCGCATCCACCAGCTCTGGGCGCTGCCATCTTATAGGGAGTATTCACTGGCGGCCATAGGTGTGTCCGCGAATGCTGAGCGCGTGCTGATGGCGAGCTTCCACAGTTCTTTTGCAACGTGCATTCCGCACCATCAAGAGTGCCGGTCTTAGCAGCCTATTGATGTGGGCTCGTTCTGAGCATGCGCTCTAAACAGCACCCACAAATATGGCGCCCAGTGAATACTCCCTATTAGAGATGGAGACATCACGGCCATTGATCACGGCCATCACGGCTCTTGCGAGGTCACGTGACGAATAGTCACTCGGTTGCTATGGGATCCGAGCCAGCTCGGCTCGTTACTATGGTACTGCGTGTGACCAATCGCGGTGAGAGGCAGCACAGGGAAAAGCGTGGCGCTACTCTGGCAGCTACGCCAGCTACGCTGCCATACAGATTGGCTCTAACTAGAAATGTCGCGAACCACCCTAGGTTCGATTTCGAAAGGTTTCGATATTTTCGAAGCGAATTGAGGTTCGAATTCGCAAAATTTCGATATTTTCGTACCGACCAAGGTTCGAAGTCGAAAAATTCGCAACTTTCGATGACATTGCAGTTTCAAATTCAAAAAGTTCGAAGCTTTCAGGGTTTCTAAAAATTCGGGTTTGAATATTTCGAATATTTTTTTACATGAGGTTCGATAAATTCGAAGATTTCGAACTTTCCTAACTTGAAATTCGAGATATTCGAAAATTTCGATTTCTTAGAATCTGAAATTTGAAAAATCGAAGATTTCACAATTCTTTGAATATAAAATTGGAAAATTTCGAACGCTTCAACTTTTTATAGACAATAAGTTCGAAGGTTTCGACTTTCTTTTAAAGCTAAATTCTAAAAGAAAAGAAAAAAAAAAAAACTTCGAAGATGTCAAATTTCTTTTAGGTCCAAGTTTTCAAAGTTCGAAGTCCGGTTTTCATGTTCCTCCACAGTTTCAAATAATGCTTTCACGACTCACTGGTTTTCACGAAATCAGGTGGAGAAAAGTTCGGGTGTGATATTTTGTTGGGTCAGGCAATTAAATGAGACGACGAGTGTTCCGGATGTG